ACCAGAGACTTTGGTGCACGAAGCTTTGAATTGAATGAATAAATGGATGTGAGGCCATGTGTTTGTGATACAGTACAGAAATGATGAAGTTATTAACATGGTGTTTGTCTTTAAGACACAGTTGCAGTGTCAAAAAGGGGAAGAGGACATAAATTATGGAGAGGGTTGTGATGTGAATGTGCTTGTGTTACTTAGTTTGTTGTTCGTACTTTTGTAATGGGGACAACATATAAAACATAAACATTTCATTCGTTTTTATTGTAAAACAACTTTTCAACAAGTCTTGAGTCTATGGATTGTGAGTGAGGGAGGACTCCATTGCGTTTTGCTGCCTGTCAAATCATCCGCCAAACCTGCGAAACGTTTCTTGATTCACTCACGTGGTACAGCCGGGTAGTGAGGCTTCGGACGTCATCATTTTTGGCTCCACCCCTACACGAAGCAAGCCTCGATACGCGCTTCGCGGAAACGCCCCCTTCATTACTCGACACATGCTTCGAAGCCTCGGCACTCAAGGACACATCACTAGATTACAACCAGACAAGATGATATAGTAAATGAGAATAAGAATAACTTTATTTATTCTCGAACGGAAATTTAATTGTCTGTTAGTCTCAGTTGTCATGTGTCAAAAGGTCATCTACGATTTAGAGAAGAATTATAGTCTGATGACTGTGGGTACAAAAGATCTGAATCTTTCTGTCCTGCAAAGAAGAGAGAGGGGCCGTCCACCCTCATTGGCCCTTTGGTTCATTAAGATGTTATGAAGTAGGAGATCTATGTTCTTTAGAATAGTCTCCAGGTATTAGACTCTAGGGGCTCTTTTTGTGTCCACCGGTGAGGCGTCGGAGGGTGGCGGACCCTGTGCAGTGGTATTTTCGTCTGGCGGAGCCCGGCGTACAGCCAGTTTGTGGTGGCATATAAGGTGCGCTTAAAACTCGCTGATACAAACCTGGTCAGCTTTCAGCGCAGGCGGAGTGCAGCTGGTCTAGTGGTATTTTGGTAGACCGGCAGCGTATTGACATACGTCACCGATGCCTCACCGGCAGGTTTCCACAGTGTCAGGCACATTTCAGTGCAATGAATAATCATCAACAACTAATAATCTGAGACAGCACATACATTTAGATCTATATAGATATATTCTGATCTATATCTGATCTGATGAGCGTGTTTGGCACGCGTTTGGACACACAACCTGACCGAATCAACACAGCTGAAACCGCATTAAATTAAATTAAATATCTAGTAAATAAACACACATGATGAAGTGAACAAGATATTTAATTCGTCTCCCTCCTTTTCTTTCTTCCTCTTCCTCTTATTTCTTGCGCAGCTCGACCTGGACATGTCTCCATGTCCTCTCCCCGTCCTGCTGCTGCTGTGGCGGCTGAACAGATGATTTGTTTCAGTGATCAGATGAGTTATTTTCTTTAAGCCTACATGCAAATATTATAATATTCAGTTTTGTGAGTCAAATTTATTTTATATGCAAGCAACTATGAAAGAAAGAGCCAGGCCACGGAGCGTGATGCGTCCTTTACGCACAGATGGTTCCGATTTTAATGCCATTTTTGGAATTTATGATGTGATCTCTGCGCACAACCCACCTTTGTCACGTGAGGTTTGAATATGTGCAACTTTATGTGAGTGTCTTTATTTGTGGAAAAGGGTGTTTGTCTTACCAGTGGGTCCTACCTTACACACACCAAATGGATCTGTGCTTATAAGAGATAGTGTGAAGAACGCCCTCTGCACCGGTTACAGCGACACTTGTTGAGGAGCTGCCTTCTGTCGCCATCATGTGGCATTACTGTCTTCAGACATCTCTTGATCTCTTTGACTGCTTTACGAAAATAGTAATACGCCTCGCCGGTGGCGGATTTAAAAGGGAGGAGAGGAGCTGATGTTATTGGTCAATACAGGTCTCGGCTGTGAATACCAAATTGTGCTTGGAAGCGCCGTGCCGGCGTCGCGGACCTGACTTATGCCGCTCCTGCGCCACGTCTCTGGCGAAGCACGAAAATAGAGCCCTAGGTATTATCTCTTGACTCATTATCTTGAAAGCTGTTAATTTAAGTCATGAAATTTGCATGTGGGATGAACATACGGTTGGGATATCTAATATAGTGGTCAGATTCTATGGTTGGGTGAAATGCTCCCTTGCTCACCCCTTTCGTGGTGACCTATGAAGACAAGAAGCTGCTGTGATGCATAAGTGTGATCCTCCATTTGTCAAATTTTTTATCACAAAAAAAATTTGTCTTTTAAAACAAATTCTATTGCACACTACTCTGACTAGTTTGTCCATTCTGAGCTCCTGTAGAAACATGACAGTGCAATATGCCAGAATCCATACAAGGGGACCCTCTTTTTAAAAAGGCTCAATTGACAATCTTAATTATACACTCATTTGAACATATTTATGGATATTATGTTACAATTCTACCAAGGCTGCTCATCTAAATGACAGTAAATATCACACACACACTGTACCTTTAAGTCTTCTGCACATAGACTGTATACAGTCTATGCTTCTGCACTACAATGTACAGAGGGCTACAATCAAATGAAGGGAGAAGAGATAGAGAAATGCAAACTAAAGCAGATGCTAGAAACTAACATTTTTAAGTTGCAAAAAGAATTGTATTTGTTTTGCAAGTTATCAACTTATTTGGCAAAGTAAATCAAAAATAGTTCCTTTGCTGCATGATAGCTATTGAGTCTCACTTCTCAAATTTACCTTAACTTTTTTTATAAACCAACAAGGTCTAATGAAACTTCCCCGGTTACCACTGCTCTCATATCTCTCTTTCTGAGGCACAATGGCTTTGTTGTTCAGTAACAGTGCCTGAAAACTGTTGTGATCTCCACATAATATTCCTGTAAGTAATCCAACAACCAAAAGGGTTTTAAATTGAGATTTGTCAAATATCACACTAATGCACATCATTTGTAAGCAGCTGATTCAATGTTTTACAAAAGTACAAGGAATTTCCCAGCAATGCAGTGATTCGTGGTCACCAAAGCTTTGTTGGGAGCATCACCTGACACTGCCAATAATAAAAGGGAAGCTGAATGACTTTTCATTAAAAAAAATGCACTTCTTTTAACAAAATTAAAAGCAACAGTTTCCCTGATCGTTCTATAGAGAAAGATGTGAATTAAATGATGTGAAGAAATGCTGTCATCTAGTGGTGTTTTCTCTGACGTCCTGACTTGATTTGTATTCCATATTGGTTCCTTTTGCGCTGTGGCAGTACACCACAGTTTCAACTGTCATTGTCCCCTCCAGATAGTGACTAATTTATCTGTCTGATGTTTGGCACTGGGGAGGAAGTTTACAGCGGGTTTATCAGAGGATCCTCAGAGAATAGCTGCCCTATGTGGCCAATGTCCTCATCAGATAAACAACAGTTAAATTGAAGAACTGGGTCTGCTCCTTTTTTTTTCCTTTTTGATAACTTCCTCAAACAAGATGTTTTAATTCTCAGAATGAGCTCACTTAACTGTCCACTTCACTTAAATGAAGACTGTGTCAGTAATTTATAACCTATGACTTCCTCTTGATCTGAGGCTGCAATATTGTCTTTGAATTCATAGACCCTGTTAGTCATACAGTGACATCAGCTCGGAAAAGTTCATAAACATGATCAACAAGTGACACTGAGTAATTCATACCACTTTCTTCAACATTGGAGTGAAATATGAAGCAATGTTTTTGATGTTTTCAGTCATCCATACAAATGCGGGCATTGTGATGAAGAGAACCCACCCTGAAGGTAAAGCTTTTGATTTGCCAGTTGATCCACTCTCACCTGTTATCATAAGCTGTGATGAGTGATCAAAAGAATGAGATTGCAGATACAAGTGGTCGGACTGAGTTTCCTCCCAAGAGTGATTCAGCTTTAGAGTCACCAATCCTTCAGGAGCCTCCTGGGTGCCTCTCTTTGGGGGGTTTTGGGCAGGTCCAATTGCAAAGGGACCTAGACTGTGCTAAAGGAATTATACATCTTATCTGGCACAGGAAGACCTCTGATTCCCTTACGGTGAGAAAACGTGTTGCAAGGGAGAGAGGTGTTGGGGGCAACTTGCTCAGCGTGCCGTGACCCAGAATAAAATGGATGGATTATTAAATCTGATGTTTTCTGGAGCAACATTCAGGCCACATATTTTCTTTTTAGTCATTTTTTAGCCTTGATTTTTGCCTTGACTGCAGCAAAGAAGTAAAAAGTGCTTAGACCAGCAACCCCTCCAACGGGGGGTTTCTTCACATGGGGAATGTACTGTGACCACTGGGCCAAACAAGCACCTTTAACCAGTGGGTACTTCATTTTTAAGAGGGGCAAACACACTGAGACTTTATTTGTGTCAGTGTGTGTGCTTATGCATGTGTGGCAGTCTAATCAGCATCAGCTCACAGGTCAAGAGTCCAACAGTAAGACTCAAATTGCAACTTCTTTCGACTTAATTAAACCAGGATCTTCTAACAATCTCAAAGCTCTTCTTGACAAAGGCTTACGTTGTTACAGATTGGCGATTTAATGTTGTGAAATAAACTTGAGATTTCCAAATGTGATTCACCATTCAGTTCTGTTTTATTTCAAATCAGTTTTACGGCTACAAACAGGCTCTGGTTCCAATCAAAGAAGTTCAGTGTTCATACAATATGGGCTTGTCGTAGTGTCATCTTTTGATGTGTAATTCTTGATTATACATCTGGTTTACCCATAATCTTTAAGGTGTGAAGAAGACCTATTATACTGATGTGTACTACATACACACGTGGACAAAATTGTTGGTACCCCTCAGTTAAAGAAGGAAAAACCCACAATTCTCACTGAAATCACTTGAAACCTACAAAAGTAACAATAAATAAAAATGTATTGAAAATTAAATAATCAAAATCAGCCATTACTTTTGAATTGTTGATTAACATAATTATTAAAAAAAAAAAAACTAATGAAATAGGGCTGGACAAAAATGATGGTACCCATAACTTAATATTTTTTTGCACAACCTTTTGAGGCAATCACTGCAATTAAACGACTTCTGTATTTGTCAATGAGCGTTCTGCAGCTGTCAACAGGTATTTTGGCCCACTCCTCATGAGCAAACTGCTCCAGTTGTCTCAGGTTTGATGGGTGTCTTCTCCAAATAGCATGTTTCAGCTCCTTCCACAGATGTTCAATGGGATTCAGATCTGGGCTCATGGAAGGCCACTTTAGAATAGTCCAACGCTTTTCTCTCAGCCATTCTTGGGTGTTTTTGGCTGTGTGTTTTGGATCGTTGTCCTGTTGGAAGACCCATGACCTGCGACTGAGACCAAGCTTTCTGACACTAGGCAGCACATTTCTCTCCAGAATGCCTTGATAGTCGTCAGATTTCATTTTACCTTGCACACATTCAAGACACCCTGTGCCAGATGCAGCAAAGCAGCCCCAAAACATTGCTGAGCCTCCTCCATGTTTCACCGTAGGGACAGTGTTCTTTTCTTCGTATGCTTGGTTTTTGAGTCTATGAACATAGAGTTGATGTGCCTTACCAAAAAGCTCCAGTTTGGTCTCATCTGTCCAAAGGACATTCTCCCAGAAGCTTTGTGGCTTGTCAACATGCATTTTTGCAAATTCCAGTCTCGCTTTTTTATGATTTTTTTTCAGCAGTGGTGTCCTCCTTGGTCGTCTCCCATGAAGTCCACTTTGGCTCAAACAACGACGAATGGTGCGATCTGACACTGATGTACCTTGGCCTTGGAGATCACCTTTAATTTCTTTGGAGGTTGTCCTGGGCTCTTTGGATACAATTCGAACGATCTGTCTCTTCAATCTGTCATCAATTTTCCTCTTGCGGCCACGTCCAGGGAGGTTGGCTACTGTCCCGTGGGTCTTGAACTTCTGAATAATATGAGCCACTGTTGTCACAGGAACTTCAAGCTGTTTAGAGATGGTCTTATAGCCTGCACCTTTAAGATGTTTGTCTATAATTTTTTTTCGGATGTCCTGGGACAATTCTCTCCTTCGCTTTCTGTTGTCCATGTTCAGTGTGGTACACACCTTTTCACCAAACAGCAGACTGACTACTTGTCTCCCTTTAAATAGGCAGACTGACTGATTATGAGTTTGGAAACACCTGTGATGTCAATTAAAGGACACACCTGAGTTAATCATGTCACTCTGGTCAAATAGTTTTCAATCTTTTATAGAGGTACCATCATTTTTGTCCAGCCCTATTTCATTAGTTTGTTTTTTTTAAATAATTATGTTAATCAACATTTCAAACGTAATGGCTGATTTTGATTATTTAATTTTCAATACATTTTTATTTATTGTTACTTTTGTAGGTTTCAAGTTGATTTCAGTGAGAATTGTGGGTTTTTCCTTCTTTAACTGAGGGGTACCAACAATTTTGTCCACGTGTGTATGTAAAACATACATATAATGCTACAATGTCATACTAAACAACAGCAAACAGTCAGCTCTTCTTTGTGGTTGTAAAGGAAAGTCACAGCTGTTTTTTCTTCCCAAGGATGGAAGTTTTTATGTATTCAGGACAACAATGTAGCAGTCTCTGTAACCCATTTGACTATTTTGTAAACAAAGGCCAGTACAAGCTAGCTTTGAATCTCAATTGTTACTGAAACCTGAGGCTGTGCCATTTTTAGAGCTTCCTTCAAGGCAACAAACCACAAAATGGAAGAAACTCTATAACAGCAGGTCATGTAATGACAGCTATCATATTCTAACCTGGTGAGAATGGAGCAAAACGTAGCCTTCCAGCTCAAAGAAGCTAGAACAAGGGCTTTCACAGACCCCAGTGTGAGATAATAAAGAAGTTTTTTGAGCTGCAAATTGAGCAAAGGTACTCCATAGATGTCTCCGAAGATATGTATAATAGGTCTCCTTCAAACAACATTTTAACATTAAACAATAATTTCACATTAATTATGTTGGAATTCCAACTCCTGAGACCAAGGTGGTAGTATTGAGAGTGGTATTGATCAGTTCACTTCACTTTCACCAGAAAAATAAGGTCCCAATGCAGCTAATCTTTCTTTACAACTAAGCACAGAAAATAATAAGTCCTCTAGTACCAGACTGATCCAGTATGAACCACTGGCTGTATAAAAAGACGGACTTTAGTGAAACCATAGAAATTAGGAGCACCCTCTACTGGCTGGCTGCAGTACAGGTCAAAAGCCTTCTTCATGCTAACTAATAGGACATGGGTTGAACTCTAAAATCAAAATACATGACTGAAAATTTTCTCCCAAACACTGTCAGCCCTATTAAGTGTTATGATGCTAAAAATAAGGTATAACACCAAATGTAGTGTCCTCAGGATGCCAGGTGCATTGATTTAGCAAAGTAGTGGAGGACTGGTAAGAGACACAGTGACAAACACCAACAAAACGTCATTGAACCTTCCATAACTGTGCGTGTCTGCTTCAGAGGAACACAATGAGCTGTTTCCCAGCGGACTGTGCCTGCTTGAGGGATCTTTGCTGTTTCACTGAGGTTAAAAATATGTGTTTTAATCAGCAGAGAAGAGTCAATACCACCATGACATCCATCTTTATATACAATCAATGGTTTGAATCCATCCACTGCACCTCCTGCCAACCTTCAACAATCAAAAATGTTTCCCTCTTCCTTCAGATATGACATTCTCTGGCACAGCACGGGTGTACCACTCTGACCAACCTCCATCGTACACTGACACCCCAGGGTGCCCGCAAGCATGGGCTACCAGCGCCACATGACATGCAGTCACAGCTGAGCCACACAGGACACAAATAGGGTGGCTGAGGTCCACGCCGGCCCGAGCAAACAGAGCCTGGAGTTGATCCTTAGGCAGGAAGTGACCAGATGGGGACAAGAAGGAGTGGAAGGGGACGCTGATGGAGCCAGGGATGTGGCCTGGTTCTGTGTCTGTCAATCAGAAAAAGAGTGGAGAATGAGGTCCATGCACCTTCAACCAAAGTGGAGCAATTAAACTGGTTTATAAGTAGTTTATCTTTGCCCTAGATTCTTTCTGTTTGCTTGGCGTCTCTTTCTCACAGCAAACTCATGATGGAAACAAAACCTGCAGCTGTAAACACTGCAAACACCAGACTGAGTCAGGGGTCAGATCTGGACTCAAGAAGTCTTGCATCATGTCAGCTACAATGTACAATCAACAAATCAGTGTTTTATACCACATGGAAGTTAGCAAAGCATCAGTCGTAACATAGCTGAGACTATGCTGCAAATACAAATGCTGGCTGCAAAGGAAAAAATAAGTTTGTGTCCTCCTGACACAAGTGAAGAAAGCAAATAATGAAGAAATGAGGTTAGAAGATGCAATATTTATGCATTATAAACTCACTTTTGTCTAAACTGGAACTGGTACCAAATCTTTAAGTCAAAGAGTTCCCACTGCAAACTTCTTTACTGCTGTAATAAAAAGCAGTCTATCATAATTGCACCTCAGCGATAGATCATGGGCATAGACTGTATATAGAACGGACAGCGTCTGCCTCCTTGCTGGGTGAAGCCACTTGGAGAACAGCACCCTCTGGTGACGCTTATGGGGCTGTGGACAAACTTTAGAAATTTATTACACAGAACATAAGTTTTTCTCCCCCCTGCTTGTGATGTTGACATGTAGGTACAGTAAGACTGGTTTGTGCTCAAGTCCTCTTTTTTCTGTGCAGCTCCGTGTTTAAAAGTAAATAGGGGGTTCATGTTTTCTATGATTGACACCTGATACAGCCTATTGGCATTCAAGGATTGCGTAGCTCACCCGGGGAATACGCTGTTTGAGCTGAGCATCATCACAGCGACTCTCCCGCCAATTGCGTACAGTGCTACTGCGCAATGCTGGTTTCAGGAAATGAGGAAAAATCGCGGAAATACCGAGAGCTTTTTGGCTTCAAATCCGTATAATGGAAGGAGGCGGAACCAAGTTGTCCATAGTATAAACAGTCTATGATCCTGGGCTACATGACTGACTAAGACATCTTTACATCTCAAGAGTCCCTCACACACTTCTCTATATATTAGATAAAACATGTGTGAGCTGTTGAGGGTCAAAGTACTCTGCTAACAGTTCTGTCATAAATGTCATAAGTTTCACCTTCACTGTCTTAACGGCACATCAGAGCTTTTCTTTATTACATGCCTTTATTGTGTGTGGTCTTTATGTATGCAGACACTTGTGTGCATGTTGGGGTGGGTTGAAGCGTGTATGCACCAAGATAAGGCACGTACATAGGGAGTGTTATCAATGGATGCACAGTGCTGACTTGAAGGATTTGCAATTCTATCAGGGTGGACAATGTCCATGCCCTCTCCCTGCGAATTGCCTCCTCTAAAGAGTGTTGATGTGTACACCTGTCTGTCTGTCTGTCTGTCTGTCTGTCTGTCTGTCTGTCTGTCTGTCTGTCTGTCTGTGCAGCATATGGGCCAATGAGTGATGATTAAATCCCTGGTTAAGTGAGCATGTCCTGCAGCATTGCTCTGTGTTTGAGTTGTTCAGTGGTTAAAGCTCAGCCCGTCTGTCTGTTTGTTCGGAGTAAACTCTGAAAAAGGCGGACAGCCAAGGAACTCAGTGGACCAAAATAATAATGGTCTTCTACTGCAGATTTTTACCAGGCCAAAAGCTGATGTAACAGACTTTGATAAGCAGCATTGTTTTGTTAATGGAGCGCAAGAGCTGTACTTCCTAACAGTTTGTACGAATTTATTCATCATGCATGCTTTTGAATGCTGAAAAATACACCAAACTGTAATTGATATGGAATTATGAGCATTTGCAACAAAAGTATAGCAACTCTGCGATTTTCAACACCAGCTTAGGAAACTATTTAATATAAACAATCAACGTTTTCTCACTCAGCATGTTTGTTTAACCTGTCAGATTGAGGTCTGGGTATTATGACCATGCTTAAACACAATTTTAATGCTGTCAGGTGAAGTTTAAGCCAGCCTTCAGATAAATTAGTGATTTAAAAAGGGCTTTTTGGGAGTTTTCCTAGGGTTCATAAAACATGCAGCAAACAAGGTGCTGCGCAAAACACGGGACCAGCAGAAAGATGATATGAACTGTGAGTTGTTTGACCTTACATGTTTATACCTTATACCTTAAATGTTTTTTACCACACTTTTTATTGATGTCACTCTACCAAATGATGCTACTGCACATGGCTATGTTTTATTTTTTTTACAGTACAGGCCAAAAGTTTGGACACACCTTCTCATTCAATGTCTTTTCTTTATTTCTTTATATGACTATTTACATTCTAGATTATCATTGAAGGCATCAAAACTATGAATGAACATGTGTAGAATCTTGTACTTAAAAAAAAGGGTGAAATAACTGAAAACATGTTTTATATTCTACTAGTTTCTTTAAAGTAGCCACCCGTTGCTCTTGATAACAGAAGTACTTAGTCAGTCACAAAGTAACCCTGACAAGGCACACTTGTGAAGTAAAAACCATTTCAGGTGACTACCTCATGAAGCTCATTGAGAGAACAGCACAAGTTTGCAGCGCTATCAAAAAAGCAAAGGGTGGCTACTTTGAGGAATCTAAAATATAATACACGTTTTAAGTTATTTCACACTTTTTTCTTAAGCACATGATTCCACATGTTCATTCATAGTTTTAATGCCTTCACTGAGAACCTACAATTTAAATAGTAATGAGAATAAAGAAAATGCATTGAATGAGAAGGTGTGTCCAAACTTTTGGCGTACTGTATAGCATGCAGTCCAACTGTCAGATTTGCTGCAGACCAAGTGTGGTAAAAGTAATAGATGAGTTTTGATTTGTCAGAAGAAAACTGAAAAATATTAAAGAGATGATTGTTACCTTTCTCATACCACAAGTCCTGTCCTCTGCCTGCAGATTTCACATCAATATGGAAATTTTCAATGACAAAGACGCGCTGAACAGCAATCAGTCAGCAGAATCATTCTGAATCACAGTCCTTGTGTTGTGGTTTTTGTAAAGTGAAAACATACTCAGCACTCTGTGGTCAAAGGTACTGAAGTTATGTATGCTTCTAAAATACCCGAAAGACCACTTGGCAGAAATTCAAAGCATTTGTGCCACTATTTAAAACACTGTTATCAATTTCACTATATTTCTTTGTTTGCTGCACTGGAAAGCTGCTGCAACAAACATTTACCATAAAGACACAAGGACTTTGAACAGGTGAACCAGTTTTACCCTCTTTTCCGTGTTTCCAGTCTGAAAATTTCTACCTATACCATCAGCTAATCAATGAAAGGTCAGTTCATATCTGATCAGTAGCACTTAAACATGTGGTGCTTGATAAATGCATATATACGGCTCTGGATTATACTTGGAACAGTTGCTATAGACACAAAAGCAAAGGATTAGGCCCATAATAAACCAGATTTCTCTTTATGGTGGTCTTGCTGCTAGGTAATGTGTATCAGACTGAGGTTTGAGTGTTTAAAATATACTGTCATATAGTCAAGTAAACGTTTTGAAAATACTAGAATAAATAGAAAGTTTTCTAGCCATTGTTACTTTTATTATTTATTTATTTTATTACAGTCATATCTCCTTTAATCAATAAAAGTTAAAGATCTTGCACGTTTTTTTTAATACTTTGCGTACCTTTGAGATCAATAAAATCCCATTTCTCTGTATGCAGAGACAAATAAACACACTGCGTATTCTTTCGGCTTTCACTTTTGTATCTCGTTTCTATTAAATTCAAAGTTGCATGAAATCAAGAAATACAGTAACTGTCAGACAGACTTTTTGGCAGAATGGGTAGGCTACTTACTATCTCTGGGTTCAGGGTCCAGTCCTTTAAACCTCCCTGCAGGTCTGGCGTCTACTACCAGGAACTCTTTGGTGTCCAGGTTGTCCAGGATGTCCTCATAGGTCTTTATCCATGAGCGGTTCAGGGAGGCCTTAAACTCGGTCTGCTCTGGTCTCACATACTTGTCACTCACCGGTCTACCCTCCAGTTCCCAGTTCCTGAGCCCCCCGTTGAGCAGTGACACCGAGCTGTGCCCGAACACCCGGAACATCCACCACACACGGGGCGCGGAGAACGCGCCAAATTCGCTGGCGTCATACACCACGACGTGCGTGTCGCTCTCAATCCCTAAATTTCCAACGTAATCGGCGAAATCCTTCTCAGAGGGCAGCATGTGGTCCAGAGGAGAGGTTTTATCGCAACACTTGTCAATGTCGAAGAAGGCTGCGCCGGGAATGTGTTTCATCTTAAACTCGCTTTTGGCGTTGCGCCGCAATTTGGGTAAATACCAAGAAGTGTCCAAGACGCGCAGTTTCCCCTGAACTTTTAGGGCCTCGGCGAGCCATTTTGTGGTGAGGACAGCGCTCGATTGACGTGCCATGGCGTGAGGTAGACGGGCTACAAAGTTTAGTTTGTTCAAAAGGTCGAATTTATCCTGTCTCAAAGGTTGGTGGTAACAAATCATGTGTATCAACGGTGGAGAACGAGAGAGAGGAAGCAAGCATCAACAAACACGCCCCCACTTCACTGTCCAACAGCTGAAAGTGAATGGAAGCAATGACACGCCTCAGTCCGTTTATGGACTTAAACGTGGATAATAAGCAATTATAAATGTAACCTGAAAATTTACATTGACTTTATTTGTCTTTTACCTGCCTTTTATTTGATTTAGATCATTTAAACCGTATTTATGCATTGGTAAAATCGTATTGTTTTCCTTGTATGATTATTGCATTTCTGCAATATTTGTGTATTGACACATTGCTCCATAAAGTTGGCTTGGGGTTGTATACTGCCTCGGCTTTAAATTTTTACCGAAAACCCCCTTTCCGGCCATTAAAAAAACAGGCCTGCACATTCTAAACATGTGCTGCTGATGTTGAAAACATTTTTACATGGCTACAATCTTTATTTTATTATTATTACTTTCTACTCTGGCGAGGAGACTTTTTGTAAATAATGGAATATAAATAAGTAGCATTTATTGTTATTATTATTATTATTAGTAGTAGTAGTAGTATTGGTGGTAGTAGTAAGAGTAGGAGTAGTAGAAGTAATAAAGAATGGTGTCGTAATCCTCATAACAGGAGTTGTAGTTGGTAAAGGTAGACGTAATTAGCCAATGCAGAACTGCCATCGTCTTCAACTGTTTCTAGTCGGTTGCTTCACAGTGCAACACACGAGTATTGTTGGTGGAGTCACGCGTTGCTATTTATCGTTCAGCGCGCATGTTTATGAATTTTAACAAAACCTGACTTGTTTTGATCAAGATGTCGGCGTCGTTGATCAGAAGAGGATTGGAGCTGCTGAGTGATGACATTAATGGTTTGTTTACCCTTGTAGCTTGTTAGCTAGAGCGCAGTTAGCTGCAGTAGCATGAGCATCCGGATCTTTATCCCCGACCGAGGTTCGTGAGTTCGGGTCTAGTTTCACCTTTACCAGTTTGTTCTTTTAGTTTTGTGTTATTCATTTTATTTTATTTTATTTTTTTTTTTTTTTTGTTCCTATGGTGTGGCAGTTGGCAAATTAAACAGAAAAGCAAGCAAGTTAAGATTCAGTAAAGAGCAGATAAAACCCGAAGTGCAAGAGAAAAGGGAACAATTAAACATTAGAAAGTAACATTCTTAAAAAAAAAAATAGGTCCTTAAATTCGTTAAGTTTTTAAAGTAATTTGAGTATCGTGACTCTTGGTGAAGTGACATTTTACTACAGCACTAAATCGCTATAAATGGTCAATGTTATATAGAGTATTTACTTGCTTTTAAAGTTAAGGTTGTTTTTTCTTTTTATGTTTTGAAATGTGTTTTAACCCTGGTAGATGTCAGTAAAGTGGGAAAGAAGAAAAAGCAGCAGCAGACTCCCAGCTCGACTACAGTCATGGCGCTGGTGAGCACCAAGAGGCAAGGAGTCACCAAGCAGGTCAAACGCCTGCAGGGTCGCCTCAGACCTGGCAAGAGCAAAGCTACGGTTAAAGACAAGAAGATAAAGTCTGCAGTGGGTCAGTTACAGCACAGTGTTTGTAAGAAAACACATCTTTAACAAATATTTATAATTTATTCCAGCAAATTGCAGCTAAGGGGTTCTTATAAGGTATCATTACAGAACTGCAAGCTTTTACAATGCTTGGCCCTCTGATGTGACCTTGTTAAATGACATCAGTCATGTCTTCTTGCTCTGATCTAACTATTCTCCTTTGGTGCTGATCACAGAGGAGTTCAGGAAGAAGCAGAGGAAGAACCAGATGAGTACTAACCTCAAGTACTTTATGAAAACAGACTGCAAAGCAACAAGCTCAGACACCTTGAAGGTAAAAAAGGTGAAAGTGCTCGCTCAGTACAGTTTGAATTAAGTTCATCATGCACTTTTGACCTGGTCTGTCTGTCTGTCTGTCTGTCTGTCTGTCTGTCTAGATCTTGAGTCACAGTACGGGAAGACAGTCCAGGAATCGCCCCAAGAAACCAGCTAAGGAAAACAAGGAGTCACAGTCTTTGTTCACAGAGGCAGAGTTCCAGCAGTTTCAAAGGGAATACTTTGGGAGGACTGTGGAGAAGAAATAATGGGGCACATCCAAACAGACAAGACACTGCAGACACAGCGGAAAATCTTAAGCTGTGCTTTGATGACTATATTTGATTACTGGACCAGATAGTGTTCTGGAAGGTCACATGTTTCAGCAACAGAATAAGACTACAGATGGGAAATGCTGATATGACTTGTACATCTGATGGTGACTGCAGACAAAGAATGATCTCTGTTCATTTTCCTGCAAAGAGTTTAACTCCAGATTGGCTCCACTGTGAATATGCTGTGGCATTAACTCACTAGCCTTAAACTAAGGGTGTAATGTTGCTTATCTAAATGTCCATATTTTAATTAGCTGCACCCTCACTCTTCATCTGACTTATATAATTTTCAATTTTTTCAAATGCACTAATATGAGTTTTGACAAGAAAAAGAAGTTTTGCTTGTCATGGAAATGAACATATATTTCAAAGTCATGATTAACTCAGCTTGTGTTCCTCTGTAAAAACCTTCATCTGGTCCTTTTAAAAACCGTTCAAGTTTTTTTAAAATAAATGTGGGAAGCACTGGCATTCCTGTTTTAGTGACTGATTATTTTCAGTAAATTTTTGTTTGTCAGCAAAATATTCCTTACGCTGAAAACAAATAAAAAGAACCATACAACCATCTTTCCTTTATGTACCTAAATTAAAACTGATCCAGTTCAGAACTAGCTTGTTGTGATTGGTCCTAATTTATTAAAGAAGTGTATCCCCTTCATAACACTAGAAAAGCACTCAGAGAGCGCAGACCTCCGCCAAGCAGCTCATGTCCCCCCTTATATTGTGATTCACACCAAAACTTTTACTGTTGCATGTCTTATATTAAATTTTATTTGTGTTTAAACTGGTATGTTCACTGTTCATAATGTTCCTAAAACAACAAAGCTCATATTAGATACATAAATGCATGATTTATTATGCAATATTTGTAAGCGTACACTTCCTTATATCTTCATTGGTGATCTTTCAGCATTGAAAATTCCAACGACCCCCTTATTTTTGTGTGTTCTGGATCACAGTATCCGGAATTTTGTCTGGATCAGGATCAACCTTTGACACCTCATAAAACTCATTGAGATCATTTTGTGTAATTTTTTACTAAAGACTCTGGCCATTTTTATAGAGTTAAATGCAAAAATTCCAAAATTTGCCCTATCTCACAATGATAAAGAATCCTTCAAAAAATTCCTGGATCCAGAAGGCGATCCGGATCACCACCAAAATGTAATGGGATCCTCCTGGGGCTGAGATGCACCTCTGAGGAAAATTTTAGGTCAATCCGTCTGTAACTTTCTCCGTAAAGTTGCTAACAGACAAACAAACCAACATAACCTCCTTGGCGGAGGTAATAATTCCTTCTGCATGCCCTTTCATTTTAGGCCTTTTTTCTTTCTTTCTTTTCTTTTTTGCGGATAGCCACAAGAGGGCAGCCTATCCCTTCCCTTTGTTACTATAACTAAGTTCGTTGAGGTTGACCGACCGCTGCAGACTTCACGGTGCATGAATGGTGCACAAGGCAATGGAACTAAAATGTGTTATTTTCGATGGCATGAGAATTTTTATGAGTAAAATTAGAAAATGTAGAAGTTTAAATCTTATTATTAAAGCCAGTTGCGTGCTGTTTTAGCTGAAGTGTTAAAAGTTTTCCTTGGGCGACCAGCAGATAGAGAAACAACCATTTATGCCTCAAGCAAGCATTTATCCGCAATAAGATGCTTTAAAGCTGTTTTAAGTGAGGTGTCCAGCACAACATGTACAGTCTTTGAAAACTTAAAAAATAGTACTGTACAACTTTAAGGTGTCTACGTTGTGATATAAAAGAATTTGAAAAAATAATGAAAATTATTGATGATGAATTGTTTAAAAAACATCAAAAGTAAGAAAAGTATCTCCACAGTAGGTGTTGTGTAATGATTTGTAGTCAGTCATTTTTGTGATGTTCGTAGACCCAATGGCTCCTATGAAGTTGCAGAAACTCTTTCCCTCCCTCAATGTTTACATCCTGCATTTGACCTACATTTGCCGTATGGAGGCACTCGTGTGTTGTGCTCCATATGGATCTATTTTGTTGGTTCTATAGTACGCATCCAACCAATCACAAATGACTCCATGGCCGGATTTTGACTTCTCATTTCAGATCTACGCTGCTCCTGTCGCCCAGCCGAAGGGGGTCCAGTTCGTTTATTCTTGCATATCAACAGAGACTCTTCTCACTCGCCCTGTTGTGAACACCAACCCCCGCCGCGGAGTGACACTGCGGAAGAATCGACGAGGCGGTTCTTCGGCCCTTCATATACAGGAGTGCCTCTCCCCACGTATTCACCATTCCGTACACAAACAGTGAGATAGCAGACTAACACAGGACGCTCTCCCGCTTGAATATGGCAGCATAAAGGCGTGCGGCGGCGAAACTTGCAGCGGCAAAAACCCGGCAGTGCAACGGCGAAGTGCACTGGCAGTTTCTGGCAAAATGGCGTAAGTATTTAGAAATGTGTTTTTTTTTCTTTTAGTTAATAATGATGAATCGTCTTGTCAGAATGTGTGAATGTTACACTTGTTGAGTGTAGCCAAGTATATAAAGTACTATCCTATAATGTTTGTTCAAACAAACAAGTTCACCTTGACGTGTTTTGAATATTGCCAAATACGCGTTGGTCTCAAATTACAAACTGTCAGTTGAAGAAATCCCAGCCGGCACGTGAGCCTGTGTCCTGCCATTAGTGAGACGTTATAATGGTTGTGCCAACTAACAGCAAAAGGTCTTTCATTAGCTGTATTTTTTTTATCCTAAAAAATGTCAAAATATCTATGAAATTCTTACACGTTTTTTGATTTTATGTAAAAGAAATATTGTCAACGTGGCGTGTCCAAAATGGCGCGCAGTGTTCTTTTTACTCAGCTCTTGTATAGAGATAGTTCTGTTTGTGAAAATGGCGGTTGCCCGCCCACTTCTCGGTCGTGAGTCACGGATGTAGGCGGAGTCGCTGGCCAAAGTATGACCAAATTAGGAAATGCTATCCCCCGGTGGAGGGCGAAGTGTTTTTTTTTTTTTTTTCTTCCTCCGTCAACGCAGCTTTGACACTGAGTGGAAGGATTAGCCAAAATTAGCCTCCCCTCCCCCCAGTGCCAACAGCCTTAATGCTCTAAGCACACCTTGTCAGGAAAGCTGCATTGTTACTTAAGGGGTAATGAGTCAGGAAACGTGTGCTCTCATCAAGACGTGTAAACACTGTATGGAGTTTTCCTCACATGTAGTAAAACTTGGCCAATTAAAACGCTACAGTCATGTAGCGTACTTATGTACAGTTCATCAACCCACTTTTCATGGTAGGAAAAGTTCAGTGGACACATTGTTCCCCTTGACAAATGTAGCTACTGAATTATGTGCAATCCCGTTTTTCTCATCTTAACATTGTCCTACACATCTGTGTATTCTTCCCAGGTCTCTCTCGGCAACCACCCTCAGCTTTGCTGCCGTCGACAGCACTACCGAACCGCTCGACTTGCTATCAACAGACTTGTCTTTATTCACCCTCCCACGATTACCACTGACCAGCAGCAACCATGACACTCTCCCAGCTCGCCTTGGAGGACGTGGAGGCCCTGTACTTAGGTTGGTGATGTGACAGTGACGCATGTTCCCTAAGCACCACTTGAAACATGACTCAATACAGGCCACGCAGATGGATTGTAAGCTCCGTACCTTTAACATGATATCAGAAAAAAGGAAAAGTAGGTGCCATCCTCTGCATAACTGATTATAGATTTTCACCGTCTCCTTACTCACCTAAATTAACTGACTCTCAAAATTAGGGATATTTTTATCCTGTTAAATATGAATGCTATTCTCAAAGTCAGCATCTGTGTTCACAGGGCCCTCATTTCTGATGGCTGACCCCATGGGGCCCCTTCTGGACCAAGATGAAGAAGAAGCTCTTTCTCCCTCCTCCTCTCTAGAGGGGAAGGCACCAGCTTCGCCTCCCCCCTCCTTCTCCTCCTACGCATCTTCCTTGTCTCCCTACCAGACCTTATCGTCCTCACCACTGTCTTCTGCATCCCCACCTCCCTCACCACCTCCTCTTACTCCCTCCCACTCCCTCCAGGGAACCAAGGCTGGAGTGGACACACTGTCCCTTCCCTGGCTGGGTGCCAGTGATCTGCTTGATGCCCATATCGAAGCAGATGATGGCAAAGGTGAGTGTGAATTAAGTTTTATCCATCCACAAAATATGTGTCTGAAGATAAGCTGATGAATGCAATTGAGTTTTGAATAAATATGTCATATGGTTCCCTCTGTTTATACAAAACCCTTGAGGCTGCCCTGCAGACATCCTTAAAAGTTCCAGTGAGAAACTTTGTGCCATTTTTTGGTGTTCCTTGTTGATAGAGCAGCTTTTACTTATCTTGTCTGCTACATTCTTGAGTAGTTTTTATAACAAATCTCATCCTGTGGACTTTTGACAGTCAAATGTAGTATTTATCATGAATATTTTAATTGGAAATTGTGAAAACAGGGATTTTTTTCTTCAGCTGCAAGACTTGGACCTGCACTCTCACACGAATTTTAAACCGTTTAAATAAGAACTGAATAAATCTTCAGTCTTGTTGTTGATGATCTTGTTTGATTTTACCATTAAAAACCATCAACATGAAGTTTAGTCTATGTCATACATGTCAAAAGTTTCTCATAGGAGCTTGTAAGACTGTAGAGTTTGAACATATGAAGCTAGTTTGCCCCGTTTTCAAGGAGGTTCCCTATTCTCAAAGGAAAAAATTATACTGGGGAATAAAGCCGGTTACTGCTAGCAAGCCCCAACCTCACAGGGTCTGAAAATTAAAGACACAACCCAGTAATTGGTAAGTGGGTTGGGACACAGAGAGCAAACATTGGTTTGCAGCTTGCAGGTGTGGCAGCAAAGTGTGTGGTTAGGACAGACCCAAACTGGTCTTGTTCTGTGTGTCATTTACTGTGACGTGATTGCATTTGTGTAATATCTGAAATTAGGGTGGCGCTCTTTGTGGCTTTTGGCCTGTGTTACAGAAAAAGGATCCTGTTTTTGATGTACAGTCTTTTCCACATTTCAAAGTGACTGTACAACATAGAGATAAAATGTGCAGCGCATCAAAACCAAGAAATAATGTAGTTTTTTAAAGATCTGATTAGATACTAATGAAAATTTCTCTCTGTCAACAGATGACACATTTGCAGACATGGACTGGATGTCAGAAAAAATCGACCTGAGTGAATTTGATTTAGATTCTCTCATCGGTTCCTGCTCATCTGACGAGTCCCCCAGCTCCCCTGAGGATCTCCTAGCCTCCCTTGACTCTCACATGGATTTGGATCTAGACTCTCTCGACACAACTATCCCTGTCCCAAACAACAGCCTGGAACTGGGTTTGCCACTTCCCAGCATCCCTTCCCTTCCTGATGAGTTCCCTCTCCCTGGGCCAGATGAGGCAGAGTCAACAAAGTTGTTGCCCAAACAGGAGGTTGTAATGAAGTCTGAGCCTCTCTCCCCCGTCCCCTCTCCCCCCCCCTCTTCTCCAGTCTGTACACTGGAGCTGGGAAGTGAGGTGGATGTCCTTGATGCAGGGAAAACAACAACATCCCTCACAGCCACCATCATTCCAGACCCCAGTGGAAGCATTCAGACCGGCAGCCCTATTGTGCTCTCTCTTCCCACCTCAGGCCACATAGTAGTGGTGCTCACCAATAATGAGGAGCCCTCTCTTGTGTCTCTCTCCAAACAGTCTATTAAAATCTCTCCTCCATCCAGCGACTGCGACAGCGACTCTGGCATCGAGTCCGGTGCTGGCTCGCCTTCTCGCCTTCCCTCGCCTCCTCTGACCCCCTCTCCATCAGCTGGTTCTTCCAGGACCAAACCCTACACCAAGCCAGAGCCCACCACCACTACCTCTCCAATGGCAAAGGTGAAATCAGTAAATGGCACTCCCAAGGTTGTGGAGAAGAAGCTGAAGAAGATGGAGCAGAACAAGACAGCTGCCACTCGCTACAGACAGAAGAAAAGGGTGGAGCAGGAGCTGCTGGGCTCAGAGCTGGAAGACCTGGAGAAGAGGAACCATGAGTTGAAGGAGAAGGCAGAGTCCATCAGCCGAGAGATCCAGTACCTGAAAGATCTGATGGAGGAAGTCCGTAAGCACAGGCGTGGAAAGACCAGCTCAGCGGCTCAATAGTGTGTAGGAGGCACAAAGTAGCTATGTGGTTTTGTTTCTGCTCTAAATGCCTGCATGCCTCTAAAGTATAATTTTGGGGAAGAATAGTATGCAAGGAAGTGGCCAGTGAAGTGAAAAGAGGGAACAACTGGATGAAGAGGAAAGTCTCTGATAGTTAAGTGATTATTAGAGTAGAGCAGGGGGCTGGGAGGTAGTCAGGTGAAGCATCTGTACATGCTTGTCTCTCAGTCCCCTGTTAGGTCCCCAGAATGTACGCCCTGCCTTAACTAGCAGTACTCTCACCCCACAGGCAGGTTGTATGTTCATCTTGTAGACTAGGCATGCTAATCATGATCCACCGTCATTTCTGGTAGTGTTGTAGACCTAAACCAGTTTTGGAAGACACTCCCATTATCACGAAAGACCAGACCCTCCTGCTCAGTGAACTAGCTCCATGTCAGTAGAGTAAGATATAACTTGTCTTCTACCTTGCTGTTACCTACTCCCTCTACCTGTTGTCACCCCATTTTGACCTTCCTCTCCACAGCTTCAAGTCCAGAAAGGGGCCTCAGCCTATATATGAATTCTTGATGTTACACTGTCAACACAACATGGATGTTTTTGTGTGTATATAGCTTCCTCCACTTTTACTTGCCAATTATGGCTTTTGTTATTTAATTCTGGGTAAACCTGATAGTTGATCTAGTTGCTGAGTCTTGTAGTGCAGCTGTTGTGCTTGTAAAAATGCTCCTCTTTCTTTTTCTAATAAATATCTATCAGTACAATCAAGGGACAGGTGTCTTTTTTACTTCAGGTGAAAAAACAATAGTGGAGCTCAAATATTTGAAGTTATGTGGGAAAAACTGGGAATTAGCGAAATAGTGTTTTCAGAGAATAACATCTCTTCATTGCCTTTTATTTTCAAGGTATTTTGTGTAGAAATGGGAGTGTCACTATTTTGGCAGTCTGATTTTAGACTGCGCCCCCTTGCACACCCCTGTTGTTAGTGAAACAACGATGGCCTTTGAGGACAAAAAGCTCAGACGCCACATAATGATAATTTGTGCACTGTTCAGAATTAAGTATATTAGTAATGATGGTGTTTTAGGAACATGTATTTTATACTGAAGCATTTCAAAACAGATTGTTGCCTGAACAGTGGCTGATCAGGCCCTGTATCATGAAAATGCTGATGTGTTGGCATCACTGGACTCACTTTTACTGTACTAGTATTTAGATGTCCCATGCTTGACTAATACAGCTCCTGTCCTTTTCTGCTTTGTTTGGTGTGATCAAACATTAGTGACATTAAGCTGGTTTAGTGGGACCAGCCAGAGGGCGTGAACACCCAAGGTTGACCTACATAGACCAAAGCATACCTGGAAATCTTGAAATGTCAGAAGTTTGGATGTTAGTTTCATCCTGAAGGCAGTAAAGGCTTAAGTCTCCCAACTATTCAGCAAACTTAAAGATCACATGTCTTGCTTACTGCTGTACATTTTCTACCGATTTAACTCGACAAACCAGCTCAAACATTGAGGAGAAATCCCCTCCTCAGTCCCTGGAGCTCTTCTGCTGCTTTCTATAAGGAAACGAGAGGCAAGAAATGAGAGAAACACCTGGGCCAAAGCTTTATGGGAAAGGCCTTGAAATTGTGAAACCAGACAACACTTAACAGTCTCACATTTTACAGGTGGGTGTTGGAGAGAGGGGGATGGAAGGGTATACATGATGGGGGAGTTAAGCAACAGATATCTGCGTAGTCTAAACTTTGGGTAACAGATGCAAGTGTCAGCTGTCGTTTGTGTGTGCTGGTACATTTTACCAATGAAAAAAATTTTACCTCCTTGAAACCATACCTGGTTAGTGTTTGAGATTTGGTGTGTCAGAGTGAAAGGGACTCAGTGTAGTATCCCTGAAAGTGATCCTGTGTGTGATTTTGTGCGCTGACGTCTGTCACGCAGCTGTGTAAATTTAGTCTTGGCAGTAAAACAGACACAAACACACTCCCACATCACCGCAGGCAGATTCCTCAGCAGTGAGGCCTTGCCCTTCTGAGAGGACGGAGATAAGAGGAGCTGAATGCAGAGGGAAAGAGATAATGAAGGCCGCTTTAGTATGACTCTGATGTGGGTTACAAAGGAGTTGTTCTGGGGATTGTTCATTTAATATTTGCTCTTTAACAGCCATGATTCCTGTTGTCTAAGAAGAAAACAACTCTTGATCATCTGCTACTGAAAAGGGATCTGATAACACAAAGGAAGTCAAGCAGACACCAGAAAGTCATTGCAAAACTTGTCTCACCATGGCATATCACTTGAGAGAAACATAATGAGGGACAGAAACATTGCAAAAGACTTTTAGTGGAGCTTCTGTGCCAAAATGAAGAAGTGAATTGCTTGAGTGAAAAAAAAAACGATGAAAAAAGAGGAAAGTTTCTTGTAAAACATATATTTCAACAACTTTTTAGTAACCTTTTTTAATATATAAATTATATTCTACAGTTATTATACTCATTACAGGCAAATCTGGTCATATTTTTGGCTGGCTATATCTTGAAATAAGACATTTTCTGGACATTTTAGCTTAGATTACATGGCTTACATTATGCCCAATTAGACAGGTAAGACACATACTATCATCACTTGTTTTTTTTGTTTTTTTTTTTAATTTACCGTTTTATTGACATTCTGCAATGAATGTGACATGTACATCCATTTCAACTATCAATCATAGAGCGTCAGCATGAATGTTCCTTTTCTAGCAGTAAAGTGACAAAAATACATAGGAACATAACAAAAACATGAACCTGTAGGGAGTAAGGTATGGTCAGTGCTACAAAGTATACTAATTAAAGTTAACCAAGCCAAATTCTGGTCTGTGTGGTGTTATATAGTCTATCCATTTCTTCCAACATGAAGCAAACAAGTCCTTCTTGTAATTTACATCCGCAGTTAATTTCTTCATTCTGTATATGTCCATAGTGATGTCCATCCACGTGGTCAATGTTGGGCTCTCCTGTGAAAGCCATTTCCTTGTGAGGGCCTTTTTTTCCTGCCACTAACAGAACACCAAATAAATATTTGTCTATCCTTGGCCATTCTTCAGACATAAGTCCAAAAAGCAAGATGTTACTTTCCATAGGCAGATGACTCCCATGGATGTCTTGTAATGCCTTATGTATTCCCTCCAAATAGGGTTTGATAACCCAACATTCCTCCAAAATATGATAATGATTTGCATTTGTTTTCCACAATTTCTCCAACAGGCTGAGAAGTTATCTTTACAGTGGGATTTTTGGTAAGGTGAAATAAAATATCTAATTAGGCTTTTCCAGCCAAACTCCTTCCAGGTCTGTGAGCTGCTACATTTCCACTGATATTCCCAGATTGTTACACACTCTTCCTGTCAGCTCTATTCATCCTTCCATTTCCTATTTTGTTTCAATATACAAGGATGAATGTGCTTTCTTATTTATAAGCCCTTTATATAGTCCTGAGATAATACCTCTATGATGCACATGAACCGAGAGGTTGCTGCAAATCTGGTCTCTCTGTATTATCTGTAATTTTTTAAAATTTTGCTAGTTTTTTCATATTTTTGTTGTCATTTTATTGGCTACTGATGGATACTTCTGCTGGGCGAAGAGTTTACTCAAGAGAAGAGCTCCTTTCATTGAGGAAAAGCAAATCTGGACAACAACATACAATTCCAGAGGACATCAGGAGGTGTTATCGAGGTTGCCGTGCTGGTGCAAAGGTGAAGGCAAAGCTGAATGCTAGGAGGTGGTGATATAAACCCTTTCTTCCAGCATCATGGGAAACATCAACTCTTTGCCCAACAAAAGCGATGAGCTGGATATATTGGTGAAGACTGAGAAAGCATACCGTGAGTGCAGTTTCCTGAGTCTACAGCTGGGGCGGGTACCTACTCTGTGGAAAACATCCTGCATCGTGACAGTACCAAAAACAAAATGTCCTGCTGAACTCAATGACTACAGACCTGTGGCCCCTTATTTCACACATTATGAAAACCCTGAAGAACACATTGGAGTGGATGATGCTGTCCTCTACATGCTTCACCATGCCCTGTCTCATCTGGAGGAACCTGGGGTTTATGTGAGGATCATGTTCTTCGACTTTTCGAAGACTTTTCAAGTGCATTCAACACCATCAAACCCACCATACTCCAAGACAAGCTCACAGGAGTCTCAGGACCAATCCTTATTCTGTAGCCGGCCATTTTGGCAACGATGGATTGAGGCGCCATGTTCAGTGGTGGCTTTGGCACCAGGGCGCGGTGCAATCAGGCAACTCCAGCTTGTTCCTTAACAAATGTTCCACAAAAGCAGCCATTGATGGTGCGTCGTCTTCTGATCCCTCTTTGACACCATGTATTCTCAGATCTTCTCTTCTAGACCGTCCCTCCAGATTTGTCAGCTTAGCACTCATTTCCATATTCAGTTCAAGCATCTCTGTTACTGCTTCCTCATTAGTTGTTATTCGAGTTTCAATGTCGATGATTCTTTCCTCAGCCTCTTCCACTGTCTTGTTTGTCTTATTGGTATCCTCTCGGATTCCCTTCAGCTGTGCATCATTATCTTTTCTGAATCCCCTCAGCTCCCTGAGTATTAGGTCCAGACCCGCATTGCTTGTTCCCCTTCATCTGCGAACATCTCGTTGTCCTCCACAGCGCTGCTAGCGGGCGAGATCTGTTCGTCTCCATCTCCCACTTCTTCTGCTTTTTCTTTTTGGCATCATAAAGCCCTCACTTTGTGTTATACTTTAACACTAGTCGTTTTGAATTCAAGTCGCTGTGGGCTGTTTTTTATCTCTAGGGTGGGGAGTGTGTTCTCCTACGCTGCCATTTTCTTTCACACCAAACCGGAAGTCCCATCATCACTTCTTTGTATATATCTGTTTCTAAAGCTAGAACCGTTGGCTGACTTGATTGTGAAAAGCCCCAAATTTGTCTTGCTTTGCAGCCGCTCTACATAGAAGGCAAGATACAAATATATACACAATAAAACTAACATTTCAAACACCAAAAGGCGTATTCAGAGGCCTATGCTGTACTTGGATGTGTGTGTGCTTTAGCCTACCCTTATTAAAACATCAGACCCTGTATCTCAGGTTTGATGGTAAGAGTTTGAAATCACAGTTTAGGGCATGGTGAGGGTCAGAGACAATGTAAGCCAACCATTGTTACCAGGCTCTTACTGAAGCCTGATTCATTGAGCGTGCATCATGTGGTGTTGTGCTGACGGACCAGGACAACATCCATCCATCCATCACCTGAGGGTTTTTGCTTAAACCTGGAACTGTCATTATTATATCATTAGCTTTTTATGCAATTAAAATGCTATTCACCACTCTGTTAAAAAGAGTGGATATTTGAAACGACTTGGCAGCAGGAGATATTTCTGAAACCAGAGAGCTTGCAGTGTGCCAGTGAGAGTCAGAGTCGGGTGGCTGACTTAAAATCAGTGTATGTTTCATAACAAGACTGGATATCAATCAAAATATATCACTGTTAATTTGTTTTTTTATCATCTTAGCACTTCCTGTGAGCTTCCTTATTTATACACTTATTTATTCTTTTCCATTAATGTATTTCTGCTCGCTTTATCTTGTTTTTTGATTGTTTTATTTGTTTTTATGTGTCATTGTACCGCACTTTGGCTACCCTTGTGGTTCTTTTAAATATGCTATAGAAATAAAGTTGATTGATTGATTGATTGATTGATTGACTGTTCATTAAAATGTATATATTATAAAAGCATAATCAGAATAAAGAATCCAATGCATCTACCATGGTTTGATATCTACAAAAAGTTAAGGTTGCTTCACCTTGGTTATGAGGGTAAAAATGGAAGATACAGTGAGCAAAGTTGTTGGCTTCAGTCATTTTAATTTTAAAGCTGCTCTCCACTCTCACAATAGCATTGCTCATGTAAACCATGTGAAATTATTGGCAGTGTGCAATTACATTGCCATCTTGTGCAAAGTCTGGTGCCCTAAGCCAAATTTAGCTTTATGATGATGTATGTAATGCTGATCTAAAACAAGGGGTTGGAGGTTGGGGGAGGAAAGAGGATTGTCTGTCAGGCTATAAAAATCTGCAGAGCATGTTTCAGGGATCTGTTTCTTTCTCACATGAGACATGACCTTAAGAATCGGGTATGGCTGAAATTTACATGCATGTGGGGTCCAGTTACTGCAAGACCCTCAAACATGCTGCAGACACGGACCTCACAAGGTAGTTAAGAAAATAAAGACAAGACTGAAAGAAGCTTGTAGCTACAGAGCTCGTTTTTTTACCATAAGTGGATCCTGGGTGTGGTGGCCCCAAGCAGAGCAGATTATACTTGTCTTGTCACATTCCTCTGTGGTGATGCGTAATGAAGATCACAGCTATTTTTTGTTGTGCATGTCTTTGATATTTTCACATGTTTCGATGCACACAATGTCAGACCAGGATCTATGTGAGCTGTGCAACCCTGGTTAAGAGACTTCCATGACATCTTTGGTCTAAATTACAGCTCAGTCGGATAGTCTACATACAATAGGCTGCTTTGTAGCTTGGTCCGTAAGTCTCTCTACAAACCACTGTGAAGCTTGTTTGTTGCCTCTCACGCATATTTAATAAGGGAGAAGTGATTAATTATAAAATGTGGTATGAAAAGCTTATGTGTGTGAACACATGCAACTGTCATCCAACCATCAACTATGAAAATGATTATCTACTTTCTGCTGCCATAACAGCTGCTGTCACAAAGTGTAATTTCAGAGTACAATGGCTGTAAAGGCCAGTTGCACAAGCATTTCATGAGAGCAAAAAAGACAACAATGATATAAAAAATGTAGAAGTTATTTAAAAGGAAGAGAAACACTTTGCAAAAGTGTAAATATAATTTGATAAAATGCAAAAGAATGTTTCTTAAAAGTCCTGTTGGGAACTTTCTGTCAGTTTTGTCTTTGGTGACCTCCTGTGGTCAAAGCCTCAAAGCAGATTTTTTTTCATCCTTTAAAAGTGGCGTTCAATGACCTCAAAAACTCCCCTGATGTCTTTTTACAGTAAATTTTATTATTCACAGAGAATATCAACCGTGGGAAAAGTAATTAAGGCTGTTTTTTTTCTGCCCACCTACCCCCTCACAGCAGTTACAGGCATTGGAAATTAAAATATAGAAACTGTCAATCTTGTCGCTGATGTTTTCATTCACTTTCTCACATTATAAAGACATGATACTGTTCATTTCGGTCTATTATATAGCCTATGAAGGACTCACAGGAGCTCTAAAATGGAAAAAAAAATTGTGGAACACACGTATAAAACTCCATCCATTCATTTTCGACCGCTTATTCCCATTCCTGGGGTCACAGGGAGCCTGGAGCCTATCCCAGCATCTTCGGGCAAAGGCAGGGAACACCCTGGACAAGTGGCCAGTTCATCGCAGGACTGACATATAGAGACGAACAACCATCCACGTTTACATTCACACCCACGGGCAATTTGAAAGTGACCAGTTAATCTAACCCCACTTCTGCATGTTTTTGGGATGTGGGAGAAAACCAGAGTACCCAGAGTAAACCCACACAGACACAGGGAGACCATGCAAACTCCACACAGAAACACCTTGACCCGGATTTGAACTCCGAACCTTCTTGCTGTGAGGCGACAGTGCTAACCACTACACCACTATGCCGCCTCTGTAGAAAAAAAACTAAATTTTAAAAATAAAAAACTTATTAAAAGTTGGGTTACAGATTGATTTTAAGGTTCTTACGTTAGTTTTTAGATGTATTAATGGTCTTGGCCCCTCCTATTTATCTGACTTACTTTTATTATATCAACCCTCGCGGACCCTGAGGTCCTCCAGCACAGGCCTTTTAACCATACCCAAAGATGAAACAAAAATACACAGGGAGGCGGCATTCAGTTTCTATGGTCCCCGATTGTGGAACAGCCTGCCGGAGAGCCTCAGGGCCGCAGAGTGTTAGGAATCGAACAAAGGCCAGGATCCAAGAATGCAGAGGCAAATGCCCAAATTTATTGACAATAAACAACAAAACAAAGTGAACAACAGAAAATCGCCGTTTTCGGGAAAAAGGCACGGTCGGCTCGGACTGCCACTGAAAAACACAAAACCAGAGTCAGGGAAAATTCACTGCAGCAAGGCAAATAGCTGGTGAAAAACCAAGTTCAAATAATAGTGCCACGTGGGGCAAGTAACAACTGAGGAAGTAAAAAGGACAAAGTGCAACAGAAATGTACACCAAAAATCTCCTTCACTGGAGGGAAAAAACACAAACACAAAATCAACTTTGCTCAAGGGAAAAATCCTAATGAAAGTAACAAAAAACCTCAAACAAACGCAGAGAGCCAGGCTGGATACACGGCAGGAGAACAGGGAGCTCGGCGTGGCAGACATATGTTGCATGACTGGGTAATCATTCGGCACAGAGCCTTCTTCTTCTTCTTCTTCTTCTTCTAGTTTAACGGCAGTTGGCACTCTTGTGTACGGTGCATTACCGCCCTCTTCTGACAATTCTTATGCAAAACCCCTGTGCACCACCCTTTCCCATCTCATTCACTCACACTTTCATACTCCTACTGACTAAATCCTATCAATCAACCCCGTCACCCTTAAAAACTCGACTAACACTCTCACATGTGCCCTGTCCCCCATCTGTAATACTCCCTTTAGTGTAAAGTCCTGCATACCCAATTCCCTCAACTTACTTCTCATCTCTCCCCTTTCCATCTCATATCTCCTACAACCCATTAGTACATGCTCCACTGACTCCTCCACCTGACATCCCTCACATAACCCAGTCTGGTGTTTCCCTATCATTTTCAGTGTTTTGTTTAATGCGCTATGACCCAACCTCAACCTTATCAATGCTGACCCTTCCTTTCTCTGTCCACTACCCAACCTCCTAACTTTAACACTTTCTTGAATCTTATAAAGATGCCTTCCTCTCTTCTCACCCTCCCATTTCTTCTGCCACATTTGAATAAGCTTTTCCCATATCATACTCTTAACTTCCGCTTTACTTAACCTAACATTCAGCTCCACTGATTCCTTCCCTAACGCCTCCTTAGCCATCACGTCTGCCTTCTCATTTCCTTCCACCCCTATATGTGCTGGAACCCATAAAAAACTGATCTGGCCCCCCTGCTGTACTATTCTTGTTACTGACTGTAATATTTCATATAATAAACCCTGACGGCTGCTTGAATGGAATGATCTAATGCTAGCTAAAACTGATGCTGAATCCGTGCATATAACTACCCTCTTTACTCTAACTTTTTCCACCCATTTCAGTGCAATCATCACCCCCAACATCTCCACTGTGTTTACCGCTAGACCGTCTGATGTCCTTCTATTGATTTCAATTCCTCTCGATGGCACCACTACCCCTAATCCTGTCACCCCCGTCTCAGGTTGTTTTGCCCCATCCGTGTATACCTGAACAAATCCGCTATATTCTTCCCTCAGGCGCTGATTAACTACGCTGACCAAGCTTACCTGTCCTCCCTCTTTCCTTTTCTTTCCCATTACACTCCAATCCACTGTTGGCCATATCATTCTCCATGGTGGCATTGCTGGATACACTATTGTTAGGTCTACCTCCATCTCCCCCACCCCAAGCTCTGCTGTTATTCTATTCCCCATCCTACCAAAATGCTCCCTCTTACCTTTCCCCTCCTCCCAACACTCCTCTATCACTCCTTTTGTGGGGTGGGTACCACTGCTGCCCTTTAAACTAACCCAGTAGTTTGCTATGAGATGTTTGCGCCTCAGGCATAGCGGCATCTCACCCAACTCCACCTGTACTGCAGGCACTGGTGACGTCCGGAAGGCCCCACTACAGATCCTTAATGCACTTGTCTGGATCGTATCTAGCTTTCCTAAAAGGGACTTTGCTGCTGATCCATAAACTATACACCCATAATCTATAACTGACCTAATCATAGCTACATATACTGTTTTTAATGCATCACAGCTCGCCCCCCATTCTCTGCCTGCAAGACACCTCATCACATTCAACACTTTCCTGCACTTACCCTCTACCCGCTTGATATGATCTGCCCAGGTTAACCTCTTATCAAATACCACCCCCAAATACTTAAATGCCTCAACCCTCTCCAGTTGCCTACCATACATACTCAATGACACATCTACTCCCACCCTCTTCCCGGTAAAAATTATAGTTTGAGTCTTCTCTACTGAAAACCTACACCCCCAATCTAATCCCCACTCTGTCACCCCATCAATCGCTGTCTGCACCTTAGTGACTATATGTTTGGTGTTCCTCCCTCTCTTCCACAGTGCTCCGTCATCTGCGAACAGTGAGCTTCCTATATCTGCTGGTACCTCTGAAAAAACATCATTAATCATGATAAGAAACAATAGTGGGCTAACTACGCTCCCCTGGGGAGTGCCGTTCCTTACTTCATATTTACTAGATATCTCTGACCCTATTCTAACTTGAATCTTCCTATCATTCAAAAAGTCCTTTACCCAATTAAAAACTCTGCCCCCAATCCCCATCCCCTGCAACTTAATCAGTAATCCTTCCTTCCACATCATGTCATATGCCTTCTCTATATCAAAAAACACTACCACTACAGATTCCTTATTTGCCTGCGCCTTCCTCACCTCACTTTCTAGTCTCACCACTGCGTCCATTGTGTTCCTACCTTTTCTAAATCCACTTTGGCATCTCGCCAGCGTACCTCTCTTTTCAAGCACATATGTCAATCTCTCTGTTACCATTCTTTCCATAATTTTACAAATGTTCGAAGTCAAAGCTATTGGCCTGTAGCTAGAAGGAGAGCATGGGTCCTTACCTGGCTTCCTGATCGGTACTACCTCTGCTTCCTTCCATACACTCGGTAGCCTTCCCTCCTCCCATACCTTATTATACAATTCTAACATCCTGTTCATCCCCTTTTCCCCTAAATTTTTCAGCATTACATAGCTTACCTGATCTCCCCCTGGAGCTGTAGGCTTTGCCTTCCTAACCGCTCTCACAAGCTCTGCCATAGTAAATCTGGTGTCTATCTCCCCCCTGAATCCGTCCTCCTGTCTAGAGCACCTGGATATCTACTCTGAGTCATCTCTCTTCTCCTCTTCCCCTCCATTGTCAGATTGTCTACACTATGCACCTTTGCAAATGCCCTGGCTATCATCTCAGCCTTTTCCTTATCATTTACTGCTGTCTCTCCTTCCTCTGTAATTACAGGATATTCCCACTCCCTCCTGTCCCCTCCCATCTTCCTTATCATACCCCATACTTCTCCTACTGGTGTTGTTCTCCCTATACCATTACAAAACTGTCTCCAACTCTCCCTCTTTGTGCGTCGAACTACTCTCCTCACCAATGCTTGTGCTCTCTGATATTCTAACAGACTTGCCATAGTATGGTTTTGTTTAATCTTTCTGAATGCTTTATTTCGGGCTTTCACTGCCTTGCTACACTCCTCTGACCACCATGGAACTAACTTCCTGGTCCTCCCATTTCTGCTCCTCGGAATAGCTTGAGTTGCTGCTGTGATTATTGCTGTTGTAACACTATTGTTGACTTCTTCCACATCCCTGTTTGTATCAACTACCTCCAGTAGATCCTCACTCACCTCCCTAAATTTATTCCACTCTGCTTTACTATACACCCATTTCCGGATCCCCCTACCCGCCCCCACCTCCACTCTTCCCCCTACTGTACACATGATTAAATAATGATCACTACCTAGCGACTTTCCTGACAACACTTCCCATTTACTGACTCCTGCCAAACTTGCTGATACCAATGTAATATCTATAGCTGACTCATTTCCTGTTCTGACATCTATTCTAGTCCCTCTCCCATCATTTAAACATACTAATTCCCTCTCCTCCATTAGCTCCTCAACTACCCTACCATCTACATCTGTGTGTTTCCCACCCCACAAAGTGTTATGTGCATTAAAGTCTGCGCACCAGATAACCTTTCGTCTATCAACCCCTTTTATCCTAACTAACCTATCCAATATTAACCTCCCCCCTGGATTATAGTAGTTAACTATAACCACCGCCTCCCCTCCCTCCCACAACTCTACCACTATATATTCCTGCTCTTCCCCACTTTCTATCAACCTATAAGAAATACCCTGCCTAATAAATATTGCGCACCCTCCTCTTGCTTCTTCTTCACTCCTATCCCTCCTGATTGTCATATACCCACTAACCTTAAAATCTAAGCTAGGTTTCAAAAAAGTTTCCTGAACACAAACTACGTCTGGCTGTATCTTCATCTTCCTTATATAGTGTTTCATCTCCTGTCCATTAGCCATCAGGCTCCTAGCATTCCACTGCAGCACCCGAACCATGAGCATGAGGTGACTTTCCTACCTCCTGGCTTCGACTCTGGTTCTTAATCTCCGCCTCTATCTCCTCCCACTTTAGTCCTTCCATCCCCAGATGATCGGCTGCTGCCTTCACAATATATTGTATATTGGTGGTCTTAGATGTAGACTTGCTTGTTGAGTTGATAGCTGCCACAATAAATACTATTAACTGCCTTTTGTCTATCCCTATCCTATCCTGATCTGACTGCTCTCTCCCCAACCCCCAAGTCCCCTTTCTTCCACCACCCCCTGTCTCCTCTACTCCCTGTGACCTTTCCTCCCTCTGTCTTACCATCTTTGCTGCCTCTGCATAACTTATCTTATCTAGCACCCTGATTTTCTGAACTTCTGCCTCCCTCTTCATAACTGGACAACCCCCACACGTGACACTATGTTCCCCCCCACAGCTACAGCATCTTGGCTTGGTACCCTCCCCACATTTCCCATACTCATGGTCCCCAGTGCACCTCGCACATCTCCTGTTCTCCTTACAATATCTTGCAATGTGGCCAAATGACTGACACTTGTAACACCTCATCGGCTTCGGTATAAATGCCCTCACAAAATAGCTAATGTACTCTAGGTACACTTTATCTGGGATTACCTCTCCTTCAAATTCTACCAACACTGTCTCGGTTGTCTTCTTTTCTGGACCCCTTGTCATTCTTTTAACATTGGCAATTCCCGTGCCCCTAGCACGTAGCTTCTCCTTCAACTCCTCATCCCCTACCTCGATAGGAATCCCAGTAATCACTCCCTTACATCTTCTCCCCTGCACTCCAACCCGCACTACCCTCACCACTCTACTCTCACCCACCTTAGTTAACTTCCTCACCAAGGCTTCCTGTACATCACTTGAACATTCCACAATTAAATTGCCGTCTCCCAAAACCCTCGCATACTTCAGCTCTCCGCACTTCCCTGTCAGTTCCCTTGTCAGCTTAAACGGATTCATTTTCCCTATCCCACCTCCCTCAGCAAACCGTATAACCAACCTAGTTCCTTCCTCCCTGCTCTCTCCCTCAGAACTAAAACTCTCCATGTCTTCTTCGTTCGATGAATTTTGACTGTTCGTTCTTGGTCTCTTTCCTTCTCTCCCCTGTCCCCCATCCCCTTTCCCTACACTTCCATCCTCCCTCCCGGCCCTAGATCCCCTCCTACCCCTACCTTTCATCCCTATCCGCTAAGGTTATAGAAAAGAAAGAAATAAAGAAAGAAAGAAATAAAGAAAGCAAGGTAACGGGCACCGGTCCGGACCTATACAGGCCGTCGGTCGATACCCGTCCCCGGAAACCCTAACGTTATTTTAATCTGACCGATTATCTAATTCACCCAGCTAAATCTCAGACGTAACTTTGCTTTATCCTCCGAAGTACATTCATACACTCCAGTCACTTCAATTCTCGCGCCCACACCGAACCACGATGACGATCCTCCTCTCAGCCCGCGACTGCCATCCACGTGCTGTCCACCACGGCGTCCGGAACCCCGGCACAGAGCCGACAGAGGAGCTGGCATATAAAGCCAGGTAAATGACACCAACAAGAATCAGGTGCGTGCAATCAGTCCAGGCCAGCCCCGCCTCCCTCCAGCGCTGCAGAGAGAGAGAGAGAGAGAGAGAGAGAGAGAGGGAGAACACACACAGAGGGGAGGAACACAGGAACCCTTACTGCTGCATAAACTCAAATCCTCACAGCAGAGACTGTTGATGTTTTTAATAAGAGACTTAAGACTCACTTTTTTAATCAGGCTTTTTACTAACTGCCTTTTTATATTTCTTTTATTGCAAATGTTCATTTTAATCAAAGTTCTTAGTGTTTCTTTTATGTCATATAATTAATTATCTCTGTTCTTAGTCTTTTTCTTAATTCCCGTCTTAGAGGTTTTTACTTCTTTTACCCCTTTTATATGGTAAAGAGTTCTTACTCATTTGATCATTTTATATTATTTTCTTGTTTCAGTCCATCAGGTTTTATTTTTTCTTTTTACCAATTTTATCTTTTTACCTCCAGTGTTTCCATGGTAGCTCTTTCTTCACGCAATGTCTCAGTGTCAGGCCATGCCTCTTTAACAATATATATTCTCACTCTGTGTGCACTTGTGTGTGTGTATGTGTGGGTGAGTGAGTAAAAGTGGGTGTGTGTCTTTGTGTGTGTGTTGGTCCATGGGTGGGTGTGTGGGTAAGAGGGTAGTGTTTTATTGTTGTTTTTAGCCTCTGTGTGGCACTTTGAACAACATTTTTGTCTGAAAAGTGCCATATAAATAAAGTTGAATTTAAATTTCAATCACATCTGGCTCACCAAGGTCTGAAACCCAGTAAGGCTGTGAGGTTATTTTTGTTTGTCTACTGTAAGCCAGCAGTGACCAAGCAATCTGACACATTCAAACTCTTGGAGCCTGCACTGTTCACAGATCTATTCCTGTTTCAACACTCAAACGTGCTGCACATGTGAAGGATAAAGAGAAAGTCGTTTGGATATTTCTGCCCCCCACCCCCCACTCCACCACCCCAAATTTCACCCAGAGTGACTCTCTGTGGCTGAGTGAATGATGAAGCTGGTCCTCAAATGCTCTGCTGTGGATCTTGGAGCAGCTGAGCTCATTACTGAGGTCATGGGCTGCAGATTAGGAGGACAGATTTACCTCCAGAAAGTGGGACAAGACATTAGTTCACAATGCTCTGCTGTCAGTCATGTGAGATGCACATGCAAACATGTGCCACAAAATTAGATTTTTTCAGTTATCATTGGAAAAAGGAGCAACATATAAAATATATATAAACAACTGTAAAACAGGACATTTCATTGTGTATTGAGGTATGTTTGAATAGAAGCAAACTTTAATTTTGGATCCAGTACACCTTACTTTATCAGTCAAATGAGGAGGGGAAAAAACACATCCTCACTCCTTACTATCAATATAAATATGAGTGATTTACTCAACTTGTTTTCAATTTTTAACCTAAAAATGTCGTAACACTTTCATGTGGTTGAGCTCAGGCAAGAGAAGGAAGTGATACCGATATGTGTCTTTTAGTGAGGACCACTGTGTGTTAGAGGATATATTTACTTAACTGTGACATTTCCCTTCTCCTCACTTCCTCAAATTTCTGTTTGAATGTTTGTTTGTTGTTTTTTTGTTCTTTTGTTCTTAATTTTGGGGGTCATATCTGTGGGAAGCTCAGGAAGTTCGGAATAGCTCAAATCAGTAAAGGACTATTTGAAGCAAGGACACATGCTTTGTCAATGAGGGTGTAGAAGTAAAAGTTCATGAGTGTGTTAGGTGAGTGGTGTCTCATTTGATAGTGGAGTGGTTACTGGGAAATGGGCGGAGACAGAGGGGAAACATAGTCACAGTCTGTGCTGCTCTTGGTTTATTTCTGGTGACTTTCTGCAGAATGAGGAAGTGATTGATGTTTCTGAAAAGAAACCACAGATAACAGGGTTTTTTATGCTCTGTTAAAACCAATATAGGGAAATGAAGATAGTGTGTGTGTGTGTGTGTGTAAGTCAAAGTACAAATGAATCGAAAAATGTTACTGCAGGAGTGTTAAAGAGTGAGTCAGTCCTTCCCATTTATCAGTAGAGCAGTTGTGCCCTCTGCTGTCAATTCTTCAAACCACAACCAAAACTACTTTTGTAAGAGACTATTTGGTTGATAGAAACAAAGTTTTAAACATGCAATTGTTGTTAATATTACTCAGTCAAGACTCAAAAGTCAATCAGATGCAGAATTGTGTTGAATTTTTTGTCTGAATGCCACAGGTCATTGTAGAGGAATTATCACAAGGTAATGTGCAGGTCCAAGTGACCCCCAACAAATCAGTGAATGTGGCCCCGTCTATATGCTCATAAGAGGTCATCAGTTCAATGTGAGTATTTAAAGCTCCGAAGAACTAGAGGTTTTGGCAATCTCTTGCACCCCTGGTGGACAAAGTAGTAACAGCAGTAGTTTTTCATTAGCTTTTTATCTACATGTTTCAGCAATGAATTCTGACAAACAATATCCTGCTTACTTTTGACAGTGAAATGTATAATTTATTGGAAAAAATTAAAGACACTGTCCTATCAGTTTTTCAACTGACATCTACCCCCTCTCACCAGTTTTGGGCATTGAAAATTACAATATAAAAACTGTGTGTCATCTCTAAAGGTCTTGTTTGCTTCCTATGTCATATAAAAGTATGAACATGATGTTTAATCTATTTCACTAATGTTTTTCTGCCTTGCCAGTGTTATTTTGTTAGTCAGTGGATTGTCAGTGTTAGTCAGTTAGTCCATCAGAGACTGGTTTGTTAGTCCATCATAAGACTGGTTTGTGCTCAAGTCCTCTTTTTTTCTGTGAAGCTCTGTTTTTAAAAGTTATTAGGGGGTTCATGTTGGCTATGATTGACACCTGATACAGCCTATGGGCGTTCAGGGATTCAGCTCTTCCCGGGGATACGCTGTTTGAGCCGAGCGCCATCACAGCGACTCTCGGCAACTGCGCACCCGAATGCGCACATTGCTACTGCGCAGCGCTGGTTTCAGGAAATGAAGAAAAATCCCAGAAATACCGAGAGCTTTTTTGCTTCAAATCCGCATACAGGCGGTAGGCGGAACCCGTGATATTTGTGAGGTTTATACATAGACAAAAATGTTCGTAGTGTATTCTTATCAGCCACCTGTTCTGGCTAGCTTTCAATAAAGAACTGTGCTTAAGACATACTGTATTTAGCAACATCATACTTCCAGTAGCCAATTTGTGGTGCAATTGGAAATGCTTTGTGTTGTATATTACATTATATTATTTTAGTTTGATGTACGTAAAGTTTCCCTTATATATACTGTACCAGCAATTTGTACACTTTGTTAATTGTATCCTTTTTTCTTTATCAGTTTTATCCTACTGCCAGTTACCTCATTAAAGCCAGTTAACTTGACACACTGCTGTCTGCATGTTAATTGGGGATGGAGTTGTCTGCCTGTCCATTTATGCAAGACATATGAAGAGGACAGGACAGATGTTAAAAAAATAAAAATAATAATAAATCATCAGAGGAGCTTTGATGTCCAATTAGGCACATATACGAGTGATATGAGACTCTGGAGGGATGCCTTCAGATACTGCTTTCAATCAATCAACTTTTTTTGTATAGCACTTTTCATACAAGTCAATGTAGCACAAAATGATTTACACAGAAGAAGAATAAAAGAAGGAAAGAATTTGTGGCTCTACCCCACTCCATCCTGTGCCCTCATTCCTGCCCCGCAATCCAAGCAGAACAGTAGCAAGTTTTAAAATGCATTGACTTAAAAGGGCTTGCTTTAATAATAACGGAATATGCATACTGAGGAAATATACTGCTTTATACTTATGCAATGAAAATCAGCAATAAATCCCATTTTATTTGGAAAGTCTTAATTCATTTAGAGCTTACACATAAAGTTAGAAATTGCTATATCCAGGTCTTTAACTCAGTCTGATGATAAATAAACATGTGGGGAAATGTTGAAATAAGAAACGTCAAACTTCAACTCAAGATGACACAGTTCTGGTCAAAATTTGTCATTGAAAAACATATAACAAATAACCTACAAACATCATTGCCTTTCAAAAATAAACATTTACACAAATGGTTTTTATTATTCCTAATTATGAGCCAATAATGGTTAGAAAATTCAGTGTTTTCCTTCCAGTCCGACAGGCGGACTTGCAACCGCAAATTGGTTTGTCAAACAATGATTCTGACAAATCAGAAGAAGGTCTGCTGTCAAATGATTGAAAACTAGAAATGCCTCTTGAAATTAGGAGAAAGCAACTGATGACGAACCACTGGGAGAATTTGCAAGGGCACAATGATTATCATCCCACAAAGGGAGTCTTGCTGGAGTGTTGGGAGGATGGGAAGAGCCAGAGGCAAAACTTTGCTAGGGTAGCGAGTAATATTGCTAAAGAATTTGGAGTAATTAATTTAAAAGTAAGTCCAACGGTAGTCTATCCAGAGGTGGCCCCATGGATGCTTGTGTGGCCTGAGGTTGACTGGTGTTTGTTAGAGACTAAAAGGAACGGAAAAGGTAGGGTTGATTTGGTGAGTTTAGATGTCATGTAATGACGGAATATAGTGATTTTACACATGTTTACACAGATGGTGCTAAACAACCTGAGACAGGGGTGACAGGATTTGGGGTGGCAGTACCAGCAAAAGGAATTGGGATTAAGAGGAGTACACACAGTGGAAATGGTGGCAGTGCTGGTTGCATTGCGGTGGTTGGAGAAAGTGGGTCTGGATAAAGCATTGTTATGTTCAGATTTATCATCAGCGCTAGCAAGTTTAAGGTCATTCCATTCAAACAGCCGTCAAGACATACTGTACTTAGTCCTTCAGTCAATTATTAGAATAGTCCATCAGGGAGGTCAGGTAAAGTTTCTGTGGGTTCCAGCACACGTAGAGGTGAAGGGGAATGAGAGGGCAGATGAGTTGGCTAAGAGAGCTTTATTGAAAGGAAGTGTAGAAATGCAGGTCAGTATAAGTGGGGCAGAAATTAAAAGTGTAATCTGGGAAAAGGCCAATGTAATGTGGCAGGAAAGGTGGGATGGAGAGGAGAAGGGGAGGCATCTTTATCAAATTCAAAAGAGTGTTAGAGGTGAGAGGAAGAGCAGTGGGTACAAGAGAGAAAGGGTTGTGTTGACAAGATTAAGGTTGGGGCATAGTGCACTAAATAAAACATTGAAACTGATAGGGAAGCACCAGACAGGCTTGTGTGAAAGCTGTCAGGAGGAGGAGGAGTCTGTGGAGCATGTAGTTCTGAGGTGTAAGAGATATGAAGTGCGAAGAGAGAACATGATGAAGGAATTAGGGATACAGGAATTGTGAAATATGGAAGAGGGGGCACAGGTTCGGGCGGTGTGAGAATTCTCAAGGGGAACAGGGCTTTATGATAGGGTCTGATGGATAAACAGGGATAAATGGATAAGGGGTGGTAGGTGACATGGGTGTGGTGGGTTTATTGTATGTTTTTTTTTTTTTTTTTTTTTATTTTTAAGATTATTTTATTGTGTGTATAATTTTGCTTTGGTCGAGAGTCATGACAGGAATAAGATTTTAGGTCTACTTTTTGATCCACACTCCGAAACAGAAGGTGGCGGTAATGCACCAAAAGCTGGATGCCAACCGCCCTAAAACATGGAGAAGAAGAAGGAGGAGGAGGAGGAAAGACTGAAAACTAGAGGGGGGAGAGTTTTTGAGGCACAAAGTTCCCTCTTAATGCCTCTATTTCCTCTATATTTGTATCGAGGGATGTGGAAAAGCGGAACTATTATTTGCATTTTTGTCGGTGTTTTTGCTTATTACTCGAGTTTAAACTACGAGCAGAAAGAAGCGAAGAACAGGTCGGTTTGATCCAGACATCCTGCATCACTTTACGCTCTTTACAAAGTTCATTATTAAAAGGTGGGTGAGCTCAATTTGCGGGAGTTTCAACGTTCAAATATTCAGTTCTGCTAAACTCCACACTTAGAGTTTTGGTGGTACATGTCCTTATTTTAACACAGTGACCATCATAAAACCTCTCTGCTGTTTCAGTCTGAGTAAAACATCTACCTAACAGATACCACCAACTTTAAATGCCATTTTACACTCACTGATTTCACTGTTCAGGGAGTGAAATCAGTTCATTTATCTAAGACAAAAAAAAAAAAAACTCAATGCAAAGAGACGATGCCGACCGTTTAGGTGAATTTGCGCGTTTTTGGCAGTTTGTTTGACCAGTTTAGCTGTTATACTCAAATCCCAGGACTGTGGTGGACCACCCACCAAATGATGTCACGACTCAAGTGATAGTAATCTGCCGGCATGAATTGAAAGGCGAATAAAACGTTAACTCTTCACAATGAATTTACTTTTATGAATATTTTTTTATTTCTATAAAATAAAATGGATAAGAGGTGAAATAGTTCACATTTCCCAGAAAATCGTTGTTACATTCAGTATTGAAAGTAACTAGAAAATGCAATTTCTGAAGAAATTGCGAGTGGGATTGCTTCAGTCGAAATTGCTAGCGCTAAGCTGCTATTGCGAATGGCTGAATTTTAAAATATGTGAAAGGTCAAAAGGTATGAAGAATCAGGAAGATTTGAATCAATTGGAATAAACTCAATTGAATGAATTGAATAATGCATGAATAACAATTTTAGAAAATTCAACATCTGAAAATTAAAATGATTAAAAACCCTGAAGTATGGGAAAGGCTTGAAGAACCAATAAGTTTTGAATCAGTTTAAATGAGTTGGAATTTGTTTGAAAGAACTGAATAATGTATAAAGAGTAAAAAATATTTAAAACTGGAGAATTAAAAGGTTACAAATCTGGAAGAAAAAGAGGTTTGAAGAATCAAAACGGTTTAAATCAGTTTGAAGGAAATAAATTAGTTTGAAGAACTAAATAATGCATTTTCAATGAATGATTGAAAAATGGGGACAATGTAAATGAAAAAAAATCCTGATTTGACCCCATAATGTCCTCAATGAGCTGAATTTATTAAGCCCTGGATGGTTTCTGTAGCTCAAGGTTTGTGCGAAGAGATAGATGACAAAGTTCGTCAAATAACTCTATTGAAGGGTTTTAAATGTAACCCCCAGTACTCTGTGTACTGAGCCTGGCTTCATGTGTCTCATATGGCTGTTAGAAGCAGCTTTCCAGCCAGCTGTGTGTCTCCAGGTGCTCTTATTGGTTGCCATGGTGACTGCAGATGCTTAACGAAGCATCTCCAAGCTTACTGTAGGGTTTGCAAGATGGCGCCGGTGTGTGTGGCTGGCCGTCTGCTACGTCTGCTACTACTGCAATGCTTGTTTTTTCTGTTGTTTTTAACCATTGGCACTAAACAAATCGAGTCTCTGTTGGTGTATGATCGCCAGTCTCTTTTATCACTCAAACAAAAAGCCACAGATTTGCGTGGTTTTGATCGGGGTGGCAAAGACAGTTTGCCCCCGCTGTTGGCGGGGATTCCACCTCACCTGTGCCGGGTGCCGGCCCTGCCTTCTCGCCGGAGGCGTCCTCGTCGCCGCGGCAGACGCGGCGGTCGGCTGGTGAAGCTAAAGCTTCGGCTGTCACAATCTTCGTCCATTTTCCGGACAGGGCATGGATTATCCCCTCATGTCTTTGTGCCTCGTCGCTTTCTGGACCCGATCGGCGTCTGTCTGGTACCTGTCATCGGCTCAGCGGAGGGACCCGAACCCCGCCGCCTCTGCCCTCTTCGGCTGTCACAGCGTGGGGTGGACCATCGGCTCCTCAGATCGCTGCGCCCGGCTCCCCGACCCACCGGACTACAGGCCCCGGCCCCAGCACCCGCCAGGATCTGCTTGGTAAACGCCAGATCCCTGGTGAATAAAACTTTTATTCTGAGGGATTTCTTCAGCTATCGTGCCCTGGATTTCCTCTGTGTGACAGAGACTTGGATCGGTGCGGGTGAGTCCAGCGCTCTAGCCGAACTTTTACCTCCCGACTGCTCTTACTTTAACTCCCCGCGGACGTCGGGTCGTGGTGGAGGAATAGCAACGATATATAAGAATGGTTTTAAATGCAAGCAGCGCACAGTATCATCCTCTTTTTCAAGCTTTGAGGTGACTTTATTTGAGGTGGGTCGGTCTGACCCAGTGCTGTGCGCGGTCATTTATCGCCCCCAAATACAATAAGGAGTTTTTAAATGACTTCTCTGGTCTACTGGCTGAAATTATGCCGAACTATGATCGTGTCCTTATTCTTGGGGATTTTAATATTCACCTATGTTGTCCTGAAAAGCCGCTGGTGAAGGACTTTGTAAGTCTTATTGACTCTTTTAATTTGGTGCAGTGTGTGTCGGGTGCCACACACGAGCACGGGCATTTACTGGACCTCGTACTGTGTCATGGTTTACATGTGTCTAACCTGGTGATATGTGATGATGTATTTTCTGATCACAGGCCTGTATTGTTTGAAGTGTACCTTTCTTGCTCTGAGGTTAAATCTGGCGCTCCTGCGCAGAGACGCCGGATTATTAACCCCTCCACTGCCGGTCGCTTCTCTGTGGCTTTTGAACAGCTCTGTGTCTGCCCTTCCTCTGCGAACACAGAGGTGCTCAGCTCCTGGTTTCATTTCTTCTGTGAAAATATTCTGGACTCTGTGGCTCCTTTAAAAACTGTTCGGCCAAAGGCTAAATCGGAGCCCTGGTTCAATGATGAAACTCGCGCAGCCAGACGAGAGTGCCGCAAAGCTGAGCGAAGGTGGAAGAAAGACAAGCTGCAGGTTTCTTTCCAAATCCTTAAGGACTCCTTGATCACCTACCAGAAAACTGTTAAACAGAGCAAAATACAATATCTGGCAAACTTGGTGGAGGTAAATCACCATAACCCACGTGTGCTGTTTAAAAGTATCGACACTGTTCTAAACGCCCCACAGCCTGCCAGCTTGGAGGCATCTGTGGAAATGTGCAATAATTTTCTGTACTTCTTTATTGAAAAGGTTGTGACTGCCAGGTCTCTCATCTGTGCTCCTGCATCCGACCCCTCTGTGCCTGTTCCTTGTTCGGCAGTTCTTGACAGGTTTGAGCCTGTGTCTTTGTCATATTTAGAAGAGCTGGTTGGCCATATTAAGCCTGCAGGTTCTCCCTGTGATGTTGTCCCTCCCAGGCTGTTTAAAGAGGTTTTCCCCTGCATAGGTCAGTCTGTTCTGGCTATCATAAATAGCAGTCTGTCCTCTGGTGTTGTTCCGCCAGGTTTTAAACATGCAGTGGTGCAGCCTCTACTTAAAAAACCAGGCCTTGATTGCAGTGTGCTGGCCAATTTTAGGCCCATCTCCAAGCTTCCTTTTATTTCAAAGATTTTAGAGAAAGTTGTTCATGTTCAGCTAAAGTCCTTTCTGGATGAGCATGGTGTCTTGGAGGTCTTCCAGTCTGGTTTTAAATCTCGCCACAGCACAGAGTCTGCTTTAATAAGAGTTTTTAACGACATCCTCCAGGCAAATGACTCTGGTGATTATGTTGTTCTTGTTCTGTTAGATCTAACTGCAGCCTTCGACACAGTGGACCACAATACTCTGGTGGCTCGGCTAAGCTATCTTATAGGTGTCCGTGGTACTGCACTAGAGTGGTTCAAGTCCTATTTGACCGACAGAACTATGAGCGTGAGCCTTGGAGATACAGAGTCCAGCTCTGCTCCACTGCCGTATGGGGTTCCACAAGGGTCGATTTTAGGGCCCCTGCTCTTTTCTTTGTATTTGCTGCCCCTGGGATCCATCTTGAGAAAGCATGGCATTTCATTTCATTGTTACGCTGATGACAGTCAGATATATGTGCCACTTAACAAAAAAAATGCTTTCTCCCTCACTCCACTTCTGGCGTGTCTTGAAGACATCAAAGCCTGGATGGCTTTGAATTTCTTAAACTTCAATGAAAAAAAAAACGGAAGTGATGGTCTTTGGTCCCAGTGGCCCTTGTGAAACCCCTCCTGTAAACTTGGGTATTTTAGCAGATTATTTAAAGCCAACCGTCTCAAATTTGGGTTTTAAGATGGACAGTGATTTTAAATTCGACAGGCAAATTAGCTCCGTAGTGAAATCCAGTTTTTATCATATTAGGCAGCTGGCGAAGGCAAAGCCTTTCCTTTCACGAACGCACTTTGAAACAGTAATCCATGCCTTTGTTACATCTCGGCTGGATTACTGTAACGCACTTTATTTTGGAGTCAGCCAGTCCTCCCTCTCACGTCTCCAGTTAGTTCAAAACGCAGCCGCCCGGCTCTTAACTGGAGTACGTAAGAGGGAGCACATTACTCCCATCCTGGCCTCCCTCCACTGGTTACCTGTGCATTTTAGAGTTCATTTTAAGATTCTTTTATTTGTTTTTAAATCTTTAAATGGTCTGGCTCCATCATACCTCTCTGAGCTTCTCCACCCCTACACCCCAGCTCGGTGCCTCAGGTCAGCTGATCAGCTGCTCCTGGAGGTACCGAGGTCCAAACGGAAGCTCAGAGGGGATAGATCTTTTTCTGTTGCTGCCCCAATTTTATGGAACAAGCTACCCCTCCAAATTAGAGAAGCCCCCACACTGTCCATTTTTAAAACTCGTCTTAAAACCCATTTTTATTCATTGGCTTTTAACCCTCCATGAGACTCGGCTCCTGTTTTAGTGTTTTATGGTTTGTTTTTAGTTATTTGTTTCTATGTTTTTAAATTAGTTTTTAAAAACATTGAAGCTATATTTTATTATTAATTCTGCTTTTATTTTATCCATTGTTTTAATTGTTTCTTGATTGTTTTTTATCTTGTTGTTTTTGTCCTGTTATGTACAGCACTTTGTACAGCTGTGGTTGTTTTAAAGTGCTCTACAAATAAAGTTGAGTTGAGTTGAGTTGAGTTAACAACAGCAGGAGAAAGGAGGCTTGAGGCTGAGAACGTAATGCCCAAACAACGTCATATTTCTCATCCTCTGTAACTGCTATCTTCATGATCAGGAGCTTGTGAGTACCACAAGGCCCGGCTGAACACGTTGATACAACTTCTGTGTTTGTGGAGCCAAAAATGCCTTCGCTACGACAAGTTAAAAACATGTCCAGTTTGTGTTTCCTCTGAAAATCCTCCTCTCAGGTTTACATTGGAGTCAATGGAGAAATCTGGGGGATGTCTGCGGCAGTTGGTGTCTGCCCAGGCCACTGTTTGTGTCCTACAGCTTTGATTTTTTGGATGAAGAGTGACAGCGAGTTTTGCCATCACTGTACCAAATTTTATCTGTGTAGAGCGAAGTGAGTTGCCACAATCCTTTTGTAAAGACAAAGTTTTGAGGTTAAATTTTCAGCCCCTCTCACTCTAGCTGTGAGGTCACCCACTCTAGCGGCCAACATTCCGTGCAATACACACTAATGTTAAAACCTGAACCGGTCAGAAAATCTTTGGACTTTTTGAACTGTCACTGTGAGAAAAGTATGAATGCCATGAAGATGGTGAATGAATGAGTGAATGTCTGAAGATGTGTGAATATTTTAAAGTTTGAATGAAGTTTCTAGGTGAAAGTATGAATGAATGAGAAGAGGTTGAAGTTGACTACGTCTGAAGCCCTTTTCCCATTGAATCCCATTATAACGAAGTTTTAAACAAATCTTAATATTTTGAAAAGTACAAATGGGATTAAAAATGTTGAAGATGTGGAATAATGCTGACGAATTTGTGAATATTTTGGTTTTTGAATGAAGTTTCTACGTGGAAGTATAGAGTAGTTGAAGGCTTTTGAAGTTGTGTGAAGAAAATGTGAGAAAAGGGACAATTTGAACATTCCGTAATGCATTTCCAATGGGAGAAATCGGTCGGAAAACCTGGAATATCTCGGAAAGTATGAATGTTAGGAAATTTTTGAATACAAGCCGGAATCTCCTGAATGAGACGAATCTTTTGAAGTTTGAATGGTTTGAATACGTTGAAGAATGTGGAAGGAGAAGCGGTCCAAAAAACGGCGGAATAATAATAATAACTAGAAAATGCAATTTCTGAAGAAATTGCGAGTGGGATTGCTTCAGTTGAAATTGCTATCGCTATGCTGCTATTGCGAGTGGCTGAATTTTAAAATATGTGAAAGGTCAAAAGGTATGAAGTATCAGGAAGATTTGAATCAATTGGAATAAACTCAATTGAATGAATTGAATTATGCATGAATAATAATTTTAAAATTTCAACGTTTGAAAATTAAAATGATTAAAAACCCTGAAGTATGGGAAAGGCTTGAAGAATCATTAAGGTTTGAATCAGTTTAAATGAGCTGTAATTTGTTTGAAAGAAATGAATAATGCATTAAGAGTAAGAAAATTTTATAACTGGAAAATTAAAAGGTTACAAATCTGGAAGAAAAAGAGGTTTGAAGACTCAAAACAGTTTAAATCAGTTTGAAGGAGTTTACATTAGTCTGAAGAATTAAATAATGCATTTTCAATGAATGATTGAAAAATGGGGACAATGTAAATGAATAAAAATCCTGATTAGACCCCATAAGCTTTTAAATGTCACCCCCAGTACTCTGTGTACTGAGCCTGGCTTCATGTGTCTCATATGGCTGTTAGAAGCAGCTTTCCAGCCAGCTGTGTGTCTCCAGGTGCTCCCTTTGGTTGCCATGGTGACGATAGATGCTTAACAACAGCAGGAGAAAGGAGGCTTGAGGCTGAGAACGTAATGCCCAAACAACGTCATATTTCTCATCCTCTGTAACTGCTATCTTCATGATCAGAAGCTTGTGAGTACCACAAGGCCCGGCTGAACACGTTGATACAACTTCTGTGTTTGTGGAGCCAAAAATGCCTTCACTACGACAAGTTAAAAACATGTCCAGTTTGTGTTTCCTCTGAAAATTCTCCTCTCAGGTTTACATTGGAGTCAATGGAGAAATCTGGGGGATGTCTGTGGCAGTTGGTGTCTGCCCAGGCCACTGTGTGTGTCCTATGGCTTTGATTTTTGACATGAAGAGTGACAGCAAGTTTTGCCATCACTGTACCAATTTTTATCTGTGTAGAGCCAAGTGAGTTGCCACAATCCTTTTGTAAAGACAAAGTTTTGAGGATCAATTTTCAGCCTGTCTCACTCTAGCTGTGAGGTCACCCACTCTAGCTGCCAACATTCCGTGCAATACACACTAATGTTAAAACCTGAACCGGTCAGAAAATCCTGTGAATTTTTGAACTGTCACTGTGAGAAAAGTATGAATGCCATGAAGATGATGAATGAATGAGTGAATGTCTGAAGATGTGTGAATATTTTAAAGTTTGAATGAAGTTTCTAGGTGAAAGTATGAATGAATGAGAAAAGGTTGAAGTTGACTACGTCTGAAGCCCTTTTCCCATTGAATCCCATTATAACGAAGTTTTAAACTAATCTTAATATTTTGAAAAGTACAAATGGGATTAAAAATGTTGAAGATGTGGAATAATGCTGAAGAATTTGTGAATATTTTGGTTTTTGAATGAAGTTTCTACGTGGAAGTATAGAGGAGTTGAAGGCTTTTGAAGTTGTGTGAAGAAAATGTGAGAAAAGGGACAATTTGAACATTCCGTAATGCATTTCCAATGGGAGAAATCGGTCGGAAAACCTGGAATATCTCGGAAAGTATGAATGTTAGGAAATTTTTGAATACAAGCCGGAATCTCCTGAATGAGATGAATCTTTTGAAGTTTGAATGGTTTGAATATGTTGAAGTATGTGGAAGGAGTAGCGGTCCAAAAAACGGTGGAATAATAATAATAACTAGAAAATGCAATTTCTGAAGAAATTGCGAGTGGGATTGCTTCAGTTGAAATCGCTATCGCTAAGCTGCTATTGCGAATCGCTGAATTTTGAAAATATGTGAAAGATAAGAAGGTTTGAATTATCAGGAAGATTTGAATCAACTTGAATAAACTCATTGAATGAATTGAATAATGCATGAATAACAATTTTTTTAAAAAATGTGAAAATAAAAATGTTCAAAAACCCTGAAGTATGGGAAAGGCTTGAAGGATCAGAAAGGTTTGAATCAGTTTAAATGAGCTGAAATTCGTTTGAAAAAATTTAATAATGAAGCAATAATGAAAATGATTTAAAACGGGAAAATTAAAATGATTTAAAATCCGGAAGTATGACAGGTATGAAAATTAAGGAAGGTTTGAATCAGTTAAAATGAGTTGGAATTAGTTTCAAGAATTTGATAATGCATGAATAGTGTAAATGATTAAAACAGGTAAAATTAAAATGATCATAATCTGGAAGTATGAGTGCTTTGAAGATTCAGAAAGGTTTGAATCCGTTTGAATGAGTTTCAATGAGTTTAAAGAATAAAACAATGCATACTCAATGAGTGATTGAAAAATTGGGAAAATTCAAATTAATAAAAATCCTGATTAGACCCCATAATGTCCACAAGTCCCGGCTGAACAAGTTGATACAATTTCTGTGTTTGTGGAGCCAAAAATGTCTTCATTGTTATCACTAGGACAAGTTACATGCCAAGTTTGTGTGTAGTCTGAAAATCCTCCGCAGGATTCAACCGACGTGTCTGTGCATTACATGACGGTGGGAAATTTTAATTCTCAAATCGTCTTGTAGGAATCATCCATCGTATATTTGCATAATATTTGCTCCTTACCGTTTTCACAACACACACACACACACACACACACACACACACACACACACACACACACACACACACACACACACACACACACACACACACACACACACACACACACAGAAACATAAAAACCTCTCTCTGTCGAAATTCCGACTGTCCCTGAATGCACCTCGACTACCAACGGTGGACGTGACGCTATTTAATTACTTCTGACTCCTGACTTTGAGGTAAGCGGCTGCATCTCTTTCACTTCTCCCCAAATAATGTTTAATTCGCCGGTTTAGCACACCGAGTTAGTGTTCAAACTCCCGGAAACTAATGTGATAAGTCTCATTTAGTTTTCACATCACAGAAAGCCGTAGCAAAGTCCGTGTGAGATTAATTACACCTGTTTCGCCAAAGCTAACTGTAATGAAACTTACAGCCACCGCAACTGATAACGGTCGACGACGATTAACAGAGAAAGTCGCAGTCTCTTCTCCCCTAAATATTAAAACCTGCCGTTTTATTCTCTCTCTCTCTGTGATGCTGTGGCATAATTGTGATATTGTTATAATAAAAGGGAAAAAATTAAACTGTCACGGTCTTAACATCAACCAACAGTCAGCTAACTGCTGGCTAATTAGAGTCCATGCTCCGTGACTCTAACCGTTAATATATTTTCATGGTTGTATGAACAATTAACTGTCAGCTCTGAGCAAATTCTCAGATTTCCATAACACGAACATCCTTAGCAAGCGCAGTTGCCTCCTTTGCTCTAATGTTAATGTCTACCTTACTGGTTGGTTAGTCACTTTAGCTGTTTAGTCAGCAATAGTGCTGACTTAGGCAAGTGAGCTTTTTAAGAGAGTGAAATGTCAATATCTGACATTAGTCAGCTCTTGGCTGTATAGACCATTTTATGAGCAGCCTTTTTGACATGAAATGATCATTAAAACCACCTGTAGGTAATAATGTGTCAAAGGTACAGGGTCTTAATTAATAAAACTGTAACACCTGTGTCAGCTTCAAACCAGAATGGATGCTGTGTGATCTGATTTGTTCAAATTATTAATAAAGTGAGAGTTCTTGTTTGTGGTGTGAACTGTGCAGGTGAAATGCATAATACATTGTACAGCTTAGAGCACACAAAATTTTTCCAGCCTTTTAGAGAGAGACAGAGAAGAGGACACTAACATGCTGTCTTCTCTTTTAGACGGAGAGAGGTTCCAGCGCATGTTTGGTGAGTACCTGATATTAAAATCTAAAGTGAAATTGACAGAAGAGTTGAGCACTCTGAGTATGGATGAAAAAATCGTTGACTTTTTAAGTTGATCATTTGGGTATAAAAATTAACTCTGTGTGTGAGCGCTTCCAGCCCAAGGGCACATAAGGTCCCCTAGCATGCACAGCAATTCTGAAACCAAGCGGATTTACTTTTGAGAGAGAACCAGCTGCTTTGTCAAACTTGTACAATATCATAGCATATTAACCTGATTTGTAATATGTACTAAACTGAGCACCGCGCAGTCTTTACCTTGAAATAAGAGATGCAGAGAGCAGTTACTAGCCCATCATGTTTAATAGCATATGAGCTTGAGTTTAGGCTTAAAAAATGTCAACCTAGTCACATAGATGAACACAGCTAAATGTAGTAATTATTGTAAATCTCGTATGGTATAATTCTGCAAAAGGTAACGATGATTTTTCTTTTTTGTGGTCCTTGGTCTGCAGAAGAGTACCAGTTTCCAGGTTCCAGTGGATCGTCCTGTTTGTCCCTCCCCTAACCCCCAACCCCTCTATCATCCGTCCTGCTCTGTCTGTTGTCTCTGCCTTCTTTCTCTCTCCCTAAGTTTCATCTCTCAGGTTGGTTGATACTCCCAACCTATTACAGACGCTTGGTTGATACTCCCAAGCACCCCTTGAACACGTCTGGTTGATACTCCCAGGCACCCCTTGAACACGTCTGGTTGATACTCCCAGGCACCCCTTGAACACGTCTGGTTGATATTCCCAGGCACCACTCACACACACTTGGTTGATACTCCCAAGCACCTTTGAAAGAAATCTCTGGGTTTGTTCTCCCAATTATCTTTGTCAAAGCTTACTTGGTTGATATTTCTAAGTAGCTTTTAAAAAGCTAAATTGGTTGATACTCCCAAGTGTCTTTGATAAAACTGACTTTGTTGATACACTGAGGCATTTTTCAAGAAAACTTAATTGGTAGATACAGACAGACAGCATTTGAAAAACTCAATTGGTTGTTACTCCCAAGTATCTGCTGCCACCACAACTACCACTACCACTACTACTACTACTACTACTACTACAACTACAACTACAACTACTGCTACCACTACTACTACCAACAGACTACGACTGATTGTTTCCAGGAACAATGCCACGCAAAGGAAAGAGATCCCAAGCCAAAAAGCTACACTGGCAGAAATTTCCTGAGTCCCGAGTACCTGATCAACGGGTGGTGAGTCCTCATCCTTACAACAGCGGACAGGTAAATACCCCTGATTTTTCTAATGCTAATGTCACACGTGTGTTGGCTTCCCGCAGTCAGGGGCATGATACATACGCTGATTCAAAGAACAGTCAATGCTCCTGCAACTGTGCTACTTTCCTGGCCTTTCTGCATGAGTTAGGACAACTCCACACTGCTGATCTTGATCTCGTTTTGGACAGAGGCCATGCAATGTATGCTCTAACTCTCGGTCAGTTGGATGTTGATGGTCAAAAAGTTGATAGATTCTTAAATATAGATGAACTTCCACCAATCATTGTTGGTGACAGACAACAGCACATAATGACAAAGTGTCAGTCAGTCAGTGGCGTCTTTACAGCTCCTACCTTGCTAAACAACAACCTTGCAGATGTACTTCAGTGCTTGTCCGCAGAGGTGAACTACGCATTGTTGATAATGAGTTCAATGTACATTGCTGTTTTCCGAGACCAACGCGGGCAGTATGGCTATTTTGACCCACACTCTCGACAGCCTGATGGCTTTCCTGCTGGCTTTGGTTGTGGCACAGCTGTCGTCTTTATTTTCACATATTTAAATGATCTGATCACAAAGCTTGTGACGTTATTCCGTGCAGTTGGCTCCGGTCCAAATTCTTATTTTGAGCTGACACCTGTGCTCTTTGAGACTGTGGATGAGCCCTCAGTGGAAGGAAATTTGCCACATATGGAGTCGAATGCAGATGATGTTCCCATAGCGAGGCAGCAAGAACCTCACATGTCCAGTCTACCCCAGGCGAAATCTGAGATTAAAATACAATTTAACAGTCACACTCTGCCAAGAGAGTCAAAACGTAATAAACAGGAAAGGAGGAAGTTGAAAAGAAGAGCTCAAAAGGGGAAGACAAAAGTTGCAATCGACAAAAATGAAAAACAGCGAGAACGATATGCCAAGGACAGATCATACCAGCAACGTAAAAAGTCTTATATGGCTAATCGGTACAGGCAGGATCCAGAGGTCAAACAGAGGAAGAAGTCCTACATCAAACGTCGCTACAAAAATGACACAGAGTTTAAACAGAAACAAAGGTCTTACATCAACCGCCGATACGCAGATGATGCAGAGTTTAAAGGGAAACAAAGGTCTTACATCAACCGCCGATACGCAGATGATGCAGAGTTTAAACAGAGACAAATGTTGTACATAACACACCGCTATTGCCAGGACTTTGCATTCAGAACCAAACAAAGGCAGTTTATCATAAAGCGTTACGCAAATGATCCTGCATTCAGAATGAGGCACAAACAAACTATGAGACAGCTAATGAGAGACAAATACAGAAACAACCTTGTAACCAGACTGACCAACAGCATGCGTTGTGCAATTAAGATTAGACAAAAATACAGACATTTAAACAGAAAGCAAATCGACATGGATGACAGTCAGATTAAAGAAGCCATAGAGATTTTCAGATCACATGTAAAAGATGGACCCACTTATGTCTGCACAGTTTGTCACAGAGCACTGTTTCCGAATCAAGTGCGACCCTGCAATCGGTCAAAATATGACAAAGAGCCACGTGTTGTTGCAGCTTGTCTCACTGGTGCATATGTTCATGTCTGCAGTGATGAATGCGAAAATTTACAACAGTGCCCCGTACCAGAGGAGCGAAAGAGAGAGTGGATTTGTTACACATGCCATGATCACCTTAAGGTTGGTGGGATGCCTCCCCTCGCAACGGCTAATAATTTACAGCTTGCTGATATTCCAGATGAACTGTGTGATTTGAACATTTTGGAACGTCATCTCGTAGCTAAAAGCATACCGTTTGCTAAAATTATTCCACTGCCCAAAGGTCAACAAAGAGCTATCCGTGGAAATGTTGTGTGTGTTCCATCTGAAGTACAGGAAACTGTAAATGCTTTGCCCAGACTAAGGAGTGAATCTCAGGTCATGAGAGTGAAGCTGAAGAGACGACTGTGCTACAAAGGTCATCAGCTGTTCCAAACTGTGACCTGGCCAAAGCTGGTGAGAGCTCTGCTCAAACTGAAAGAAATCCATCCCCAGTATAAAGACATAACAATCAGAGATGAAGCTGAGTCATGTGACCCTACTCTCCCTGATAATGAAGACAGCGACAGTGATGAGGATGACGGAATGGATGATGATGATTACGATGAGGAAGATTTGATGGAGATTGACCGTATTGAGAAAAATGCACTCTGTGAGGCAGAAAGCATTCCCGAAAACGACGAACAACATATGGAAAATCAGTCAGGTAATAATGGCTGTGAGCCAGAGAAACAGTCTGATAACTTGGAGGGTGATGAACCAAACGGTGGTGTTGTCCTTGAATCATGTCTGCAGCCAAGTGATGTGTCAGAGGAGATTTTGAGTTTTAGTGAGGGAATATACTCTGTTGCCCCCGCTGAAGGAAAAAAACCGTCAAGCTTTTTCAGAACACCTAAACTTGAGGCGATGGCTTTCCCAGTTCAGTTTCCCACTGGTGAAAATACACTGGATGATAACAGGCCACTGAAATTAACACCCTGCAGTTACTTCAAAACGAGGCTTTGCTGTGTCGATGGCCGTTTCGCTAAAGATACTAACTACTTGTTTTTTGCTCAATTTGTGACAGAAATACATATGGCCACTTCCAGCATGAGAATACAACTGCGCAAAGGCAAACCGCTTACTCGAGATGGCCGCAAAATCACAAGTGCCATGTTGCAAAACAAACGAGAAGTCGAAAGGCTAGTGCGGAACAAAGATGCAATAAGATTCATGACACCGCTGAGAGGCACCCCGGCGTATTGGCAGAAAACAACCAAAGACTTGTTTGCGATGATTCGGGCTTTAGGCTCGCCACAATTCTTCCTAACTTTCAGTGCTGCAGAAATGCGTTGGAAATGGGTTATCACAGCAATTAAAGCCCAGCAAGGTGAACACGTGAATTTTGAAGAGCTGGATTGGTCCTCCAAGTGTGAGATTTTGCGAAGTAATCCTGTCACCACAATGCGCATGTTTGACAAACGTGTCGAGGCACTGTTCAGAGATCTGATCCTGTCCCCCGCACAACCTATCGGCAAAGTCGTCGACTACTTTTACCGGCTCGAGTTTCAGCACAGAGGAAGCCCACACATTCACGGTATGGTATGGGTGGCAGGCGCACCTGTGTTTGAAGAATGCTCTGATGAGGAGGTGTGTAAGTTTGTGGCCAGATTCATCAAAGCTGAGCTGCCCGATGAAAACAAGGACCCAGAACTGTACAAAATAGTCACAGAAGTTCAGATGCACAGCAAAAATCACTCCAAGACATGTGTGAAATACAGTGGTGCAAACTGTCGTTTCGGATTTCCCAAACAACCTGTCCCAGAAACCACAATAATCAGACCGGGGGCAATTGTGGATGAAGCAACAGACCTGGCATTGACAGAAAAGCTAGCAACACTGAACAGGCTTCTTCATGAACCTACTACTGCATCGCTCAGCTTTGAACAGCTTTTGACAAAATGTGAGTTCACCAAAGAAGAATACCACAGGTGTTTGCAGAGCAAAACCAACGGCAGTCAAGTGATGCTGAAGCGTGGTCCCAAAGATGTTTGGGTAAATGGCTACAATCCCTACCTTCTGAAAGCCTGGAATGCCAACATGGATATCCAATTCATTCTCAACCCATACTCCTGTATCATGTACATGTGCAGCTACATCAGCAAGGCGGAACATGGTCTGAGTGAATATCTCAAAACGGTGATACAAAACTCACGTCAGGAAGATGTCAACGAAAGCGATGAAATGAAACAAATAATGCAGGCCTACTCCAAAAAAAGAGAGGTAAGCGCTCAGGAGTGTGTGGCTCGTGCATGCGGTCTACACATGAAGCAGTGTTCACGCAGCGTGGTGTTTGTGCAGACGGATGACAACGCACTGAAAATGAGTTACCCCTTGTCACACCTGGACAACAAACCTTCAGAATCGGAACATGTGTGGATGACAGGGTTACCTGATAAGTATGTATGCAGACCAGAAACACCAGACTTTGAGGCAATGTGCTTGGCGGATTTTGCATCGAGCTGCAGAATAGTCTATGGCAAGCAGACAAAAGGCAAAAACACTCATCGCCTGCTGAATGAGATGGGGTTTGTCCAGAAGAGAGCAAATGATGAAAAACATGCTGTCATCAAATATCGACCCATTTCCCTTGAGAAAGATCCAGAGCTGTATTATGGCACATTGCTTAAACTGTACGTGCCTTACCGCTCAGAAAACCAGCTGAAATCTAACCACTTCCCAACTTACCAGTCTGTCCATGACCATGCAGCTGTTTGGTTACCTGGATCACAGCATCCCGAGCGCGTGAAGGCAATTGTGAAACGCAACAGAGAAAAACATGAGAAACACCGTGAGGACATTGACAGTGCCATTCAAGAGTTTGAAGAAAGAGGAATGTTGCTAAATGAATGGGGCAACCTGGCGCCTGAGAGTGAGCTCGAACGGCTCGAGTGCATAGATGAACTCAATGAAAGAGAAGCTGATGAGGACGTGCAGGAGAATGTTCCAGACTATAATGTGAGGTCAGACGTGAGGCAAGAATCTGCAGTCACGATCGAAGCCCCTGAAATTGATCCTGTGGTGCTGCGTGAGATGTACCAGAACTTGAACCAAACGCAAGCTTCAGTTTTCCACACCATTCGGGAATGGTGCTTGAAATGTGTTTGTGGTTCAAAACCAGAGCAGTTCTTCTTGTACATTAATGGTGGTGCCGGAACAGGTAAGTCTCATCTAATCAAATGCATCCATGCAGAGGCATCTAAAATACTCAGAAGACTTCCAAGAAATGCAGAGGAAGCAGACATCTCTAAACCTACTGTTCTCTTGACTGCATTCACTGGTACTGCAGCATTCAACATTTCAGGTACAACATTGCATTGTCTCTTGAAGCTGCCCAGAAGTCTCAAGCCTCCTTTCCAAGGTCTTGGTAACAAACTTGATGAAGTCAGGGCAGAGCTTTCAAATGCAGAGATACTCATTATTGATGAAGTCTCCATGGTCTCCAAACAGCTCTTTGCCTACGTGGATGCGAGACTGAAACAAATCAAAGGAAGTCAGAGACCTTTTGGTGGAATGTCAGTTCTCACTGTTGGAGATTTCTACCAGCTACCACCTGTCAGACAGTCGAAACCTCTGTGTGTGTTTGACCCGACTCAGATCGACCTCTGGCGTGACAACTTTCAGATGGTCACACTGACCGAAATCATACGTCAGAAAGATGATGTCACTTTTGCTGAGACGCTGAATCGAATCCGTGCCAAAGAAAAGACAGTGTCTTTGTCTCATGAAGACAGAGTTCTGCTTTCACAGGCCTTAGCTGACCCGGCTCAATGTCCAAAAGACGTACTGCATGTTTTTGCGACAAACAAACAGGTTGAGGAACACAACTCAAAAACCTTGGACATGTTTCACTCCGACGTCACCACAATAGATGCAGATGACTACAAAAAAGATCCAACCACCGGGAGAATGACGAGACAAAGTGTACCTTTCCAAGGAAACAAAAAGGAGTTGCCTGACTCGATAAAATTGGCCATCGGCGCTAATGTCATGATCACCAGAAATATAAGTGTGCAGTCAGGTCTCTGCAATGGAACATTTGCACGCATTGCAAAAGTAGTGACTAAAGCAGGAAATCCGCATGTTGAAAAACTTGGACTGAAACTGAACAGTCAAAGTGCAGCAGCCAGCGAAGCAGATGTGGATGAAAACATCGTGTACATTGACAGAGACGAGGAGAACCTTAAACAGACGGGAGTTGTCAGAAGACAGTTTCCCATCAAGCTCGCTTTTGCGTGTACAATACACAAAGTTCAAGGGATGACAACTTCCTCGGCCGTGGTCTCACTGAAACACATCTTTGAACCCGGCATGGCCTACGTTGCTCTGAGCAGAGTGACCTCTCTGAGTGGACTCCACATTCTAGACATGGATGAGAGGAAAATCTATTGCAACCCTGAAATCACTGTAGCTCTTGAAAACATGTCTAAAGCTTCACTTGAACATGTCATGCCTCTCCTCAAGATCCCAGAAACATTGAGCAGGCCAGACACTCTCACTGTCATTCATCACAACACAGAAGGACTACCAGCTCATATCACCGACATCAAAAGTCACCATGAACTACATCTTGCAGACGTGCTCTGTCTCACTGAAACTCATCTGCGAGGATCCTTTGTTGCTGAGAGTCTCCACCTTGAAGGCTACAACATGTTCAAACGTAACAGAAACGTGTCTTATTCAAACCATCCTGCCATGGCCACTAAAAACGGTGGCGGAGTTGCCATCTATGTGAAAGAACACATCAGAGTCCTTGAGAGACATTTCATTCAAAATGCCACTGATATTGAGTTCAGTGTCATCAAACTTGAAGCTCCTTTCAGGGCTCTAATTGCTGCCGTCTACAGGCCTCCTGACTACGATGTTCACTCATTCATATCCAACCTCAGAAGTCTCTTGGATTCACTGGAAGTCATGGATCATCATCCCATCTTAGTCTGTGGAGATTTTAATGAAGATTTGCTGTCCAGAGCAAGGAAGCCCATTCTTGAACTGTTTCAGTCAAAAGGTTATGAACAACTCATAACTGCTGCAACCACAGAGAAGAACACGCTGCTTGACCCCATTTTCATCTCTTGCCCGCAGTCCTGTATCCATTCTGGCGTGCTGCGGACATACTACAGTTACCACCACCCTGTCTACTGCGTGCTCACTTTAGAAACACCCTAAAAAGAACTGGCTGGTTTAAAATTGAGAACTTGGTGCAAAGTTAAGGGGAAAAAAAAATTATTGTGTCCATAACTGTCGGTTTACACGTTGCGATTTAAGAGAAGAGTTTTAATTATTGGTTTCCTATTCGATCACCTAACGAAACGTTGTAAACATAGTATATTTTAAGATGGGGGGGTCGTCCTCAGCAGCCAGGCTGTAACACCTGCTCTGGCTGCTCTAGCTTTTAAAAGGCTGGGAGGGAGGGATGGTCAGACGGCCCTCCTATACCAAAGAAAAACATACCTGCAAATACTTTCTAGTCACTGTACAATGTGAGATTAAAGACAATATATAAAACTTTAATACATTTCTGAAAAATACAGTGAAGTAAAATGATGCAAAGGTCAGTACATTATTAGTAGCATTTAAAAAAAAAATTTAAAATATACAGTGAGACAAATTAAAAACAAGCTAATTTAAAAGAAATAAAAACTGCCACTGAAACTATTATGAACTAATGAAATATTATAAACAAATTATATTTTAAGATGAGGGGGTCGTCCTTAGCAGCCAGGTTGTAACACCTGCTCTGGCTGCTATAGCTTTTAAAAGGCTGGGAGGGAGGGATGGACCGACGACCCCCTCCTATACCAAATTATATAGAAATACATTTCTGCAAGTCGTTACTTTACGCTGTATTAGAGTTGCCCATTATGTCCTGCCATTTACTTTGAGTAGTGGCAGGAAGGTCTGAGGATGCATTACTGCTCCTCATTTCTCTTGAACGACTTGGTGTGGGCGTAAGGTAAGAACAATATTGATCTTTCATATATACTAGCTGCAGGACTGCTCCATTTTAAATGTGAAAATACACGTTGTTTTACTGGATTTGTTTGTCTGAATCTCTCTGTTCATTTGTTTGGGTTTAGGCACCTGTGCCCTCCAGACACCAAAGATGTGGGGTGATGACACTAGAACTCCAGCTCTGTGCTCAGTGTGTCCCAAGGGCCTACCTTGGAGAGGGGAAGACACATTTCATCCTAAGAGAGCATCAGGTCAGCCTATGATTTTGATATCAAGACATTTGCACTCTGAGTTTGTTGCCTTTTACTGTTTGTGTTTGTTTCTGGTGGTCTACCAAAGGAGATAAGGATGAGCCTCTCTCAAAAGAACATCCATTGGTGAACCCTCTGTCTGACACTTGGTTGTATTCACACCTTCCTGGGCTGAGAAGTTCGTCACCAAGTCTTTCACAGCCGTGTAAATTTACGGGTAGGAGCTGCAAGTGTCACAGTGAGAAGAAACAATTCTACCTGTAAATTCCCTGAACATGTGCATGGTGAGTGACAGTACAGTTTATTCCTTTTAATCTAAGGCTGCCAATAATTTCTCAATGATGCTCCATGGCATTTTGAAGAAGTTCTTTTTGTCTGGTAGAGTGTCACAGTGGCAGCCCCACACTGGCAGAGCAGCGCCTGAGCAACAGTTCCAGAGTACTGCAGCTAGACAGCTGTGTCTTTGAACTTGAGGAGGACCCATACACATTGTAAGTTGACTTAAATGTTGTTACAATGTCTGTTTTCTGGTGTATTCAAATCAATCTGTAAGATTTCATCTGTTTTTTCTCTCTCCTGTTCAGTGCTACAGAGAGAGGTGAAGTTGGACATGCCGCGTATGCAACATTATCCTGAGAAGAGGTGCCACCACTGATCTTGAACAGGACTCAAGCATGTTGTGAGTGGACTGAACAGTTTATTGATCACGAAGAGTTTTGTGACATTTGCTAGAAAAGTTTAAAGGTATTGATAATAAATGTAAAGTTTTGTCTGCCAGTGCTGTACAGGAAACCAAACCCTCTCCGTGTGTGACCAATTAGCGGAGAGAACTTCTGATCCAGGATTGGACAAGTTGTTGCTCACACAATGCTGGACCTCTAACGGGTATGTACTTGTCTTCAGCAGTCATATTATTTCTTTGTGTTCATCTGATGTGACAACCTTCTCTCCTCTCTGTACATCACAGAAGTCGACATGAGCTGAAGAACTAGAAAAGTCCTGCAGATCTTGTGACTGTGGCTTCTTAGAACCAAGCACCGAGTCTACAGCAGAGAAGGGTTCTGACCTGGGGAGCAACAGCTCTGAACTTCACCAAGTATGTTTCATCTTCAAAATCTTTGACTTTTCCACACTACAACCAGCTGTGTAGGATTTCAGTTTGTCGTCTGTAACACCAGTGTAAACTGTTGTCTTTTCCTCTCAACTCATCACAGAACCAGCTCGACATGAGCCACAGAGCCAAACCCAGCAACCATGTGACCCTGGAGCCATGTGATCTCTGCTGAGCTTAGAACTCTAAAATACTGCATGCTCAGCCGTCCTGGTAGGGGATCCCTCTAAGACCTGGCCTACCTAAAGGTTTCTTCCTCTTATCCTGAGAAAGCTTTTTTGGGGGAGTTTTTCCTGACATGCTTGGAGGGTCGAAAGGCTGATGGTGCCATATACCCCAGATTTTTTTTCTGATTCAATGTCAATAAAGAAAGAAAATGAAATTCTGGCGTTTTAATTTACTTATTTGAAAGAGTGAATGAATGAATGACACATCCCAGTCAGCTTTGTTTCTCCAGGTGCACTAATTGGTTGCCATGCTGAAGGTAAATACATCATTACAGCATAAGAAAGAAGTACAAGTTCAAGTTCAAATGAGTTGTTGCTGATTTTTAAAAATATGTGAAAAGTCAAAAGGTATGAAGTATCAGGAAGATTTTAATCAATTTGAATAAACTCAATTGAATAAATTGAATAATGCATGAATAATAATTTTAAAAATTCAACGTTTGAAAATTAAAATGATTGAAAACCCTGAAGCATGGGAAAGGCTTGAAGAATCAATAAGGTTTGAATCAGTTCAAATGAGTTGGAATTTGTTGGAAAGAACCGAAAAATGCACTAAAGGAAAAAATGATTTAAAACTGGAAAATAAAAAGGTTACAAGTCTGGAAGGAAAAGAGGTTTGAAGAATCAAAACGGTATAAATCAGTTTGAAGGAGTTTAAATTAGTTTGAAGAGTTAAATAATGCATTTTCAATGAATGATTGAAAAATGGGGACAATGTAAATGAAAAAAAATCCTGATTAGACCCCATAATGTCCTCAGTGAGCTGAATTTATTAAGCCCTGGATGGTTTCTGTAGCTCAAGGTTTGTGCGAAGAGATAGCTGACAAAGTTCGTCAAATAACTCTACTGAAGGGTTTTAAATGTAACCCCCAGTACTCTGTGTACTGAGCCTGGCTTCATGTGTCTCATATGGCTGTTAGAAGTAGCTTACCAGCCAGCTGTGTGTCTCCAGGTGCTCTTATTGGTTGCCATGGTGACAATAGATGCTTAGCAACAGCAGGAGAAAGGAGGCTTGAGGCTGAGAACGTGATGCCCAAACAACGTCATATTTCTCATCCTCTGTAACTGCTATCTTCATGATCAGGAGCTTGTGACAACCACAAGGCCCGGCTGAACACGTTGATACAACTTCTGTGTTTGTGGAGCCAGAAATGCCTTCACTACGACAAGTTAAAAACATGTCCAGTTTGTGTTTCCTCTGAAAATCCTCCTCTCAGGTTTACATTGGAGTCAATGGAGAAAGCTGGAGAAATCTGGGGGATGTCTGCGGCAGTTGGTGTCTGCCCAGGCCACTGTGTGTGTCCTATGGCTTTGATTTTTGAGATGAAGAGTGACAGCGAGTTTTGCCATCACTGTACCAAATTTTATCTGTGTAGAGCGAAGTGAGTTGCCACAATCCTTTTGTAAAGACAAAGTTTTGAGGATCAATTTTCAGCCTGTCTCACTCTAGCTGTGAGGTCACCCACTCTAGCGGCCAACATTCCGTGCAATACACACTAATGTTAAAACCTGGACAGGTCAGAAAATCATGTGAATTTTTGAACTGTCACTGTGAGAAAAGTATGAATGCCATGAAGATGGTGAATGAATGAGTGAATGTCTGAAGATGTGTGAATATTTTAAAGTTTGAATGAAGTTTCTAGGTGAAAGTATGAATGAATGAGAAGAGGTTGAAGTTGACTACGTCTGAAAGCCTTTTCCCATTGAATCCCATTATAACGAAGTTTTAAACTAATCTTAATATTTTGAAAAGTACAAATGGGATTAAAAATGTTGAAGATGTGGAATAATGCTGACGAATTTGTGAATATTTTAGTTTTTGAATGAAGTTTCTACGTGGAAGTATAGCGGAGTTGAAGGCTTTTGAAGTTTGAAGCCAATTTGAACATTCCGTAATGCATTTCTAATGGGAGAAATCGGTCGGAAAACCTGGAATATCTCGGAAAGTATGAATGTTAGGAAATATTTGAATACAAGCCGGAATCTCCTGAATGAGATGAATCTTTTGAAGTTTGAATGGTTTGAATACGTTGAAGTATGTGGAAGGAGTAGCGTGTCAAAAAACGGTGGAAGAATAATAATAATAATAAAGATATGAATAACATATAGTGGGAATGCTTCGCAATCCCACTCAATAAAGATATGAATAACATATAGTGGGAATGCTTCGCAATCCCACTCAATAATAAAGATATGAATAACATATAGTGGGAATGCTTCGCAATCCCACTCAATAAAGATATGAATAACATATAGTGGGAATGCTTCGCAATCCCACTCAACTAGAAAATGCAATTTCTGAAGAAATTGCGAGTGGGATTGCTTCAGTCGAAATTGCTAGCGCTAAGCTGCTATTGCGAATGGCTGAATTTTAAAATATGTGAAAGGTCAAAAGGTATGAAGAATCAGGAAGATTTGAATCAATTGGAATAAACTCAATTGAATGAATTGAATAATGCATGAATAACAATTTTAGAAAATTCAACATCTGAAAATTAAAATGATTAAAAACCCTGAAGTATGGGAAAGGCTTGAAGAACCAATAAGTTTTGAATCAGTTTAAATGAGTTGGAATTTGTTTGAAAGAACTGAATAATGTATAAAGAGTAAAAAATATTTAAAACTGGAGAATTAAAAGGTTACAAATCTGGAAGAAAAAGAGGTTTGAAGAATCAAAACGGTTTAAATCAGTTTGAAGGAAATAAATTAGTTTGAAGAACTAAATAATTTATTTTCAATGAATGATTGAAAAATGGGGACAATGTAAATGAAAAAATCCTGATTTGACCCCATAATGTCCTCAATGAGCTGAATTTATTAAGCCCTGGATGGTTTCTGTAGCTCAAGGTTTGTGCGAAGAGATAGATGACAAAGTTCGTCAAATAACTCTATTGAAGGGTTTTAAATGTAACCCCCAGTACTCTGTGTACTGAGCCTGGCTTCATGTGTCTCATATGGCTGTTAGAAGCAGCTTTCCAGTCAGCTGTGTGTCTCCAGGTGCTCCCTTTGGTTGCCATGGTGACGATAGATGCTTAACAACAGCAGGAGAAAGGAGGCTTGAGGCTGAGAACGTAATGCCCAAACAACGTCATATTTCTCATCCTCTGTAACTGCTATCTTCATGATAATGAGCTTCTGAGAACCACAAGACCCGGCTGAACACGTTGATACAACTTCTGTGTTTGTGGAGCCAAAAATGCCTTCACTACGACAAGTCAAAAACATGTCCAGTTTGTGTTTCCTCTGAAAATCCTCCTCTCAGGTTTACATTGGAGTCAATGGAGAAAGCTGGAGAAATTTGGGGGATGTCTGTGGCAGTTGGTGTCTGCCCAGGCCACTGTGTGTGTCCTATGGCTTTGATTTTTGAGATGAAGAGTGACAGCGAGTTTTGCCATCACTGTACCAATTTTTATCTGTGTAGAGCGAAGTGAGTTGCCACAATCCTTTTGTAAAGACAAAGTTTTGAGGATTAATTTTCAGCCTGTCTCACTCTAGCTGTGAGGTCACCCACTCTAGCTGCCAACATTCCGTGCAATACACACTAATGTTAAAACCTGAACAGGTCTGAAAATCTTTGGACTTTTTGAACTGTCACTGTGAGAAAAGTATGAATGCCATGAAGATGGTGAATGAATGAGTGAATGTCTGAAGATGTGTGAATATTTTAAAGTTTGAATGAAGTTTCTAGGTGAAAGTATGAATGAATGAGAAGAGGTTGAAGTTGACTACGTCTGAAGCCCTTTTCCCATTGACTGCCATTATAACGAAGTTTTAAACAAATCTTAATATTTTGAAAAGTACAAATGGGATTAAAAATGTTGAAGATGTGGAATAATGCTGACGAATTTGTGAATATTTTGGTTTTTGAATGAAGTTTCTATGTGGAAGTATAGAGGAGCTGAAGGCTTTTGAAGTTTGAAGCCAATTTGAACATTCCGTAATGCATTTGTAATGGGAGAAATCGGTCGGAAAACCTGGAATATCTCGGAAAGTATGAATGTTAGGAAATTTTTGAATACAAGCCGGAATCTCCTCAACGAGATGAATGTTTTGAAGTTTGAATGGTTTGAATACGTTGAAGTATGTGGAAGTAGTTGACTGCCAAAAAACGGCGGAATAATAATAATAATAATAATAATAATAATAATAATAAAGATATGAATAACATATAGTGGGAATGCTCTGCAATCCCACTCAATAAAGATATGAATAACATATAGTGGGAATGCTTCGCAATCCCACTCAATTAAGTGCAATATTTCTGACAGAAAATACTCGTTAAATTTTTGATTCAAAAACTGCTTAATTACAGAGAATTAGGCAAATGTGAGAACTTGCTCTCCACCTCTTTGAATCATTTTTACATAGATGACAAAATGAGTGTTTCAGTAGGCTATTATTGCCTGTGTGGAAGTTGCATGTCAAGTAAAGGACAGATACTTACAGTAGCAAGTCATTTTTATAAATTTGGTTTACTTATACTGTGACTGACATCGTTTTGATATAGATCATGAATCATATAACTTGCTTGCTGTTAAAGCCAAACATTTGGAAATAGGACGCAAAGATCAATCGATACCATTTAGTTCATCTCTATATAGCTAACCCTGACTTCAGTTTTCTCTAATTCAGGCATAGCTTGTTTCAGAAAACACCCCTGTGATGATAAGAGATTTTTTCATTTGACAAAAAGACAGAGAAGTTTGAAGGTTTGACATCCTAAATAAAATTACTATGTAAGATTTCTCTGAACAAAAAAGGTCCATCAGATACTATTTTCTGTACATTACTGACATTTTTTTCCTTTCCCTAACCCCTGATTATTTGGTCAATAAAGCATGTTTAGTTTTTCATGCTTGTAATGTAAATGCACATCTGATTCCATGTACATTAGGACAATCATTAGGGGAACAAAACATGTCTTACCTCATGCTGTTCCTCTCTGCTCTACAGAATGTCCATGGCTCTTCCGCGTCATGTCATCTGGAAATCAGAAGGTCTGGTGGCTTACCTCCATCCCCGGCCCTGGACCTCAGGCTCTCTTATCCTGGAGCGCAGCACACCTGGCAGCCCAGGAGGCAGCATCTTCCACCTGGAGAAACAGGAGTTCTTATCCTGGCTGCTGGGGGCTAGAGTCGTTTCAGAGATACTGTGTGACAAAATGGCAGTTCAGAGGTGTGCCCTGGTCAGCAGACCTAAGAGGGACAGACCTGCCCAGGTAAGGGTTAATACTGTACAACCTTTTCATTGGCTGGTCTGCTGTTGAGTAGAAGTAGTTCACGAAAATTGACACATACTACTTTGCAGAGAAAGTTTGGCGTTGATTTTAAATAGAGTGGTCTAACATTTGTGAAATTTAGGGTTGTCCTCATGGGAAAGTCTCTCGAACAATTTCCCCAGTGGTGAAAGCAGTAACAGTGTGAGCCTTTGTAGCTATAGTCCCATGAGTCCTGTTTGCAAATGTGCTTTAAATGGCCGCCAGTATGAATAAAAAGGCAAATATGAGCTTGCCCAATATTGTGTTAACACAAAGGTCATTTTCAAATGATTAGTGGAAAAACATTTTTGTGTTACATAGATATATACAGGTGCTACATAAATAAATGTAGATTATTTTGTATAATTTAGTCAAATTTGATCAACACTTGGTTTAATTTCCACAGATCTATATCCTCCCTCTGCATGGTCTTCATGCGAAGTGGCGCCCTCACCTGGCAGGAGAAGAGGAGCACAATACCCATGACCCTGGGTACTGCACCTCAAAGACGGCTGCCAGATGGAGTGACTCCAGCTTAACAGACATTCAGGCCAAGATTCGGGCCAAACTCCCACAACCTGATGCCCCTTATAATCTGACTTTCCTCGGAGATGATCCAGCTCATCCTGGTTTGTTTTCACGCATCGTGCGTGGGGAGGAGCAGCAGTGGAGGGTGTGGGAGGATGATGGTCATGTGGCCTTTCTCACTCCTTTCCCCAATTCTCCCGGCTTTACTGTGCTGGTCCCACGCCGACCCTTGACCTCTGATATATTCAGACTAGAAAAAAGGGACTATGAGGAGCTGGTGCTGGCAGCCCTGAAGGTGGCAAAACTTCTAGAGGAGAGTTTAAGTGCCTGGGGGGTGGGGCTCATATTTGAGGGTTTTGAGATTGACTACGCACATGCCAAGTTGATACCACTGTTTCTACCTCCATCAGACAGGAGTAAACTATCCCCTGAATTTTATCCCACTTATCCTGGATATGTAACCTCAGAGGATGGACCTGAAGCCAGCCAGGAAACTCTGAAGGAGTTGTACACCAAAATTACACAGACTTAATGCTCAAAACCAAAGTGACATAAAATCTTTGTTGTAAGATTAATTCTCTCTGTCTTACGAAACAGTCAGAAGTGCAAAAACTATGAGTAAGATGATGGTGGAGATGAAGAACCATTATTAAGTGTTGAACGAGGGTTGTAAATGTGTGGCAATTTAATATAACCAACCAAAAATAGTTTTTCTGAGCAGTTTTTGATGGGTGACAAATTTGACTGACTGCAGGCAGGCCAGTTTAGCACCTGGACTCTTTCACTACAGAGCCATCCAGTTGTAATATGTGCATAGGGTGGTTTGGTGTTATCCTGCTGAAATATGAAAAGTTTTTCTTGAAAAGGCATTTGGTAGTAATTTTTAGCCCTTGCAGTGATTTTCAGTACAGAATTAAGTCTGTTGTCAACGCAGTTCTACCTGGGTGCTACAAGATCATGGATTTCTGCAGATTTTCAGGGTCTTGTACTTTAGACGATGAAATTCCTCATCCTTGACATTTAACTTTATGTAACAATATTTTTTGAGTTTCTGTTGAATTATTTTTTCATGCTGTCTCTCACTGAGGGGTGAACCACTTCCCCCATTCACAACAGATAGACTAATGCCCTTTGTACATCCTTTGTATATCTAATCATGTCAAAAACTTGTTGCTTAATAACATTATTTGTTAGTGGATGAACCTGTTCATTTTTTTTTGTCTTTTCATCTGTTGTTGTCCCTATTCACACCTTTATGGATGCAAGCATCAAATTTAAAACCAACATTTTTTTTTTTAGGTTGAACACCTGATATGTTGTCTGTTAATTAAGATAAGACAGAAGAATATATTGATCCCTGAAGTAATTGGATTTCCTTTCGGGGATCAATACAGTTATTCTTATCTTATTTAAAATTTTATTATCCCAAGACCAAGCACTCTAGACACCAGCATTCGAGAACTGTGAGTGCGTCAGAACCATAGACAGTATGTACTATGGACAACTTGGTTCCGCCTACCACCTGTATACGGATTTGAAGCCAAATAGCTTTCGGTATTTCCAGGATTTTTCTTTATTTCCTGAAACCAGCGCTGCGCTGCATTCGGGCGCGCAGTCGCCGAGAGTCGCTGTGATGACGCTCGGCTCAAACAGCGTATCCCCTGGGAGAGTTAGGCAATCCCTGAACGCTCATAGGCTGTATCAGGTGTCAATCATAGAAAACATGAACCCCCTAATAACTTGAGCACAAACCAGTCTTACAATAACTACTAGTCAACATCACAAGCAGGGGGGAGAAAATTTTATGTTCTGTGTAATAAATTTCTAAAGTTTGTCCACAGCTCCATAAGCTTTGCTGGCGGAGGCGGGATTTATGACCTATACTGCAGCCCATCAACAGAGGGTGCCGTTCTCAGAGTGACTTCACCCAGCAAGGAGGCAGACTGTCCATTCTTTATACAGTCTATGGTCAGAACCCAGCATTTTAAAGCCAGGTCTTCAAGAACTAAGAATTCTAGAGCCATGCATGCCAAAACCCAGCATTGAAAGGACTCAGCTTATTAGATTCTTTTCTTCATTCTGTGCACCTCAATTTTTAAAAGTTATTAGGGGTTCATGTTTTTCTACGATTGACACTCGATACAGCCTATGGGCGTACAACATAGACTGTATATACTATGGACAACTTGGTTCCACCAGTATACGGATTTAAAGCCAAAAAGCTTTCTGGGGTTTTCCCTCACTTCCTGAAACTAACATTGCGCAGTGTCGCCACCTGATCATCTCGGAAACCCGATTTGTACTGCACATGTGCGAAATTTATGTCACTTCCTCTCCTAGCCATCTTTACCATAGACATATATAAGAAAGGCTAGATGAATCGAGGCAGAGTCACCGGCATCCGTACACGGCGGCCATCTTACTTTAGTATACCGTTCTGGTACATTGTATGGTAGCTGACGGAAGGTGAGTAATTTGTATGATGAAAAATACTCTTAAATCACTGAAATCTTGACAGATTTACAAACCGTTTTGTTAATTACAGACCTTGATAACGTGGCTATGAGTCGGGATGCTTGGACATATTGAAATGGCAGATTTTCTTTGAGAAAAAAAAGACTTAATCATGAAGTACAGTTGTTTCAAGGCTATTTGTATGCAAGGGCTAACTTTGAGTCGCTTTGCGCGAGTTGTCAAGGCAGACCACAATCAAGATTTTAATTTCTTTTATGACAGCCTTTTTTTGCCTAAGTGACAGCCTTTGTGGATGTGCTTGTGTTTATCAGCTTGGCTAACAGATTCGCTGTGAGTGAGACCAAGTCCGTATTACAAATTTGACCCAGCAATTTTACATCAGTTTAAAGGCAACTTGAAACAACAGGCAACTGGACTGTGTAGAGTTGAGAAGACGTTTCGCCTCTTATCCAAGAAGCTTCTTCAGTTCTAAATATTGCTGGTGTGAGGAGCAGATATTTATCTTACTGGAGAAGGGGACAGACAACGACTGGAAGGAGTTGGAAAGAAGGGGTCGTAGAAAACCATCTCCAGGTGCTCTTGCGTCTCTCCTCCCTTTCATGTTCAGTGTTATTTCTCTTTCTGTTCTTCACAAAGGCCCACTTAGGGTATCCACAGGTTGTCAGGGCATTTTTGATGTGCTTCTGTTCCTTTTCTTTACCTTCTGTCTTCGTGGGAATGTTCTCAGCCTGGTGGTTGAGTGTTCTGATAACACCCAGTTTGTGCTGCAGAGGATGGTGGGAATCAAAAAGGAAATATTGATCTGTGTGTGTGGGTTTCCTATACACTTCAATGTTGAGACACCCATCTGCCTCCAAGTGTACAGCACAGTCCAAAAAGGCCAACACATTGTCCTAGACATCTTCACGGGTGAACTTGATGTTGCTGTCCACTGTGTTGATATGGTCAGTGAAGGCCTGTACTTCATGTGTTTTGATCTTAACCCAGGTGTCATCCACATATCTGAACCAGTGGCTAGGAGCGGCTCCTTTGAGGGAGGTTAGGGCCTTCCTCTCTACCTCTTCCATGTACAGGTTGGCCACTATTGGAGGAACCAGGGAGCCCATAGCACATCCATGTTTCTGTCTGTAATGGCGCGCTCTGAACTGGAAATAGGTGGTGCTGAGGCAGATGTCCAATAAGGAGCAGATGTGGTCGGGGTTAAGTTGGTTCTGACCTCCAGTGTGCTGTCCTTTAAGAGGCGCTGTCTTACTGCTTGGACTTGCTCTGTTGTTGGAATACTCATGAAAAGTAATGTGACATCATAGGAAACCATGGTTTCATCTGGGTCCAGCCTGATGTCCTTGATTTTCTTGGCAAAGTCCTCTGAGTTTTTGACATGGTGAGTGGTGTGGCCGACAAGGGAGCTAGGATGGTGGCCAGATGTTTTGCCACTTTGTATGTGACCCAGTTAATGCTGCTGATAATGGGTCTAACGACGACTTTCAAGGAATTGTTTGTCCCCTTCTCCAGTAAGATAAATATCTGCTCCTCACACCAGCAATATTTAGAACTGAAGAAGCTTCTTGGATAAGAGGCGAATCGTCTTCTCAACTCTACACAGTCCAGTTGCCTGTTTTTGGAGTCTTCAAGAAAACCATGACCTGGATGAATGAGAATCTACATGGACATACGAACCAAACTGTTTGAAAACTGGTATAAAATTAATCAATCTATGGTTATTTAAATGCTACATGCATCTTAGACTTTAATGTTAGGAGTGGGCGAGCTGCCAAAAGCAAGATGGCCGCCATGTGCAGATGTTGGTCTCCATTGGCCAACAGCGTGCATAAGCGTTGTCTCTTTTCATCCTCCATATGACAAAGCATTGATATAGGTCTTTTAACTTAGTTTCTGTATGTGTTACACATTGCAACAATCAGTCTGTTTTGCTCTTCTTGGAGATCTGGCTTAATCTCTTCATTAAAGCAATCTCTTATCTGTAGATACACTGAAAAAATCTTGTTTGTCCAATTCATACTCTCTTCTTAGTTGTAGAAAGCTTTTGATTTCCCCCTGTTTAGTTACTGTATTCGTTATTGTTATGCCTCTCTTTGCCCATTGTTTGAACGTTAAGGTCCCAGTATAAAATTCTCATTGTGTGCCAGCCATCTTAAAATCTTTGATCCATCTCCAAGTTCTATCTCTGAACTGCTTTAAACCAGATTTCCAAACTATCATACTCTGCATATGACATCCTTTCACGTTCAGGTCTCTTTTCATCTTGTGAAGTATTTTGTATTACACCAGCAAATCAAGTGCTGGAGCTGTGCAGCATAAAAATATTCTTTAAGATTTGGCCCCCCTGTCTTTCGGTAATTAAAGTGTTCTACATCTGACTCTTGGTGATTGTCAGAAAAATTAAACTGACTTGCAGCCAGCTGAGAAGAATGACAGGGATAGTGGACTTCTTTTTCTTTAATATCTTTTACTTGCAAGGAGTCAACAGCTTAGAACAAAGGCAGCTTACTCTGACTGAGGAATTCAGATTTTTACACACATCTTTTATGCAGTCAAGAAAAAGACACCCCCGTCCACTAACGCCATCTCACAAGTGGCATGACATTACAACAGCATCCAAATATGGTAAAGGTTGCAGCTGTGGTCTGTACTGGGAGAACAAAGACAGCTTAGTTCATCATCAGGTTCCTGCTTATCAGTTTAATGTCACACTGCTAGGGAAACAACCTGTGAGTAAAATTATAGCATTCATCTAGTTGCATGGCTTCAGCGGAAAAGTATCAGTCCCAACTCCAAGGCCATACTTCTCCTTTCCCATGCTCATTGAAAGGCCCAGATATGACTCTTCAAGCATTCACACCAAGTGACTTGCAGTAAATGATGATTAACATACTTACATAATGATAAAATACACATGTTGTAACATACACATACGATTTTTCTTTCAGTGATGAATCTTGACATTTTTTTTATCCACCTCCTAAAATTGCAGGGGTGGGATTGGCACCCCTGAAATAAATACAGAATTCTTGGTAATACATTCATTTTTATAATTTCAATACTTGAACAAAAGTCAAGAATCAATACCAACCATTTCTCCATGTCCTTATATATTTCATGATTTAGAGGTACGTATTTAGTAAAGTTAGTTTAGTAGTTTAGTTATATATATATATATATATATATATATATATATATATATATTCATTGGTGATATTTATTCCTAAATAAAAAAAAATATATATATATATATATATATATATATATATATATATATATATATATATATATATATATATATATATTCATTGGTGATATTTATTCCTAAATTAAAAAATAAAGCCTTCAATTGTTCCATTTGAAGTTATATCTATCTTGAATTTCTTTAGATGGTAAATAAATAAACAATAGCACTTTTGATTTCTGGACATTAAGTTTGTAACCTGTGAGGTACCCATAGTTTTATAATGTCATTAATTTTGGGAGCCAGAAGTCTGTTTTTTTTTTTTGTTTTTTTTTTAATATATCAAAACGCCAGCAACAAAATGTCCAATTTTGTGCTCAGTGTCTCTCATGGTGTTCCCCATAATTTCTTCATTTTGCCTTACTGCTTAGAGAATTGGGGACTAGTTTCTAGTTTGAATTCTTTGGTTAAGCTTCCATTAATTTTTATTCTTACCCTGGGATCTTTATATGTTGTTTTAATGCATTTAACTGCATCCTCATTAAAACTGAAGATTCTCCAAGCAGAGGTATAAAGACTTTGATTGAATGTCGTTGAAGGCTTTTTCAGCATCTAAACTAATAAACTAAATAAACTAATAATAACTGCCCTCTCTCCCTTTTTTTTATTTCTTCTATTACATGTATCATTCTTCTTATGTTAACTTGTGTCTGTCTCCCCTTTATAAAGCCGGATTGGTCTTCATGAATTAATTTTTGCATCTATTACAGAAAATGGTTCTATATATTTTACAATAACAATGAAGTATTGATAAAGGTATGTCATTTTCACATAGTTCTTTGTTTTTGCCTTCTTTGGGGATCACTGTTATTATAGCTTCATTCCATAATGGGGTGTAGCACTGTTTTTTTAACGTATGGTTGAGAAAGTTTTTGAAGGCTTTCTTTAATGTGATCAGCAGAAGCATTATGAACAAATAAATAGATATGAACAAATGAATCAGACAGCTGAGTGAGATTTTATAGTTTATTTTTCCTGAAATTTCCCTTTCATAATTATAATACTGTGAAAAAACTTTGGTCCCTCATTGTGTGGTCATATCTGACTTCCGTCTGTTACCACAGTAATGGCACAGCCCAAATATAAAGTAGATTTCACACAGGTGTCTCCTCCTTGACTTCCACCTGTTCCTCCCCCACCTGCTCCTCCTGCTTCACTTCCTCCTCCTTCTGCTTGTCCTGCACAAACAACACAAGACATCACTTTAAAACAATAGTTAACATTCAACTCCAAAGTATCAGTCTGTAGGAATGATGTTGAGTGTCAGTGCTGAACAGTAATATTGTTCAGCATTAACTGAGCGTTCACAGGTGTAAAAGCTACCCACTGATGACAAGCCAGGTGACCCCTCTACATTTTAAAGGGGAGGATGCAGTGTCTACCATTTCCAAACTAAATGTCAAATTTTGAATCATCAGACAACAGTGAGTTGAGTAAACCAGCATGTGTTTCCTCTCTGACAGTTTGATCTGCGTCAGTTTTTTATCAATGTAAACAGAAACCTCAGGAGGCGCTTCAGGTGTCAGATCCAGCTGGTGCTTCAGCTCCGTCACCTCCTCTCGAGCCTGAAAAACAGGGGAAATGTGGTCAGTATAACCTTTGACTTCAAGATGTAACCTTGTAGCTGCAGATGTAACTCTGACCTGCTGCAGCTCTGACAGCAGCTGCTCATGCTGCTCCTGCTCCACCTGCAGGCGTGCACACATCTGCTGCACCTGAGACTGAGCCTGATACGCACATACACACACACACATTCATTGTCACATTTCTTTGATGTGGCTCTTATAACCTTGGTGTTTCATGTAGGAATGTGAAACAGCCAGGAGGTGTGCTCCCCCCGCACTTGGATTTGACATTTGATATAAACAAAATGTAGGGCAGGCAGCTCTTAGAGCAGGCCCTGGGCTCTTTGGTGTTACGCTCTCTGCCTGGGGCTTTGGCATTACACAGGTGGAAGGGCAGGGAGCTCTCAGAATAGAGCCTGTCATTTTTTGCTGCTCATCATGCCTTTGCTTTTCTTGCATGTACTTGAATTAGAAGAGAGGTTTGCTCTCCCTGCCTCATGCCTCAAATTAACAAAAGTTGATTTTGTTAATGCTGTATGAGATCCAACCACAAGCTTGAAAAGTACTCTTTACCTGTTAAATGCTGCTCTCCCTGTCATGGCTTTTCCTCTGTATATGTGAAATAGACGGGAGGTGCACTCTACCCACCTCAGATTGACCCTACAGTATATATAGGGTGCTTTTTCACTTATTTGTTTTTCCTTATGAATCAAAACATTTTAAAGATATAAGTCTGACACGTTTCTCACACTGCTATGTTCTATCCTTGGATTTGTGTTTGTGCATGTCTGTGTGTTAGACCTGTGCAAGCTCCTCGCTGCAGCTCTGTGTGATGCTGGCCTCCTCCAGCTGTTTCTCGAGCTGAGCCTCCAACAGCATCAGCTGCTCCTTCAGCTGAAACACAAACACCAGAACACAACCTCATTAACACAAATCTAATGAACCCACACTTCATTCGCACAAAGATGCTCAACAGTTATTTATTTAGCGTTAACAGATTAGAGAGTGAGACCTGCTGAGTGTCCTCTGTCTCTGTCTTTGTCTGAACTTCATCCTGCAGCATCTTCAGCTCATCCATCACCTGCAGACAGAAGCAATTGCACACTGATACATCTGCTCCAAAAGGTAAAAAAGGACTGATAATACTGCTCAGATGTAAACTTTTTTCTGATGTTTGCTCCTCACACTTTGATTCTGCAGCTCTGCTTCAGACAGTTTGCTCTTCCACATATTTTCCTCCTCTTCAGAGCGTTGCTGCAGGGCCTGAAGCTCTGCTTCCTGTCAGAACAAGGAAAAGAATAACCTAAACTGTACAAGTGGGAAAATTTAACAAACCCGATATATAGATCGAGCAAAAGAAGGCAAAATAAGACTGTTAGTTACTGTTTCCTGCAGCAGCTTCGTCTTCTGATCAAGTTCGTCCTGCAGCTTGCTCCTTTTCCTCTCCGCTTCCTCCAATCTCGACCGCAGCTACATGACAAAAGTGATAACTTATATATTGCAAAACTCAACAAAAACACAAAATAATCAAATCCTTTCACTGTTATCTGCTCTAAAATAAGAGACCTTGAACATAACTAACAATAGTTCTGAGTTCTTCATGAAAAATGTGCCACAACAGAAACCAAACCCTGATCAAATTCCAAGTTTACAAACTAAAACAAATTGAAAAACACAATTTGAGTCTGAAAAAAAGTTCCTTATAAATCTTAAAGATCTTATAAATTTTAAAGATCTATAGTGCTTAAAGTTTTTGAACTCAGGAAGATTTCAGGCAAGATCCTGTTAAATTTTTTACCTCTGTCTAAAAGATTTCACAATAACCATTTTATAAATAACAAAAACAAACTTTTTACTTTGACATTTGAAAAAAATTTAGCAAAGAAAAAAGGTCTGATTTGGATTTCTGCTGGTTTCCAAAATAGTTTACTAATGCAGCAGGTAAAGCATAAGTTCCTGAGACTGAGAGGGATTAAAGGATTTTCTATATTTTAAAGTTTTTTTTTCTCTTGAAAATTGAAAAGGTTTAAAGTCTTGATGAGACTTCAGGTGTGTCTGTGAGGAGAAAAAGTAGTTCAGTGTTTTTACCTCTGAGCTCTCCATTTCTCTTTTATTTTCCTGAATGCTCTGAGTGAAAAGTTCCAGCCAGTTATTCTGCAGGGTGGGCACACACACACACACACACACACACACACACACACACACACACACACACACACACACACACACACACACACACACACACACACACACACACACAATGTAAACACATAATTAGAGCTGCACAGAATTAATTAAATAATATTATATTTATCTGCATATAACAGCTAGTAAAGTCAATCATTGGTGGTAGTATTTCAGGCCCATTTTGGGCCTGTTGGACACCACCCCACTTTCTTGGGTAAGCTAACCATTCAGTTCACCAGCAAAGGACTGATATGTGTCCAATTTACACTACTGCACTTTATGATGAATCTTTTTAATGCTATAATTCAGCACTTTACAGTTTTTTGCCTGTTTCTGAAAAAAAAGAGGAACAGGTCAACTCTATAAGAGGAGACACTTGATGTTCTTCACAATTCAAAGAGGGGTTTGTGTTTATCAGTATCAGCCAGATGTTAGCTGAAAGGTTACATTGTGTGTCCCTAATGATAATAAAAAATGATCATTATAATAACATGTTTTTTAACAACCACTAAATATTAGAGGAGTTCAACCTTGCTGCTTTTTTCACAATTACATTTAAAACACTGAGGCCTAACAGGAAACAGCTGACTGACCTGCTCCGTCTCCATGGAGACGCCAGGAAACAGAGTCTGCAGGGACGCCTGGAAGTCCAAATTCAGGGATGTAAACCTGGACTCGGCTTCAGCCTGAAAACACACCACACACACAAAGATAAACTATCATTTTTTATATATATCTGATGTAGAGGTCTGTTAAAAATCAAGAACACTGAGCACCCTCCCCTCCATCTACATCCTCTTTCTGTCTGTGCCATTTACTTTAAGTCATCATGTCCTATTAGTGTCATGAATACTCAAGTCTTTTTTGAGAGTCCCTGAGCTCCATCAACCCGTAGGTTCCTCTGGATCGCTGCTGCAGACGTACAGCTACTCTGGGCCCACCTACTTTCCAGCTGCTGCAACTCCAAGCATCAGTCTCACCCATTTTAACACAGCGACCAAGCTAATGTTAATTTAATAGCATCAGTCACTCTATGTTTCTATCACTGTTATAAAGCTTACAACGGCGATAACTTAATGGTCAGACATGGTCACATATCTGGTTTGTCCTAAAATGTGCCTTCAGATCAGTGTTTCATTTCAACAAACTTTTAGTTTTACTGACCAGCGCTGCTTTAAGCTCCGCCTCTTTCTGCTCGTTCTGATGCTTCGCCTCTGAGAGTGCCACTGCTGAAGCCGCCATTTTCTCCTCCAGCTCCTGAGGGAAAAACAAGAATAAAGAGAGGCAAAGCTTTCAGGATTTTTTTTAAGAAGACATATATCACGAAGAGTTTACCCTGGGTGAATTATTTTTATGAGTTGTTTACTCACGTTGCTGCGGTAACAAGCCTGCTGCAGTTCTTCCTCCAGACGGAGCAGCTGAGAGTCTTCCTCCAGACTGATGCATGAATACATAGGCACACTTGAGCATTAACACACACATCCCACTGAAAACCATTGGCATTTACTGTGCACACTGTCACTGTAGGTAAACGGCATAAACACTGACTATATAAAAACTAGGCTGAAATATTTGATGTGTTTGATCAGTTTTTAAATGTAGTAAGTCTTTTAACATCCTACAATATCATCCATTTTGTTGCACCTTAACCTAAAACAAGAAAAATAACTGAATCTTGTATTAATTCATGCTGTTACAGAGAGACAGTTATGGAGAGGGTGTGTTTACCTTTCAAAGGGTTGATCAGACTCTGTCTCACTCCCTGACCCCTGCAGAGAAGAAGAAACGGCATGCTGTGATGTCACAGTGACATCATTAGGAAACCAAGTAAATTAAAAAAAAAAAAACTTTGGGGACATACAGCCCTAATTCTGTAAGTAAATTGTAATTAATTAGTGTAAACTTGTTAGCATATGTGTGTCAATTGTCCTTTTCGGAGAATAGGGTGATCTACAGGGCAAGAAAAACATGATTTTTAGAAGTAGTTATTGGAGGCTATTATTCGTCTGCATGTTAAATAGCATATATAAGGAAGATCAGAAGAACAGCCAGTTGTCTGCACTACAGTAAGGAAGACCCCATGGACTCAATAGATGACAAAAACAGGTGAGCACAGACTGCATATAAATCAGCTCTTCTTAAAAACAGATGAGGTTCAATGCCCAATTCCTCTAGAATGACTGTGTGACACTAACATGCATAAACATGAAATATTCATTAATTAATGAAACGTACATGACACTAACATTTCAGAGACTGAGTAGAGGGACTCACAGGGCTGTGACTGATTCATAAAAATGTAAAAATAAGGAAAATATGACTTCATAATCAAAAGTTAAAATCTCTGTAATGGCTGTGTGGCCATCTTTGACTTAAACCTGATTTTTTTCAATGTACCTCTTTCTGTGTTTGATCTACTGCTGCTGCTCCCTCTCCACCATCCTTCTCCCTGAGTAAACACATATAAACAAACAAAACAGTATACAAGCAAACATTAAAAACAGTTAACAAACAAAGCTTTCACTTTAAATATTTATTTTGTCTGTACAATAAAAGACGTTTGAGAGCCAAAGTTCCTCTAATGTCCACCATACGCTGCTGCTATAGAGGGAACAAACCTTAGCCTAATTCAATGGGCTCTTTGCAGGGCTCCACTACTTCCTGAACTTAAGACAGCTTCTTTATTTCCTCTCTTACATTATTGGACAAACTGATTAATCCAGGTGTGTCTGAATAGTCACAATGATCAGGCACACCTGGATTAATAGAGCCCGTTGTGTATTTTATTTCTTACCTCTCTGACTGTGATGATGTCAACATCTGTAACTCCTCCTTCAGCTGAGTAAGCTCTGCCTCCAGAGAGACCACCTGCTCACCTCTGCACTGAACACTGACAGGAAGTGACACAGGAGGTCATGTCAAAGTTGGACACACAAACACAGTTATTCTGTATGAAACAAGAGGCAAGAAAGACTCGTACATGGTCCTCAGCTGCTCCACTTCAGATGACTCGTTCACCTGCAGACACACAGGTGAATCAGATTCACATCCATCTTTTGCTAGTCATGTAAGCAAACATTTCTGTTGTTTTGGTCAGCCATGTTTATATCTAACCTCATTCAATCGGAGCACTCTAACACAATCTCCACACAGAGGTTAGATAAGTCTGGTATCATTAAGGTGTTCCTCTTACCTGGACCACAGCCTGGCTCTCCAGTTGGGCCTTGAGCTCCTGCAGCTCAGTCTCTTTGGATGCCAGTGCCCCTTGCAGATCTGAGCAGCAAAAAGCAGATTTGAAAAAAGCAGCATGGTCCTTTTATTTACCACCCTCACCCCCATCCCCCTCACTTCTTGGTTACAGCGTGTTAGCGTGATATTGTAAAATGCTGCTATTCATTAGTAATGTAAATACTGCATTTACACCTGGGGAGGATATTTCGAGGCATTAGTTTGTGGTTTGATGCTCAAGATTTCCTGGCGAGGACCTTGAATTTTATTTAAATAAAATTACTACATTGGCTTTAGGATGCGCAGACTTCAATTTTTAGAACTGAGTGTACAAAGCAGGTTTTGGTGCAGCATTTTTTATTCTAAATTTCCAGTTTTTGAAATTCATAAAATATGTTGCGGTTCAATTGGCTAACTACTGACCGATACACTTACCACTAACAGCAGCAGCTTCCTGCTGTGAAACTTGGAGCTGTGAACACACTTCCTCCAGTCTCTGCTGCAGAGTATGCTCAATATCTGCATGGACCAGCTGCAAAGAGGAGAAGACACTTAGGTTCTGTCTTCTAACAGCAAAGCCACCCTCAGAGCGGATCTTTCTACACCCTCTATGAAAAGAAATCACACTTGTGAGCCTCATGCTGCAGCTTTTGAGCTTTGCGACATTTAGTTCCAACCTGAGCTTTGGCCAGTTCTTGCTCGGCAGCAGCCATCTTGGCCTCCAGGTTCTTGATGAGCTCTTCATCAGCTCTCAGAGCGTTGGAGCGCTCAGTTACCTCTCGACCCAGACGGACGCAGTCCTGCCTGAGACGGGCCAGCTCTGCATTCTGCCTGCAGAACGTTTTGAACATACAACTATTCAGACTACTTCAACACAGCAACAATTAAATCTTCAGTTTGGTTCACCAGAAACAACAAGACAGGTGTGGGTCTGAGAGAGCACAGCTATAAGAATGACCTAATAAGAATGTCAGAGTCTGTTGATGTGCAGCTTTTTCAATTTTTTGTTGTTTCACTGGATGAGACAGAATCTGTTTATCTGAAGGATTATCCTGAAACCAGTTTACTGCAGATAGAGTCATGTCAGGACCCTGACCTGACCAGGTAAGAGTGCCTCTTGACAACACAGGTGTACAGTAACTAGATGCCACTAATCTGAAGGGCTCCGATTAAGTCCCTCTAGATTCATAGAGAATCGGTCCACCCCAAGGGTCAAGAGTTTAAGGCCAAATGTGCTGGTAGGGCTTTAGGCATTCAGCCCAAAATTTGGGGACTTTCCGCTGGGTTGCCTTCCACCTGCCTGGCTGGTCTCCTGGTTCAGGGTCAGGGGTTTAGGGTTAAGTTACCTGCTCTCAGCTTGACTGGTTGCCTGATTCAGGGCGTCTCGGAGGATGGAGTTCTCCTGCTGTAGTCGGGCCAGCTGAGCATTAGGACCATTATCAAGCTGTTCCTGCAGACTCCCGATCTGATTTCAGGTTTAAAGGACGGTTAGCAAATAGGTCTCTGAATAGGTCTCGTAAACCAACACGAACATCACATGATTTAAAGCAGGCATGTCCAAACTATTTCACAAAGGGCTGGTGTGGCTGCAGGTTTTTCTTCCAACCAATCAAGAGCACACAGTCTGACCAATCAGCTGTCTGAAGACTGAGATCAGCTGATGAAATGAATCAAGTTTGGTGTGCTGCTGCTTGGTTGGAAGAAAAACCTGCAGCCACACCGGCCCTTTGTGGAATAGTTTGGACATGCCTGATTTAAAGTCTCAATCAGAAATCTGATGACTTCCCTCGCTGAGTTAGGACTGTACACCTGTACCTTCTGGTTGAGCTGCTGGGTAAGTTTCAGGTGTTCTTGGTCAGTTGTCTCCATTTTGATCCGAAGAGTGTCGACCTCCTGAACCTGGGCACTCAGCTCAGCCTTCGACCTGGCCTCCAAAGATGCCATCTTGGATTTCTCTGCTTCAATTTGCTTTAGAGGGAAGCACAGTCAGCATGAGTTTGACTGTCTTATTAAGAGTTTAATGTATTTTTTGGTGTCAGCAATGCCTCAAACCAACAGAGCAAAAGGACAAACCATTAAAGATCACATTATTGATGACCTTGATGACACCTGGCTCACCTTGCTCATCTCTCTGAGGCGGTTTTTGGCAGTGGCAGCATCCTCCTGCTCAGTGATCAGCTGCTTCTCTTTCTCCTCCAGCTGTTTCTTCAGAGTGGACAGGGGGTCTCCTTTCTGACAGGCCTGAAGTCAAAGACTGAACTGAGTCATCCAGAGAGACATGGGCTATATCAAAGCTGTGAGCTGATAACAAGCTGGGTGGTTCTTTTACTCTTTTGAGTGGAGGATACTGCTGCCAATAAGAATGTCAGATTTTGATTCATCAGCCCATAGGATGGTTTTCCACCTTGAATGAGCTCAGGTCCAGAGAGGTCTCTGGTGTTTCTGGATAAATCTTTTATCCTTTTACATGTTGGGTTGTTCTCCTTAGAACTTCTTACCTGTTTGGTTATTCCTCTATCAACATTTTAAAACAGTTTGCTGCTGAAATGAGTTCATGTGACTGTGTTTACGTACCAGTTGCCAGGATTCTTGGCAGGTCCCGGCCTTCTGGTTTAGGACCTCCAGGAGTTTCTGCAGCTCATCACCATTGAGTGTCATGGCAGACACAGTGGACAGCAGCTCGTTAGATGGGGGCAGCCGGGTGGCATCAACAGAGTCTGCAACTTAAAGAAAAACAGGATTTAAAGCCCAACAAAAACAGGATTCTGAGGTCAACATGAAAGCCAAATACCTCAAACGGTCTCCCTCATCTCTGGGTTTACTCACCTGGCTCAGGTTTGTTCTTGGACTTCTTCTTCTTGCCCAGGGTCTCTTTGGATTCCTCTGTCTTGGCAGCTGGTGGTTCTTTGGTGACTTCAGGGATAGCGTTTACTGGAGGAACTTCTACCAAAGGCACCGTTGCCATCACCAGAACCTCTTTTGCAATGACTTCCACTGCAGCAGCTGGCTCCACCTTGGCTGACTTCTTCTTCTTCTTTTCCTTTTGCTGGGGGGCTGGAGAAGACTCCATAGTGGTAACTACGATGGGTTCTGGTTCTGGCTCCTGTCCTGGTTCTGATTGTGGTTCAGGTACAGGTTCAGATTCAGGTGCAGCTACAGGATCAGATTCTGGTTCGGTACAGGTCACTACCTCGGGTTCCTCACAGACCTCGCTACTTGGTTCAGAGATCTTCCCCTCAGACCGGTCTTCCTTCTTCTTGGCCTTGCTCTTTCTCTCCAGGTTCTTGTCCTTCTTTTTCTTCTCTGACCTCTGGGTCTGAGTTTGAACCAGCAGGCGGCGCTGTTTGGCTAGCGCCTCCTCGTAGGACGTCTCCTTCATTGAGAGAGTGGAGACAAGGGCGATGCCCACTGCTGAGATGATCATGAAGCCTCCAAAGACCATGATGCCAAGTATCTGCGGGTCGGAGACGTCCATGACTGACCAGAGTGTCCCACAGGCAGCTGGAGGACAAATATGGACAAATATACAAATATTTAGTTCATAGCACGAGGACAAGCTAAATCTTTTCCCAACACCAGAGACCAGGTTTACAGATTATGACCTAAATATTTCTGCAGCTACATGTCTGACTGTGCTGATCCACTTAGTGCTCCTCAAAGGACAAACCGTTAAGACACTGATCACAGCACATCTTTCCAGATCATGTGTGACACCTAAAGAGATATATGTATGACCCCAGTGTAGCACTGCAGGCACTGACACACTGACATAAACTGAAAAAGTGCAAATTCCCCAACAAATATCCAGAGGCAGAGGTGGAGTTTAAACCTTCACTGATGACAAAATAATAGAACAAATCAGGCTTTGATGAACTTATTGATCTTTCTTGGTGATTGTTCACCATCCCATCACTGACTTGAGGTCAAAGGTCACACATGGACAGATCAAGAGCTTCACTGACTAGAAAAGATTCAGAGCGTCAGATCACCACTTTTGTTTGTTTCTACCATATATCCAGAAACACCAGAGACCACTCTGGACCTGAACCCATTAAAAATTGACTGAAGGGAAGAGAAAAAACTGTCCTGTGGTCAGATTAAACAAAATTTGACATTCTTTTCAGAAACCATGGTTGCTGTGTAATACCTGTATAGAGGGTCAGTGACAAAATCTGACTGTCTTTGGAAATTGTGGGTGCTATCTCCCCTGCTTTATAAAGCAGAGGAACCACCTGGCTTAAACCAAACCATATTTTGCAGGTAGTACTATAGCATGGTTCTGTAGTAGGAGAGTCCTGTCGACAAACTGGCCTGCCAGCAGCCCTGACTTGTCCCCCACTGAAAATAATAGGAGCATTATGACGTCAAAATAAGACAAAAAAAAGACCCTTAACTTTTGAGCAGCTGAAATTTTTTAGTTTTGTTATCTGTTATGTTGTCCCGCTCTATTTTAGGATAAAAGTAAACTGTAAATTATTTTAAAACTGTTGGATTCTATTTACATCCATATCTCACTCAGCATTTTGACTTGTTGGGAATGGTGGGTGGACTTTAGAGGAGTATGTTGTTACTTACTCAGCCTCTGAGGAACATGTTGTACTTTATACCTCTGTGTTTAAGTAACAGATGTGGATCTTTCACAAGTCAGATTTAAAATGCTCCAAAGTTTTTATAGTGTTCAGAAAAAACCCTTGCCACTAGGCAGCATTACAAAACAATTAAAGCGTTTTAATTGATCTCTGATAAGGATAATTACATAAAACATTAAGGTGCTGCATAACAAGTTGAGTTTTTGGTACTTTTGTCAACAAGTACATTTTGTTCCCAGTACTTTGAAATGCCAAAATCAGTAGTTTAAAATCAATATTGCTCTCTTTTTCGGCCTGTGTAGACATTCAGAATAATAACAGCAGAAATTTTATTTACATAGACAAATATTAGTCATGATGATATATATCCTGAATGTATTTAACAGAGTACACAGAGAGAGGGGCTGCAGGACTGACGTGTCTGAGTCCACAATTAACCCTTTGTACTATGAACACACACACGCACACATACACACACACACACACACAGAGAGAGAGAGAGAGAGAGAGACTTATGCAACTTAGTTTGGTTTCTTAAGGGAACCTCAGATTCAGAACTTTACGTTAAAATTAACTTAAAACCTAAAATAAGAAAACGCGTGATAAACACGGATAGCTTCGTGTGCAGCTTTGTGTTAAACACCGATTATATCTTTATGTCAAACTTTTGCAGTTTTGTGGTCATTCCGATGTATTTCTCATGCAGCTGCAGCAGAGGGTTTGTTCATGTAACATCTGTCTGCTAAAACATTGATGCTTCCATCCGAACATTCATACAAGTTTAAACGAGGGGAAGAAAACAGCAAAGAGACGTTTTTTTGTTGTTGTTGTTGTTGTGGTTTTTTTTGTTTGTTTTTTTGTTTTTACTGTATTTTTTTAATTAAAAAAATCACGGTCCAGGCTTAAAAAATAACATACGCAGATAAATCTTTTCTGAATTAAAATTAAAACACTTTCACAAACTATCTACCATCTCAGCTTCACTCTGTCGTTGGTTCTTCATTTTAAGGTTTTTGTTTCATCAGAAGAGAAATACAAACTTTTAAAGCAGAATCAGAGCTTTTCTCACCTCAGCGAAGTCTGTCAGGCTGCAGAGTCGTGGCACTTTCTGTGAACTGGACCAAAAGGTCCACCCCTCACCAGCATCGCAGTTTCTCATTAGTCAGAACGGACGTCGCTCAGAGACGTAACCGGGGAGGCGGGAAAACAGAAGATTGCCCCGTGGTCTCATGTGAAATGAAGTTTATTTCAAAGTACAGCATACACAAACAAGATTTTTTTTTACAAATCTTGTTCAATTTTCAACATCAGAAAGGAAAACATGCAAATAATAAACAAAATGTGTTAAATCTATTTTGTTTCAATCTCCGAAACCTCATACAATTTTGTTTTGGTTTATGAACTTTTAGTTTTTTTTGTTTGTTTAGTACCTCTATGAGTATATGTATATTTAGTAAAATAATAGGAAATGATAAATAGTTCTTATAAATAAAAATAAAAAAAAAGGGGGGGGGGGGGGGGGGGTGCTATACATGTAATCATCATTGTGGAAAATCCCCCCTCCCTCTCTAACTCTCCTACCTGACTCCATGCTCCCAGCATGGGAGGAGCCCCAGGGTCATTAAACGCAGCAAGCTCTCCTGCTGCAAAGCCTTTCTGAAAACACCGGAGACAGTGGAGCTGACTGACTGAGAAACACCACCAGTATCATCACTGTGGGTTTGCTTTGGTCAAATTGTTATATAACTTATCTTTGATTTACGATCCTGACTTGTATTAAACTTTATAGTTAAAAAAGGATGTTTCTCAGTTTACATGTATTGGAATCATTTTAGTTACTTTGCTCTGATGTTATTGATGGAAATAATGATATTTATCCTGTTTGTATGTAATTGAATTAGTTTAGGTTACTCGTTTCTCACCCTCCAGAGAAACCAGCTGTACGCATATTGATCAAAACTCTGGATTGGAACTCCCTCCCATGTGTTTTTTTGTCCTAGCAGCAGAACTCCACCTCAAATCAGCATACAGTCAAATATCCTTCAACCATGGTTCATCATAAACAAGCTAAACCATCAAAAACAGAGGGGTTATCAGGGGAAAATTTGTTTTGAAAGGTCAAGGGAGTTTGTTGAAATAATCCAAATAAGTCTCGTCGAGTTGGATCTGTAACTCATTGTAGTATAGTAATGACATTTTGCATTTGAATTTACATTAAACTTTGAAGGAGACCCAACACTATAGTTTGTTCTTTTATCTCTCTCGCTTTATTTCGTAATATATGACTTGTCTCGTATAATTTCACACACATTTGCAACTCTACTCAATATGTTTTATTTCATTATTTCAAAGTTAATGACATTTTCCTGAATATATTCTCAGGTACACTTCACAGAGGCCGCATCTTTTCCTCAATGTCAGTAGAGGGCGCTAAAAATACCATCTCTATTTGTTACCTCAGAAAATCAACGACGAAGAATTAGCAGTAGCGTGGTAAGGAAAGCTAAGAAAAGCTAACCAGCTTGTTCGTAGTTGGATAATGTGCAGCTAAATCTAACGGGATGTCTAGAGCCTCCAAAGTGGTTCTGGGACTTTCTGTGATTCTGACTATAAGCACTGTGGCCGGCGTGCACCTTAAACAGACCTGGGACAGAGAGGTGAGCCAAACGGAGCCGGTTTAACTGTACCTGAGCTAATGTTATGCTAACAGCAGTAGAGGGAGTCATTGGGGTCACAGGGGCTTGACGAGCTGTTCTGATGTTTTTTTAAAAAGTATAGTGGTGTGCTGTATCTTATGGAAACGTTAAAGTGGTCAAGTTTTTAAACTGAATTTGATAAATCATTTAACATTGTCTTGAGTGTGATCAGACGCTATTCACAGAAGCTAGCACGAGCTTCCGGCGCAGTTTTCCAAAATAAAAGCGTTGGACATCCGGCCGACTGCTGCTCAGTGTTTCAGATTTTATTTCAGTTGAAGAAACAATTATTCATAGCCCCTGCGTCAAAATTCAATGTGGTTTTTACTTATCAATTTATTTATTTATTTATTTTACCAACAATTAGATTCTTGTAAAACAAAGGTAACAGCCTGCATAAATAAGCTGAATAAAAGTGCAGAGGAGTCTCATCAAGAAGTTTCAACATTTAGGATAAAAATGTGACGCCCCAAATGGGATTACAATCTTTCATGATTGATTATTAATATAAATACTGTGTTATTGTTGAATTCAAATTATTTTGATGTGAACATGATTATCACTAAGACTAATCCTCTGTACCCAGGGTGCACCACTCAATCATGAAACATGCCCTGCTAGATGTTTTATGTTCTGTTGGATAAAACTTTGGAGCTCCTGTGAGAATCTTTGACTGTTTTTTTTCCCCATTTTGATGCCTTATGTGGACAACACAGTCTTTGCTGATTTGTCCTCCATTAGCTTCAGTGGTGACTTTTGTTTGATAAATCTGATTCTGATGTCTTTTTAATGATAAAATGTTTCACTTATAATGAATATTAAATGTGGAAGACATAAAAACAGAGCTGTCTTTTTAGTTGCTCAGCACCTTCCCCCCTCATTCTGGTTTTGGGCATAAGAAATTAAAATATAAACTAAGGTAGAATAAACAATAGCTTTAGTTAGTCATGATAGACTGCAGGGTTTTGTTAATGTGTTAATGCAGATGTGACCCTGGGTGACCTGACACACCAAGACCTGTGACAAAAACTCAGTCAGTCCAGGCTGGTCATACTCATATGTTTCTTGTGGTGCAGCGTCTCCACGAGGGCGTAATCAGAGATCTGGAGCGCCTGGAGAGGAAGAAGGCGAATCTGCGGCTGCTGGAGGAGCAGAGGACTCTGACCAGACAGCTTGAGGAGGAGAGAAGCAGAAAAGCAGAGCTCCGCTCCCAGGACCACTGAGACAGGTCCCTCTCACACAGCGTGTCCAGGTGTGTCCTGTGACTAAGGCTCAGGAATGGACAGCAGCAGTGAGCCTCTGGGAGGAGGCGAGGATGAGGCGGCATGCACATCAGCCTCGGAGGGTCTGGAGGAGGGTGAGGTGGAGGGAGAGACTCTGCTGATCGTTGAGTCTGAGGATCAGGGCTCAGTGGATCTGTCACATGACCAGAGCGGAGACTCTCTGACCAGTGACCTGGGTGAGGAGGTAGACGGAGGCTGGGCCTGCGAGGACATGAGCTTCTACTGCGACCGCTGCCACATGTGGGTCTCTGCAGGTAAGACATTCAATCGCACGGCTCCATTTTACCACCTCAACCCCATCAGTTTGAAAGATGTGTTTGTTGAAGCTAGTTTGTTGTTGGTTTGTGTTTGGTTCAGTGAGGTTAGTTTGTTTTTGGATCCGTGAAGTTGATTTATTTTTTGTTTAGTGATCTTGTTCTTTTGTTTTGTTTTGTTTTTAGATCAGTGAAGTTAATTTGTTTTTGGTTTAGTAAAGGTAGGTCATGTTTGAATGTTCTGATGTTAGTATGTGTTTAGTTTAGTGAAGTCCGTTTTTTCTTTAGTGAAGGAAGCTTCTTTTTTGGTTCTCTGTTTTCAGCTCAGCTCCGTGGAGAGCAGCCCAGCTACCTGAAAGGAGATAATTTCTTTAAATTCATCTGCCGTGACTGCTCCGAGGATGGCAAAGAGAGCTTTGAGAGAATGAGACTCACCTGGCAACAGGTAAAAAAACATTCAGTTGTATTTTTTAAGCACAGTAGTGCCACTGTTACTTATGAAGCCTTTCTTTATGGACAGAAACACTCACCCACCTCACTTATCACAACTCATGTAGACATATTCATCCCCTGTCCTTAGGTGGTGATGTTAGCGATGTACAACCTGTCTCTGGAGGGGACAGGTCGTCAAGGTTACTTCAGGTGGAAAGAGGACATCTGTGCTTTTATTGGCCGGCACTGGAACTTCCTGCTGGGAACAAGGTCACTTTATTTCTTTTGACACTGCGTGACAGTACTTGCGTTCAATTGGACTTGAAGCTCGTTGTGGCTCTTACTGATCTTTTTCTTCTTGTCTAGACCTTTGCTTGTGTTGTTCTTCTTCTTGAATGTACGCTGTTTGGATAAAAGTGTCTGCTCAGTGACATTGCAACGATTCTTGAAATTCCAATTGACTTAAGTGCAGTGAAACTGAGACTCTGGGGGCAGATATTACAGAGATACTGAGTCTTGGTAGAGGCAGAGACTCAGTTTGTGAATAATCTGATGACTTACCTGTCCCTCTATCTCTGTCTCTGTTCCTGTCTCTGTCCCTTACCTTCTGTGCAGGAAGAAGACATCCACCTGGTGGAGCACAGTGGCTGGCTGTCTTTCTGTCGGCAGTCCCACCTTCTTCCGCTCTGGAGCTCAGGAGTTTGGAGAGCCTGGCTGGTGGAAGCTGGTCCAGAACAGACCTCCAACTCTGAGGCCTGAGGTGGACAAATCCACGACCAAGACCAAAGGTAAAGTTACAGCATTATGTGGTATGATGGGAAGTGACATGATACAGTCCAACAGGACATAATATTATCAAGTGCGCCATGATCTGAGGGGTCCCTGCCGGTGTCTGACTCAGTGCTGATGTTACCCTCCTGTCTCTATAGTCTCTAAGCCATCAGTGGACCCCATCATCACAGTGGAGGGTCTGAGGAAACGTGGCGCCAGAAACCCTGTGGAGAGCGCCATACAGCTGAAGGAGAAACGCTCTCGTACACAGGAAGCCAAGGACATCCGCCGAGCCCAGAAGGAGGCAGTGGGCGGGTACACTGACCGCAGCACCTCCTCCACTCCTGTGAAACTAGGGGGAGGGCGCGGGGGAGGCGCTGGACGTCGACCCGACCTGGTCCTTGAGAAAGGAGAGGTCATCGACTTCTCCTCCCTCAGTTCGTCAGACCGCACCCCCCTCACCAGCCCGTCTCCATCACCCTCACCTGACTTCTCTGCTCCAGGGACGCCAGCCTCTCACTCAGCCACACCCAGCCTGCTGTCAGAGGCCGACCTTATCCCAGACCCCATGCCGCCGCAGGCTCTTTTCCATGGTGAGAGAGCATCCAGAGGATTTTTAACAAACTGGACTAAGGTTTTTCCCTTTTCAATCTTTAAGAGCTTAATAACCTGTTTCTGTTTCTAACGCTAGACGACGAGGAGATGGAGACCGAAGGGATGATCGACCCTGGGATGGAGTACCTCCCTCCTCCCAGTGCCAGCCTTGCTGCCCGGAAGAAGTTTCGCCCAGCCCCACCTCACATTAAATGTGAAGCAGAGAGTGAGGAGGATGAGGGCCATGAACGAGAGGAGGACTTTGGGGAGCCGGCTGGACAAGGTGAGGCTCCGCCCCTCTCTGCTGGAGGGTGTGTCGGGGCTGGAGGACCCGAGAGAAGAAGAATAAATCACCCTGAGAAAGCAGACAGAGGGGGCGGAACCAGTCAAACGCCTCGCTTCAGCCTGCTCAGTCTGTATGAGGAGAGAATGCTGCTGCGGAGGCTGGACGCCTGCCCACTTGCCCTCGCTGTAACCCCTCAGGCCAAACGCCTCCACAGGAAGCTGCTGGTCCGTCAGGCAAAGAGACAAAGAGGGCTCCCCCTGCTGGACATTGACCGCGCTGTCAGCGCCACCCTCACCCTGGTGGGAGGAATCTATGGCGCTCAAGGGGGGGGGGCACTGGTGAGAGGAGGCATTGTGGGAAAATACTGCACCAATAGCCAGGAGCTGCGGATTCTGGATCGCTTTCAGGTAACTTCAACCCTGAGACAGATTTACCTCCAAAATTTACACTTATGTTTTAAAATAATTCTGACCACCAGAGAAATTATTTTCCTCTGCAGACCAACTTTGGCAGCAGACGAGGCATCTCTGTGTCTTCTGTGTCTTTCTGGCATCGTCTGATGGGAGCAGATGGAAGTTTGGACCAGAGCATCAAGAGCCCGTACACATCACGCATCCTCAAACCGTACATCAGGTAAAGATGTTACCAAACCCTGACACCTGAGAATAAAGACCCAAAACATATGCAGATACAAATGTATTATTTCCACTGAAATAAAGCTGTAAATGTACCAGATAAAAGTTGTTTTATATCTTGAAGTTTAACACTCAAATCTCAAAAATTTCCAACTATGATTTAGTGAAATCTTGAATGAATGCCTTTCTTGTTCATTTATGACTGTTACATTTCTAAGTCATTTTTTTTAAATTAACAAGTCAAGTCTTGTAATTTTACGACTTTATTCAAGCAGATAAATGTGTATTAATTTACAGGTTGAATTTTTAGAGCTCTAAGGCCAACCATAACTTGAAATCATGACTCCCTTTTCTCATAAATGTATAAAATGGATTAGTTACATGGTAAGTGTTTGACTTTGATCTTAGAGTCTCAAACTTCTCTTAGATAAACTCTGTTGTGATGATTGTGGTCGTTATTGTGTCAGACAGTGTGTTTGTGTTTTTCTTCAGGAGGGACTATGAGAGTCGTCCGGTGAAGATGAGGTTGTTGTCAGAGATCAGGGCACATTGTCACAGGAATGATCCTGATTGGCTCCCTGAACCCTCTGCCCCCATTGATTATTGCTATGTCCGGCCGAACCACATCCCCTCTGTCAACACCATGTGTCATGACAGCTTCTGGCCGGGTAAGACTGATTCCTTTCCTGACTCTAGACCCCTTGAGTCAGTCTCTGCCAACAGCCCACCTCTGCTCCTGTCTCTGCTGACTGTTTCTGTCTCATCAGGGGTGGATCTGTCTGAGTGTCTGCAGTACCCGGACTTCAGTGTGGTTGCTCTCTACAAGAAGGTGGTGATTGGGTTTGGGTTCATGTTGCCTGATGTGAAATACAATGAGGCCTACATTACCTTCCTCCTGGTCCACCCCGAGTGGAGGAGGGCCGGGATCGGGACCTTCATGATCTACCACCTGATCCAGGTGAGGCCTAGAGGACAGAGAGGATGTACAGCTGAGGTTACAGTGGTGTTCTCATTTTGCTGCAGATAAAAGTCTTGTTGCTGTAACTTTTATTCCCCTAACTGATCCTAGTGGTGTTTTCTATATGTATGTATCATCACATACTGTTCACCATGGACCTCTTATATACCTTACGGTTTCCGACTCATCTCTACTCTCTGTGTGGTCAAGTTGGCTGGTCTGCTTTGTGTACACATCGACTGAATCACTTCATGTCCTTATCGACACTTATCGATGAAGGATTCAAACAGTGCACACATTTTTCAGTGTAAACTTATGACTCTATTGCTGATGCTGTTTCAGACATGTATGGGCAAAGACGTGACGCTGCATGTGTCGGCTAGTAACCCTGCCATGCTGCTCTATCAGAAGTTTGGCTTCAAAGCAGAAGAGTACATCCTGGACTTCTACGATAAATACTACCCGGTGGACAGCACTGAGTGCAGACACGCCTTCTTCCTCCGACTCAGACGCTGAGACCCGCAGAGTCCAAAAGTCTTCCTACAGGACCCACAGAGTTTATATCCAGCTGAACATCACCCAGCCTGCAGCACAGTGCCCGGTCTGCAGGCACCAGGACAGGGACTCAACTCTGAGTCTGAAGGAAACCAGGATGCTGACAAAGTCTCATGGATTGTTATCTGTCACCACAGTGAGACTGTACAGAACCAGAACATTAAACTGATTTATGGGTAAATTTAGCAGCTTTTCATCTCTGTCTCATGCTCGTACTTTTTGTTCATTCAGTCAGTGTTTTTTTCACCATCTGTGTCTGAATGTTTCTGAGATATTAAAACCAATATATATTTCACTACAGAAGCTCAGGAAATCTTTTTGGGCACCGACTTTTAATGTCTGTTGTTAGCTTTTAGGTCATGATTCAAACTAGCCATCTGACATGACAAATGCGAAAATGTTTTGCTAGCATTAATGCAAGTCACGAAACAAATTAAGTTTACGTGTTACCTAACAAAGTCTAGCATGACCACAAAAAGTCCCACAAAAAATCGAATACCCTGCTACTGAAGTTGACCTAATTTTTCAGGGAATTTTTTTTTAATTTAGAAAATACTTTTTGCCAAATTTTTATCAAACAGTTCATACATTTTTTTCATTATTACCTAATCCCCAAAACAAAAACAAACACAAATTCCAACTTAATCACAGCACAGTCCTGCATAAACAAGTTGAGTATCAGAATGTTGAAGCCTTACAAATACATACATTACAGGCCAAAAGTTTGGAAGCAAGGCCATTACAGGCCGAACAGTTGGGAGTAACTTCAAGTTTTTGTTCACAATTTATTTTATTTTAAATCCAGCATGAGTTTTATGTATTTTGGGATGTATTTACTCCATGATCAGATGTTGCTTTCATGGAAATGCACCATTTTACTCCATTTAACTTTAGATATACATTGATGTTAACAGACCATTGCTAAATGTGTGTCAGCAAAAGATAGGGGCTTAGTTTTAGGGTTGAAAACATTTGCAAGAGTCACAACTTCAGTGGAAAAGCAAAAAAAAACACATCACAGTTGGATTATTCACTTCAACTTTTTGGCTTTTGAGAATCTGCATACAAAAATCCTGATAAATTTCAAACGCATCAAACCACTGCAGAAATCGCTAGAAAGAAGCAACTGAGTAAAGAAACAAAAGTACAGATTTGTACATTGAGGAAAGAAGGGTACACAGAAAGAGACACTGCAAAACGCCTAATGGTGTTTAACAAAGGGGTAAACATAGCATTGTCACCAGTAAGAGAGATCGGCGAAAGACAGCACTTAAATAAGGGAGGAAATCAACATGACAAGGTCGAAACCCATATCTCTGACAACGGTGAAAAGACGTTTGAGAAAGGCTGGTCTTAAGGGTTGTGTATCTGCAAAAAAACACTACTTCGTCCACAGAATAAGAAAAAGAGATATGAGTGGGCAAAAGCTCACAAAAATTGGACTTATGATGACTAGAAACAAGTTTGCGCTGTTGGGTTCAAAACGCAGAGTCTATGTCCGCAGACAAACTGGTGAACGTCTGAAAGCACCATGTGTTGCACCCACAATTCAGCATGGAGGTGGTAGTTCCATGGTATGGGGATGTTTTGCAGGTGATGGAGTAGGAGATTTGTTTGACGTAAAGGGTATCATCAAGAAGAAACAGTACCACCCCATCCTCCAGCACCATGCTGTTCCATCTGGACTCAGACTTGTGGCTCATAAGTTTCTTTTGCAGCAAGACAATGACCCTAAGCACTCTGCCAAGCTCTGTCAGGGTTACCTAGACAAAAAAGAAGAGGAAGGTGTTCTCCAAAAGATGGTTTGGCCCCCTCAGTCTCCTGACCTTTCTCCAATTGAGCTTGTGCGGGATGAATTGAACCGATTGGTCAGAAAGGCGCGTTCCACGAATCAGCAGTCTCTTTTTAATGAACTGAAGAAAGCTTGGAATGCAGTCCCTGGAACATACCTTAAAAAACTTGTGGAATGAATGCCTTGTATATGCCAAGCTGTTGTTAAAGCCAGAGGAGGTTACTTTAAAGAAAGCAAAGTCTAAGCAACAATAACTCAAATACCTAATAATTATAGTCAAAATGTCTTCTGATAAGTTACTCTTTACACAATAGTCATGTTTATTTTGTTGCAAAGTAGATTTATGAAACTATGTTCTTTTTTTGTACAAATCTGATCTTGCTTCCAAACTTTTGGCCTGTAGTGTATAAAAGTGTTACTTGAAGAAATCAAAAGAAATGTGTTTGAGGTAGATCACATTTTTGTCTTAATTGCTTAAATGACATCATATTATCCCCTTCAAAGAGATCTTTTTTCAAGGTTTTGTTGTATCCTTTGGGTTTCAAATACAAACGCAGAATGAAAAACCTGAAGTTCAACTTATTTCTGAGTTTAATTTCTATCCTCTCAACGATTGCTGAAGCAGAGAAGCAGCAGGATAGTCACAAAGACATGAAAACAGACTCAAGTCAGATAACAGTGAATGCACATTTTATTTTAAGGGCATAGTAAAACAGAATTTATCAAGTGATCTTTACCAGTCAGCAGCTTTTTTAGCACAAAGTTAAAATGATGAAGGGTGCTCTGAAACACTGAGGTGTTTCAGGGAAGTTTCAATATTATCAGAGTAATCACAGGTGTCTGATCACCCCGTCAGAGTGAAGGTACAGTTAGCTGTTTCACTGGTATTTCAAGATTCACTTACTCACATGCTCTTCCACTCAAATAAGCTATATAGTTAATAATCCCCTAACTTAATTATGGATGCTGCTGATAACTGTGCCTGGAGGTATCAGTACCAACAGACCAGAGTTTATCAGGCACACAGTCTACTACAGTAATGTGTCCATTATGCACACAGTCTAATACAGTAAAGTGTTCATTATGCACATAGTCTGTCACAGACATGTGTCTTTTATGCACACAGTCTAATACAGTCAAGTGGCCATTACCCACACAATAGACTATGCTTTTGCGTCTGTTATTCATGCAGTCTAATACAGCTGTGATCCAGCAAACATAACCACATGAATATGAATGGCTTACATTGCTTTGATTTAGGTACAAGGTGGGCCAAGCTACTTCTAGCCCTGCCTGATGGTGTCAGTGTCTTTGGGTTAATCACTGATAAACATTATCTGAGTCACATAGCATACACAAATGTAACTTTTCTCATGATTTGTGAGGACTCCTCTAATGTTATTAATAAATTTAACTTTAATCAGATCATCAATATACTGTATAATCTACAGCATCCTGTTTGTTTTCTGTGTGTTCAGGAGAGAGGTCACGTGAGCTGGTCTACTGAAAAAAGATAAAAATCCACTATGTAAATAGTAACACTCCTGTTTGTGGTTCACCTGGTTCTGTAAGGGAATGACAGGAGACACTGATTAGTTGATTCACGTTACACCAAAAACACCTTTATGCTATCACATTATTTAGACTCCAACAATAAATTAATTTACGTAGCAGTAAATATTAAATTCCCCCTTCACCCTCAACAACAGTAGACTCCAGTCATCCTGAGGTGTTGAAATATAAAACAACAATATTGATTTAAAACAGCTCAATCAGTGAAAGCAAGGAGGTCCAGTTTGTGCTGTCAAAACATGTCCAGGTTCAATTTGGGCTTTCCCAGTTTACCCAGCAGTTCCAGTCCAGTCTGAGCAGCCAGCAGAGACACCATCTCATTACAGCCAGAGTTCACTGCCATATCATATGCTGTCTGACCACTGCCATTCCTGCACATTGAGCTCGCCTTACAGCTAAAAAGAGAGGAATGGATAAGGAGGTCATGTGCTTTAACTTTTGTTCTATTTGACTCTATATATGACTATAACCACTCATTCATTTCAATGGGCTGAAAAAAATGTCAAAAATTTGAGATACTATGACTAATATCAGCAAGAAAAGACAAAACTGCAGAGATGACCTAAATGGGTCAAAGGTTAGTCTGAAAGTTGAAGTTTCTGGTCCAAAAGATGTAAAATGGGTGGAATGAAAAAGAAAATTAAGGTGTGTTTCATTGTACGGGTCTGTCATACCTGAGCAGGACTTTGGCACAGTGCAAACCATCAGAGCCTCGAGCTGCAGCTTCATGCAGCGCTGTGTTCTTTAACCTGAGGAGGAAAATAAGTTATTGGCTGTGGAGCTCGCACATATGTCTTTTTCTTATTCTCAGGCGTGATGATGTTAGTCTCTTACGGTCCAGTCTGCTGGTCCACATTCGCTCCTCTCCGCACTAAAACAGGAAGTACATCATGGTGGCCATTCACCACAGCAACAGTCAGAGCATGCTGACCATCACTGTTGCAGCAGGAAGGGTCTACCCCCTGGTGGTCAGTGAGAGCACAAAAAGACCAATCAGAGCTCACCATAAGTCAAGTCATCAGAAGGGGCTGCTGATTGGCTGCAGAGACTCGTACCTGATCCAGGAGCTTTTGGATGACACTGATCTGACCCCGACCTGGACCAAGCTCCTTCAACAGCTTCTCAGCCTTTACCTGGAGAGCCAATCAGAGAGAAGCTTTAATAACACCAGAGCCAATCAGAGAAGAGCTTTCATTTTAGCTTAAACATGGAGTCAGACAGCAGCAGAGAACAGATGCACACAGATGAGTTCAGATCAGAGAGTTTCCACCTATAGTTTTCTCACCAGAGGTTTGGGTGTCAGCCCCTGTTTGGACAGTTTCACCACACCTGTGGGGAATGTACATTAACACCATTTACTCAGGAGCTCTGATCTTTTTTTCTTGTGTCACAGATTTTCTGTTCTTACTGTAGCAGCTGCTGTCTGCTGATTGCTCTGTAACACTGCTCAGAGTCTCAATCCGACCCACAGGAACAGCATTGGTACCTGCTGGATCCACCTGAGAACACACACACCTTTACGTCAAACACATACTCAAACGTTAACCTCTCAGACTTCCTTTGAAATCTTTTGGTACACACCTGTTTCTCTGATTCTTGCCCAGTGGACACAAAGCTGATAGTCAGACTGACCTCATATCGATCCTCCTGAACCACAGCAGAGACCATCTGAAGAGACAGACAGGTCACATGGAAAACACATCATGGCCTGCACCTGCTCAGGTAGCTACTCTGGGACCACCTTCAGTCAGTTATCACGCAGGTCTTACAGTCTTGTATCAGATAGCATCTATGCTCTACAGGTGAGATAAAGGTAGAGTACAGCTTATGGGTACAGGTTAAGAAAAAAGAAACTTAAAAGAAAGTGACAGTGAGGCACTGGTAAGGTACTGATGAGAACAAGATAAGTTGCCATAAAGGTACTGGTCTTATAAGGGTAGGCAAGGCATAAGGTACAGGGACTCAAATAAGATACAGGTAAGGAACAGGGGAGTTGCAAGTGAGTAACTAGTGAAGTACAGGTATGGTACGAGAAAAATTGCAGCTGAGGTACCGATGAGGTGGGGTATAAACTGTTACACATGTTATATATATATATATATATATATATATATATACACTCACCGGCCACTTTATCAGGTACACCATGCTAGTAACGGGTTGGACCCCCTTTTGCCTTCAGAACTGCCTCAATTCTTTGTGGCATAGATTCAACAAGGTGCTGGAAGCATTCCTCAGAGAGCTTGGTCCATATTGACATGATGGCATCACACAGTTGCCGCAGATTTGTCGGCTGCACATCCATGATGCGAATCTCCCGTTCCACCACATCCCAAAGATGCTCTATTGGATTGAGACGTGGTGACTGTGGAGGCCATTTGAGTACAGTGAACTCATTGTCATGTTCAAGAAACCAGTCTGAGATGATTCCAGCTTTATGACATGGCGCATTATCCTGCTGAAAGTAGCCATCAGAAGTTGGGTACATTGTGGTCATAAAGGGATGGACATGGTCAGCAACAATACTCAGGTAGGCTGTGGCGTTGCAACGATGCTCAATTGGTACCAAGGGGCCCAAAGAGTGCCAAGAAAATATTCCCCACACCATGACACCACCACCACCAGCCTGAACCGTTGATACAAGGCAGGATGGATCCATGCTTTCATGTTGTTGACGCCAAATTCTGACCCTACCATCTGAATGTCGCAGCAGAAATCGAGACTCATCAGACCAGGCAACGTTTTTCCAATCTTCTATTGTCCAATTTCGATGAGCTTGTGCAAATTGTAGCCTCAGTTTCCTGTTCTTAGCTGAAAGGAGTGGCACCCGGCGTGGTCTTCTGCTGCTGTAGCCCATCTGCCTCAAAGTTCGACGTACTGTGCGTTCAGAGATGCTCTTCTGCCTACCTTGGTTGTAACGGGTGGTTATTTGAGTCACTGTTGCCTTTCTATCAGCTCGAACCAGTCTGGCCATTCTCCTCTGACCTCTGGCATCAACAAGGCATTTCCGCCCACAGAACTGCCGCTCACTGGATATTTTTTCTTTTTCGGACCATTCTCTGTAAACCCTAGAGATGGTTGTGCGTGAAAATCCCAGTAGATCAGCAGTTTCTGAAATACTCAGACCAGCCCTTCTGGCACCAACAACCATGCCACGTTCAAAGTCACTCAAATCACCTTTCTTCCCCATACTGATGCTCGGTTTGAACTGCAGGAGATTGTCTTGACCATGTCTACATGCCTAAATGCACTAAGTTGCCACCATGTGATTGGCTGATTAGAAATTAAGTGTTAACGAGCAGTTGGACAGGTGTACCTAATCAAGTGGCCGGTGAGTGTATGTGTGTGTGTGTATTTCTGTGCTGAATTCATACTTAGTTTGGTCATGTACACTACAGGCCATAAGTTTGGAAGCAAGGCCATTGCAGGCTTAACAGTTGGGAGTAACTTCAAGTTTTTGTTCACAATGGCTTTTTTTTAAATCCAGCATGAGTTTTATGTATTTTGGGATGTATTTACTCCATGATCAGATGTTGCTTTCATGGAAATGCACCATTTTACTCCATTTACCTTTAGATATACATTGATGTTAACAGACCATTGCTAAATATATGTCAGCAAAAGATAATAAGGGCTTAGTTTTAGGGTTGAAAACATTTGCAAGAGTCACAACTTCAGTGCAAAAGCAAAAAAACACATCACAGTTGGATTATTCACTTCAACTTTGGCTTTTGGCTTTTGAGAGTCTGCATACAAAAATCCTGATAAATTTCAACTGCATCAAACTACTGCAGAAATCGCTAGAAAGAAGCAACTGAGTAAAGAAACAAAAATACAGATTCGTACATTGAGGAAAGAAGGATATACAGAAAGAGAAATTGCAAAACGCCTAAAGGTGTTTAACAAAGGAGTCCACTACACTCTGAAGAGACTAGAGGAACCTGGAAGTTATGATGATAGAAAAAGACCTGGACGAAAGAAAGTTACTACAAAAGCAGAGGATAAACATAGCATTGTCACCAGTAAGAGAGATCGGCAAAAGACAGCACCAAAAATAAGGGAGGAAATCAACATGACAAGGTCGAAATCCATATCTCTGACAACGGTGAAATGACGTTTGATAAAAGCTGGTCTGAAGGGTTGTGTATCTGCAAAAAAAACACTACTTCATCCACAGAATAAGAAAAAGAGATATGAGTGGGCAAAAGCTCACAAAAATTGGACTTAAGATGATTAGAAACAAGTTTGCACTGTTTGGTTCAAAACGCAGAGTCTATGTCCGCAGACAAACTGGTGAACGTCTGAAAGCACCATGTGTTGCACCCACAATTAAGCATGGAGGTGGTAGTTCCATGGTATGGGGATGTTTTGCAGGTGATGGAGTAGGAGATTTGTTTGAAGTAAAGGGTATCATGAAGAAGGAACAGTATCACTCCATCCTCCAGCACCATGCTGCTCCATCTGGACTCAGACTTGTGGCTCATAAGTTTCTTTTGCAGCAAGACAATGACCCTAAGCACTCTGCCAAGCTCTGTCAGGGTTACCTAGACAAAAAAAGAAGGGGGAGGTGTTCTTCAAAAGATGGTTTGGCCCCTTCAGTCTCCTGACCTTTCTCCAATGGAGCTTGTGCGGGATGAATTGGATCGATCAGTCAGAAAAGCACGTCCCACGAATCAGCAGTCTCTTTTTAATGAACTGAAGAAAGCTTGGAATGCAGTCCCTGGAACATACCTTAAAAAACTTGTGGAACGAATGCCTTGTATATGCCAAGCTGTTGTTAAAGCCAGAGGAGGTTACTTTAAAGAAAGCAAAAGTCTAAGCAACAATAACTCAAATACCTATAATTATAGTCAAAGTGTCTTCTTATAAGTTACTCTTTACACAATAGTCATGTTTATCGTGTTGCAAATTATATTAATAAAACTATGTTCTTTTTTTGTACAAATCTGATCTTGCTTCCAAACTTTTGGCCTGTAGTGATGTATAGATGAAGCTTGAAGTTAGAGGTGCAGATGAGACATGGACAAATTACAGGTGAGGTAAAGTCAAGGATCAGGTGAGTTGTTGTGTACCCGGCCCAGGCGTGGTTCTCCCAGCAGAGCCCTGAAAGAGGCATTGTTCTGGGCATAGCTCCTAAGGTGAGCACACACATGATCTAGCTGCTTCCTCCAGAAACCTGATGACACATTGAGACCATATGAAGCAGTGAAGCTGTTGTCTCAGCAGCAGTACCCGTATTACTGTTGTAGCAGGTGAATTTTATACAGTGTTCGTCGTGTGTTACCTCTGCCTGGACTGATGGCGGTCAGCAACGGCTGGCAGTCTCTGATGATGTTCTGTCTGCTAAGCTGTAGTGTTCTTTGTTGCTCCTTCCTCTGCAGTTTAGTGGCTGATGGGTAATAGAGTCCCACAGTCTGTGTGCACTGGTCTTTAGGGGGCGTGGCTGGCTTCTTGTTTTGGATGGAGTCAGAGGAGGGTGTGGCCTGCCAGGTGGCATTATGGGTATTTGGTTTTGAAGCCTTTTGGAATAGTAAGAGCGGAACTGGGCTCATGTGTGATGTGCTGTGTTTTGAACTGTATGAACATGATGTTAGTGATGCAGCTTACCTGTTTGGAGGCCACACCCCCATTATGTTGCGTGGTACTGCTGCAGGATGTGGGTGGGACTGGTGCTTCCAGGAAGACGCCACAGGCTGCACAGTAGATGGCGTATGGGTGTCCACTGGCTCCACATCGCCAACAAGTCACACACCTGACTGCATGACCAGGCTACAAATTTTTTTTACAAGTTTTTTTTCTTTGCATTAGCTTAGCATGTAGGAACCATAGACTGTATATACTATGGACAACTTGGTTCCGCCTACCGCCTGTATACGGATTTGAAGCCAAAAAGCTTGCGGTTTTTCGGTGATTTTTCTTCATTTCCTGAAACCAGCGCTGCGCAGCAGCGTTGTGCGCATTCGGTGGGGGAGTCGCTGCGAGTCGCTGTGATGACGCTCGGCTCAAACAGCGTATCCCTGAACGCCAATAGGCTGTATCAGGTGTGAATCACAGAAAATATGAACCCCCTAATAACTTTTAAAAACGGAGCTTCACAGAAAAAAGAGGATATGAGCACAAACCAGTCTTACTGTAACTACATGTCAACATCACAAGCAGGGGGGAGAAAAATGCATGTTTTGTGTAATTAATTTCTAAAGTTTGTCCACAGCTCCATAAGCTTTGCTGGAGGAGGCGGGATTTATGACCTATACTGCAGCCCATCAACAGAGGTTGCTGTTCTCAGAGTGGCTTCACCCAGCAAGGAGGCAGACTCTGTCCATTCTATATACAGTCTAAGGTAGGAACAGTTTGCCTAGCTGCACCAACAATACAAATAAGGTAGAAACCATCCAACCATCATCAATGAGATCCACTGATGCTAACTTAAGTTGGCAGGAAACCTTTACATTTGAATTGATTAAACACCAATGACACACCCTGAACACTAATGCTAACATCAAATTATCAACAGTGAGTTCAGGTGTTTGAGTGTGTCCTCACCTTTGACCCGCACCAGTCGCAGTATCTGGCATCACTGTGGTTTAAACGTTTACACCTTGAGCAAGACAACAACCTGCTGTCTGCTGAGCAAACAGAGGGAGTGCTGTTTTCCACACGTGGCACCTACAAAGCCACAAAAACACACACATGAACACACAGGAGATGAGCGGTTAAATATTTGCAGATGAATAAAAACCTGATAAACATTTCTGATGAGAGTTTCTAACTGAGAGAAAAGCAATGATGGTCTTGTGGCCAACTGTCAGTCAGCAGTCTGAACTGTGACTGTGGTTGTGTGGACTGACCCAGAGTGAGAGAATAAAGGCTCAGGAAACCTCTGTAGGTGTTAAGAGTTAATCAGTTTGTTAGAGCTCTTTAAGGACCGAAAGAACTGTCAAGAAACTGGACTTTTCTGCAATGTTCTGATTTTTGAGAGAGTGGATTTTGGATTTTTGTGAGCTGTATGCCATAATCATCAATATTTTTCAAAGAGGAATATTTTACTTTGTGTCTAACAAATCTAGAAAATATGAATTAAATCATAGGAATAAAAAGTTTTTTTCTAATTTTTTGAGCTGCACCTGTAGTTACCTTGCGACACTCCTTACACATCATCTGTCAAGTATCCCAAGTGTACAGTATGGTATGAGCATAGTGTGCTTGTGTTACCTGCTGCAGACAGCTCTCACAGGTCAGACAGTGGGAGATGTGGGCTGGATTTCCACTACCACAACAAACACACAAAATGTGATCCTACAGACACACAAACGCACAATACAGTTACTTTTAACAGACACATCAGAGAAACACATCAGATAAGGTGATCTTCTATTATCTATCTATCTATTTTTTTTTTTTTGGTCCTAATTTAGATGGTAAACATTTTAAGTTTGTCTCAGTGAGTCCTTGGTTTGACTGATGTGCCCCCGATGCACTCATGTTTATCGTATGTGAAACATTGATTTATTAGACACTTTATTTTATTTATCTTACTTTATTATTTATATATTTTCCTCTGACCTCACTTTTTGTTTATTTTTCTGTCATGTGGCAGAATTTAATAAGTAGGATGTTTTCTTTTTGGGGGAAAATATTAAGGCAAACCCACTAACACCCTGTTTACCTTAGGTCAAGGCTAATGTTGACTTTCTATAATCCCAAATCGTTCTTTAAAAGGTAGTGTATGTTCTATATATTGTTCATTTGGATGACCTCTTGAATGAGAGCAGGTTATGGAAGCAGAAAGTGTTATCCTGTTGGGATAACAGGATAACACTTTCTGTACTGTGTTAGTACAGAAAGTGTAATGTGTGTGTGTGTGTGTGTGTGTGTGTGTGTGTGTGTGTGTGCGCTACCTGCAGGGAGTGGCTGGACTGTGGCTGAAGGAGCTGCTGGATGGAGCCGTCACAGATTACACAGGACTGAGTGTTCACAGGAACCAGAGTGTTACAAAACACACAGCATACCTTCTGACAACAAAACACACACACACACACACACACACACACACACACACACACATACACACACACACACACACACACACACACATTTACTCAGAAGTGAACTGGTTTCATATAACTGAGGACAGATTAATATATTCCCCTTTACTCTGTCTCTGTACTCTGTTCACCAAACTTCTGCCCAAGTAAAAAAAAAAAATCCCCAGGAATAATAGGTATCTGGACACTTGGGGCTCTATTTTCGTGCCTCGCCGGAGACGTGCCGCAGGCGCGGTGTAAGTCAGGTCCGCCGCGCCGACAAGGCGTTCCCAAGCACAATTTGGTATTTTGGTGAGCGGCGCAGCCCGGCGTAAGCATCCCCCCTCCCTAACTCAGCCCCTCCCAGCGGCGTAAGTCATAGTGAGGGAGGAGACAGGGCGTAGAGTGGGTTTCACACAGCCGAGACCTGTTTTCACCAATTACATAAGCCCCTCTCCTTGCCTTTAAATCCGCCACCGGCGAGGCGTATTACTATTTTCGGGAAGTAGTCAAAGAGATCAAGAGATGTCTGAGGACAGTAATGCCACACGATGGCAACAGAAGGCAGCTCCTCAACAAGTGTCACTGTAAGCGCTGCATTGGGCGTCCTTCACACTCTCTGATATGAGCACAGACGGATTTGGTGTGTGTAATGTTGGACCCACTGGTAAGACAAACACCCTTTTCCACAAATAAAGACACTCACATAAAGTTGCATACATTTAAACTTCACATGACAAAGGTGGGTTGAGCGCACAGATCACAACATAAACTCCAAAAATGGCATTAAATCGGAAACACCTGTGCATAATGGACACATCGCGCTCTGTGGCCTGGCTCTTTCTTTCATAGATGTTGGCATATAAAATAAATTTGATTCACAAAACTGAATATTATAATATTCGTATGTGGGCTTAAAGTAAATAACTCATCTTATCACTGAAACAAATCTGTTCAGCCGCTGCAGCTGCTGCTGCAGGACGGAGAGAGGACACGGAGACATGTCCAGGTCGAGCTGCGCGATAAATAAGAGGAAGAAAGAAAAGGAGGGAGACAAATTGAATATCTTGTTGACTTCATCATGTGTGTCTATTTACTAGATATTTCATTTAATTTAATGTGGTTTCAGCTGTGTTGATTCGGTCAGGTTGTGTGTCCAAACGCGTGCCAAACGCGCTCATCAGATCAGATATCTAGAGCAGAATATATCTATATAGATCTAAATGTATATGCTGACTCAGATTAATAGTTGTTGATGATTATTTATTGCACTGAAATGTGCCTGACACTGTGGAAACCTGCCGGTGAGGCATCGGTGACGTATGCCGATACACAGCCGGTCTACCAAAATACCTCTAGACCAGCTGCGCTCCGCCTGCGCTGAAAGCTGACCAGGTTTGAATCGGCGAGCTTTCAGCGCACTTTACACGCCACTGGCGAGCACAAAAATGTCACTGCGCCCGCTGATTCTGTCGACACCTCCCCCTGCCACACCACCACACCCAGCTTGGCGGATCTCGGATCACCTCCGTGCGCATCAGTCCACGAAAATACCAAACTGGCTGTACGCCGGGCTCCGCCAGATGAAAATACAACTGCGCGGGGTCCGCCACCCTCCGTCGCCTCACCGGCGAGGCACGAAAATAGAGCCCTCGGAGTGTATGACTGTGCTCAGGTGTATGTACAGTACCTGCCCTCCCTCAGTAGGGGGCAGTCTCTGCTCAGGTAACACAGGAACAGCAGCTCCACATTTAAAGCAGAACCTAGCAAAAGGATCTGAGGGACGCAAACTCAAACACCCAGCACACCTGGACATAAAGACAGATAGAGAAAGATTAAGACAGGCACAGAGGCCGAGGTAAGGAGACACATAGACTAGCTGAGTTGTATTCTTTTTTAAATGTGCACTTTGCTGCTGTGTAAAACTTTGAATTGTTATTGTTACTTTAGGAAAAGGAGTCCCTCAGAACTCCACTTCAGGACCCCTTTAGTTATATTCTTGATAAAGATGCAGATGATGTTTTTGTTTATTCATAAGAATGAAAGAGGAGGCAGTTAGCGTCCCTGTTCGTACTGCAAAAAGTCTGTCTCTCTGCAGATGCGTGACATCTCTGTGTTGTCCAGCTCCTTCATGACACTTGGACTCTGACAGACAGGAAACAAAATAAAATAACAGTTAATATATATATATATATATATATATATATATATATATATATATATATATATATATATATATATATATAAGCAGTAAGCAGTGGAGTTAGGTGGATGAGCTGAGATATTTGGGTTGTCTACCACTGGCAGAGAGCAATGAGAGGGTCCAGTTTGGGTGGTGGGGCTGGGATAACCCAGTTGACTGTTCAGGAAATTAGGACCTGACTGAGGAGAGGCACTACCCATCTTCCTTGGCTCTGGAAACAAGAAGAGGAAAATTACAATCATGCGTGATTTGTGAAAGTCAACCCTTTTGTCACAGAGCAGTTGATTCGTGACTCCTTTAGCAACATGTTGATTTGGCACTGAGCTTGGCTGGGGCTGTTTATGTCCTGTATTAACCTGTCTGTAGTCTCAGCTTCATCACCAGTTTGTTTCTGAGGTGGTGTTACAAAGCCCAAAGATGGCACTTGCCATATTAAAAATGTTGACTCCAACTACCTTTGATAAAAGTTTACTTAGGTTGTGTTTAGATGAGCTACAGCATTAGCCTCCAGACAAACTGCTACAACACACCAATCAAGACACCTATAAGTTTAAAAATTTTGTCTTAAATCATTGCTTTTACACAGGATTAACTTTGAATAGCTGGAATTACGCTTTTTAAGGATGCAGGATACTGGATTTTTTCCAGTATCCAATATGTTGTTATTTTGGACTCGTTTTGGCTGACACACAAGTATTTTTTTTTTCTGTGCCGTTTGTATTGGCTCCCTTGGTACTCTCCCTGCCCCCACTGTAGCCCCTCCTTCTAATGATGTGTCTGCTTTCACAGTATCATGTGAGCACTTGGCACTGATGTTGCTCTGATCTGTACCCCTGGAGTCTTTGCTGATACTCTCCCTGCTTTGGCTTGTCATGTATACACCCAAAACAGAGGAAGGGTGTGCTCTCCCTGCACCTGCCTCAGATAGTTTATCTGGTATGAACTTAAAGGAAAATGTGAGATGAGGAGTTAAACACTAAACCCTTCACCAGGGTATTTCCAGAGATTTTTTTGTGTTGGTCACCCAGGATTTCAAGGAGGGGGTTTTCAGTAATTGTAGTTTGGGAAAAACATTTACATGTATTGGAAATAACTTTGGAGCACACCTGGAGGTTTTGGTAAACCTGCAGAATTCTCAGCAGACCACCAGGTTCCTTCAGCCACCCCCTGAAATAAAGAGTACCCGCTGATCATTGTGGCAGGATTACAGGACATTGAGACTTTCTAAAATCATTAACTTATTAATAATCAAGACATTCAGACTCTGAAGCAGAAAGGTCATGGTACTGATAGGAAATGTAATCTTCAAACAGTACATGGTTTACCAGCTGGTCTGTTTGTAGAAAATGCTGTCCATTTTCATTCTTCGGATCCTTGTATTCAACAGAGAAAACTTTTGTCACTGCGGAGCTGTCTCTGCCGTCACTGAACGTACAGAAATTATTATTTCACACACTGTTCAGTAAATAGTATTCAATAGATGCTGTGATGACTTGTGATGACCTATGCAATGGAGAGGACTCACCTGGTAACAGCAATGGCCCTGACAGACACTCGACCAGCAGGCAGCAGGATGGGCCCACTGTACCTCCTGCTGCTACCTACTGGCCCTTGCTTCCCCACTGAAGGCTTCGACTTGTCCAAAGTGTAAAAGATCTGCACACTTGGAGTTTCTGAGGAGATGGACACACCTGTCAAATATACCTGGAGCAAAGACATCACAACTGAAAACACTGATGTGAAACCAGTTAGGACAACCTGAAAAGGGCAGTCTGACAAGCAAAACCCAAGGCAAACACTCGGAAATCTACTCTGCATCAATACAGGTGTGAAGATACGCTCAAGTGGATGGAGGCAGGTGTGTGTTTTACCTGAGTGGATGGAGACCAGTGTGTTGGTGTCAATGTGGTTTTTGGCTCTGTGTGTCTGCAATTGGATGATGGGGATGATGAGGGGAGCAGACACGCCTCCTGCTGTCATGATAGCGACTGTCTGGTAATAAATCAATGATCAATCATGTATCAATAAATTGGTCAATTTATCATCAATCAACCAAACAATGAACTAACCAACCAACAAGTCAGTCAACCAACTTAAAAACAAATCAATCAATAAATAAACCATATAATTAACAAAACAAGAATTGATCCAATCAGCCAATCATCAAACAAATGAACAAACCAGACAAACATTAGCCAATTGATCAATAAATCAACCTACCAAACCTATCAGCAACTGAACAGACTGAAAAGTCAACCAACAAATCAGCCAAACTTGAATCAAACCTACCTACCAACAAACCAAATAACTAATGAACAAACCAATCAGCCAAACTAACCATCTAACCATTTAAAACCAACGTTTTGGTCCAGAAGGACTTTAACGAAACAAAAAAAATCAGTCTAGAGATGTTAAAACTCGAAATATTGCGCGTGTCTGTTTGGATAAATAAATACCGAATAAAATAAGATTTTAAAAAAACTTGCTTACATTGAATTATCGAGAAGAGGTTAGATGAGTTTTTTCTCGAACGGCTGCTCGTCACGCGCCTGTGTGTGGTGGCGTCACTATAGCAACGAATTCTGCCTGGCGTGCGTGTGTTCGTTGAAAGCGAAAGGGTTTGCAGTGGAGGACGGGGTTTATTGAAAAACCAAGATCTATAGCCGTCCGCCCCGCCGGGATACAGTGAATTTTACTGACCTTTTCTTTAAAATATCATTTAAAATATGTTTTAAAATAAAACCTTTAAAAACAAATAAGATATTCCACCCGTTTTCAATAAATACTAAGGACTTAGACAATTCTGAAAGATAACTGCCACTTATATGTGCATAATAGCGTCTTCTTTACACCTGTTCAGGAAGTATAGCATCAATATAATCTTTAACAGAAATAGAACAAACTTATGAATAGCAATATAACTTTTCATTTTAACCTTTAACGAGAAATCTCTCTCTCTCTCTCTCTCTCTCTCTCTCTCTCTCTCTCTCTCTCTCTCTCTCTCTCTCTCTCTCTCTCTCTCTCACTCACTCTCTCTCTCTTTTTTTTTTCAATCAGGCAGTTGTTAGGTCGCTCCCAACAACTGCTTACTTTTCGAGGACCCTTAGATAGCATGTCTGCAATACAAAATTAGCTCGTGGGCTAGCTACAATATCGCTACAGGTTAAACAAAAATAGAAATAAAGAAAATAAAATTAAAAATGGCAGAAGTGAAGGTGAAGAAGGAGGCGAACCTCTCAGACCCTGCGGAGGTGGAAAACAGGTCAGTACGGGGACTCTAAACCGCTGTTATTCACTGTAAAAACGTTTAACCGAACCCCATTTCAATTCCTTTCAATTTAGAGTTTCTCCGATAATCTTCACACAAGCAGGCCATTTCTCTTATAAATGAATAGCATTGACATTTTTAAGCAGTCCTGAGCAAGTTTACAAAAATTAAACTGAAATGTTAATGTGTCTTGTGCGTTATCGTTGCTTTTCATTGTCCTCAGAGCAGTTTTAGCGGTGGGAGACTGTCAAAAGCGAGGCCAGAAGTTAGTTCATTCAAAACTCGATTTTTTATTTAAAGTTTCTCTTGGAGTTTTGAATTATATGCCGAATTTTAGTTTTAGCTTCAGAAAGTTAGCAAGTATCCCAGATTATTTTTGTATTATATTTTATTCGGAGAACAAGTGGGAAACATGCTTATTACGATCTTTTTTAACCGAATTTGGTCTACATACATCTCACCGGAATGGAATAAAAGTGATGAACCCAGGATGTCATTTAAGAGCTTGTCAGCTGGTTTATATGGATGGCTGCAAAAAAAAGAAAAAAGTTCTGCCCGTAATATTTATAGAGTTAATGTATGTTTGAATATCTAAGTAGCTCAACCAAGTAACCAAGACGCAGTTGAGCTGGCTGATGAAATTCAAAATGGTTCAAAACGTACTTGTGAATATAAATGATCAGTACCTGAATCAGACGATCAATCACTCATAACTTATCAATAGTTAGACATTTTATTTCTCATTATTGTTGTGGTTTTCGAGTTTATTTTTTCATGCCTAGACCTTTTATTTTACCCTGTTTTGAAACTTTTTAAAACTCCTGTTGTTATTCTTTAAGCACCTCATATTATTAATGTTATTTAAACAGAACCCATTAAAACAAAAGCTTACGAAGTGCTTTGACTGACAAGTAAGTTGATTATCAGTAAAGGTGTTCAGATCATAGACTGCATGTAGTTTCCACAGTGTATGGTTCAGTCTATGGTTCAGATGTCATATTGAATTCATCACTTTGTGTGTTTGTGTTTGTGTGCGTGCGTGTGTGTGCACGTGTGTATAGGATCAGAGAGCTGTGTCAGCAGTTTCCTCATGGGATCACAGACCAGGTGATCCAGAACGATATGCCTCACCTGGAGCCCCAGCAGAGAGCCATGGCCATCAACAAGCTGCTGTCACTGGTTAGTCTAGTGGTGATGTCACTGCTGAAGTTTTCTCCTGATTGGTCAGAGTGTTTTGGATCAATGTGGTTGATGATGCCAACCTAACCTGTCTCTTCACCTTCCTGTTCACCTGCTCAGGGCCAGCTGGACCTGCTGAGGAACAGCACAGGGCTGCTGTACAGGATGAAGGACACACAGAGCACCAGGTAAACACTCCTGAGGCCTCCTGCAGGATTTAACAGGCTACTACAAAACAGATGGTGATTGTACTGTAACACTGGGGTGTAAACGTGAGGTTATTTCTGTCCATGTTTCAGTAAGATGAAAGGTTCAGACAATCAGGAGAAGTTGGTCTATCAGATCATCGAGGACGCAGGCAACAAAGGTAACAAACTCAGAATCTGACAACTAAAACCCTGAATTAGACCCCAGGTATGCACCTGTACTCAGTTGAACTAGTCCCTGATGAGGCAAAGTTTATCTTAACTGGTTGACTGTAATATCCAAACAAACAGAAATTTGGTTGCAAAGCTTTTCTCTTTATGGAGAGTTTCTGTAAGTGCAAACTGTCTCTGAAAATAGCAGTCTCCAAGGATTTATAATATATTCAGAATATTTTAAATTGATGAAATCCACTGCAGAAATCTTGTTATGGAGTTTAAATGCCATCATAAATCAGAATTACCCTCAGACAGTGCTACATTTGAACTTTGAACTAATGTCTTTAAAACAGCCAGTCTGGATTCAAACCTGCAGAATTTTACATGATATCATTATCATTTCCCTCTTACCAGTTTCTTCTTCTTCTTTTTTCTATTTATGAATCAGTTTTTTTCTAAATAAGACTGGTTGTCAGCACTCATAAAGCATCCTTCAATTAGTCAGTCTAACTAAGAAAGTAGTGTACATCATTAGTAATTAAATTAAAGACAGTAAAAACAAGCCAAAAAATAAAAAAGATGTCAGAAAACAGTTAAAAATATTAAAGAGTAGTTAAATATGGGTAAAAGCCCTCAGCTTTTGTTGAATTTGGCCTCTGGGATAAATATAGTTCTTCTCATCTTATCTGATCTTCTCTAAACTGGCAATAAAAATGAGTAATCAAATAACAAAACAACACTGAAATCTGTATAAAACAGCAACTGTCTCTGTTCAGCTTCCTGATCCGTTCACAGTCTTGTCCTCTAAGCAGAAACCTGTAAATATCTCTGAAAACTATAGAAATATATCCAGTCAGTATTTTTCAATCAGTCTGATCAGATAAAAAGGAGACCGAACAAAGTAGAGCAATCATTTCCACACTTTTTGTTTTTGATTTTGTTTTTAATCTTTGAAATCTGTCACAGATCAGCGTGAGCATGAGGGATGTTCACTGTCAGAACACTTTGTCACTGTGTGAACTCAAACACCTGTCTGTATTTCTATCAAACAGCCTCTCTGCCTCACATTCAGCAGCTGTTTTAATGAATGTTTTTATTTTGACTGTGCAGGTATCTGGAGCAGAGATATCCGCTTCAAGAGCAATCTCCCTCTGACTGAAATCAACAAAATCCTGAAGAACCTGGAGAGCAAGAAGCTCATCAAAGCAGTCAAATCAGTAGCTGTGAGTTCACACTTGAAAGCCCATCAGCTAATCGTACCAGGTCTCCTCTCTAACACTGACTGTTTGTCACGTATCAGGCATCCAAGAAGAAGGTGTACATGCTGTACAACCTACAGCCAGACCGCTCAGTGACAGGCGGAGCTTGGTACAGCGACCAGGACTTCGAGTCTGAGTTTGTGGAAGTCCTAAACCAGCAGTGCTTCAAGTTCCTGCAGAGCAAGGTTAAACATTTCCATTTAAATTGCTGGAGGATGATATTTATACCTTTTGCATGTAGTTTATTAGAAAAATGATATAGTTGCTAAATAAGACCTGAACTCATAAAAGTGTTCTGAAACTCATGCGATCAGTGATTTTGTTCATAAAAACAGACTTTGGTAGTTTTAAAATAATTTAAGTGTATTTTGATGGAAAAGTAAGTGTCAAGACAAATAATATTGGGTTGTGTAAACATCTCTGCTCATTGTAAATTTGATTCCACCAACATGTTTGTAAAAGTTAGCTGCAGGTTCATGTTTTCTACTGTGTATCATCAACTCATCTTTTCCCAACACCCTGTAAACATTAGTAAACCCAGGGGACCAGTTTCTGGTTTGTGGTTTCTGGCCATTCTTGTTTGATAGAGGACTGTCCCTTATGTACAGCGATTTCTAACGATTCTCTGAATCTTTCAATGGTATCATGTTCTGTAGCTGATGAAATCCACTCATTCTTTCACATTTGACACTCAGGAACATTATTTTGAAACTGTTGAACTATTAGCTCACTTAGTCTCTCACAGAGTGAGAGACTCTTCCTGTATTACTTAAAATAGTTAAACTGGCAAAGTTTTCCATATTGGTTCAGAATTTTTTAATTCACATTAGTTATCACTTGTCAGGGTGTTGATTGTGATTTAACCAGCAAGTGGCAGCAGAGTCATGTTCAGTTTCAGAGAGTTAAAGTGTCAACTTCAGAAATTACAGGAAGAATTAATGTTATTATTTAATTAATTCATTCACAAATAATAAAATTTTGGGACCAGTGTGGAGGATGTAGTATCAAAATATACTCAGAGTACCAAAAAAGCTTGTGTAAAGTAGAATGAATGCATATGTTATAAAACTCTCACACTTATTGATGTTTTCTTTTGATACAGTAACATTTAGGCCAATGAAACTCCCACAAATGTTGAGAGCCTCCTGCACAATGATCACAAGAGATACAGGCGATTTTAGTAGGTTAGTTACTTTGCTGATCACATGATCTTTGTGTATGTGTGTGTGTGTGTGTGTTTCTCTGTTTGTGTGTTTGTTTGTTTGTTTGTTTGTTTGTTTGTTTGTTTGTGTGTGTGTTCAGGCTGAAGTAGCAAGGGACAGTAAACAGAGCCCCATGGTCCAGAGGAACAGTTCCTTTGCCACCTCACATGAAGTCTGGAAATACATCTGTGAGCTGGGAATCAGCAAGGTAACTCTCCTAAAGCCCCACCTCCTTATGATATCACACCTTAAAGGGATATTCCGGCGTAAATTTAAGTTACGGTCAAACACACCGTGATACAGAGTTAGACACCTCCTCCAGAGATGAATGTTGCCGACTGCTTGCTTGTGTAGTTATACTAACTTTAGTAATGACTGCATGATAGCAGTACACAGTGGTCTACGTCTCCATGCGCAAACCTCATCCAAATAGCCACTCTATAGCCACAAATAATGCTCAGAACAGCACCTAACTTCATCAACAGTACATATGGGGTCCCAACCATAGTATTAGCCACCGAACATCGTTTTAGTTTTGCCTAATTTCTTTAGCAAAGAAACTAAACACAACTCACCCACTCTCCTCCAGCAGCCACTTGTTGGTCTTATCTAAAGATTGATACCAAATTCAGTATTCAGTTGTTCAGTTTTTCTGTAGTTATACAGCAATTTCAGAAATGCTATTTAATAATGGTTAAAATCAGTTTTTTAAGTTCTGCACTTATGAGAATCATAAAACTATGGGGTATATACAAATCCGATTTCTCTAGTTCTTGATAAACTTATCAAATTGGGGTTGATTTATCATTTAAATGGTATTAATCTAATAAAGGGATGTATTTCATGTTTCCTTATCGCCTGGTAAGGATGGTCCTCAGATAATAGGGAAATATCTGTAGGCCTCCTAAGACAACAAATACAACAGAGTGTTTGCGTGCACGCGCGCCCGCCTGTGTGTGTGTGTGTGTGTGTGTAGGTGGATTTATCCATGGACGACATAGAGACCATCCTGAACACACTTATCTACGATGGAAAGGTGGAGATGACGGTCATTGCTGCAAAGGAGGGGACAGTGGGCAGTGTGGACGGACAGATGAAGCTATACCGTGGCGTGAACCCGATTCTGCAGCCTACAGGCCTTGTCAGGACACCCTGCGGGCTATGCCCGGTAACAGCACACACACACACACACGTGCGCGCAATGTAGAAACTCATTTGTTTATTCTTCCTTCCTGGCCGTAGTTATTACCACATTTTAGTTCTGGTGTAGTATTTCCCTGTGCTCACAAACACTGACTTTCTCTGTGGTCTCAGGTGTTTGACGATTGTCATGAGGGAGGAGAGATCTCGCCGTCTAACTGTATCTACATGACCGAGTGGTTGGACTTTTGACTGCTCATCCTCTCATCAGCCCCTTTGTTTATTTTTTCTGAGATCCATCAAATTATTTTCTATTTATCACAAAGTTTAATAAAAATGCAACCTAAGACTTGTTGACTGCTGCTTTTTCTTTGTAATTAGGATGTGTTGGTCTCTTTCATTGTAGTGGTAAATTTTCATTTTTTCTCTTGACGTTTATGTTTTTGTGTGTGATATTATGATGTAAAAGAAGGGAAAAAAAGTTAAAGTCATGACCTCATGGTGCTAAATTAATCAGAATAAACATTTTTGATAAAGACTTTTGTAAATGTAAAATAACTTTACACTTTAATTAAAACCCCTTTTCAATAATATGAAGACCTTTTTTCAAGCATTACTTAGAAAAATCTTGTGAACTAAAGACCTCATTATCATAATTTATGAGAATTAACATGTAAATTTAAAATCTTCTTTAAATGGTGAGACAATTCCAGTAGTTTCAAGATTTTTTTTTCTGCAAGTCAAAGAGACAAAAGCTGTAACCTTAGAACCCTATTATCATACATGAATGACAATCTTAAAAGCCAGACTTTTTTTTGTCAAAAAGACACTCATAACAGCTCTATTCTCATAACATGAGGACTCTTTTCTCAAGACAAAACTTTTTAAGAACCTGTAATTTTTGTCTTTTTGTAAATTTACAACTTTTTAGTAAAATGTATACATTTTTTGTGTTACATGACCCAAAGCAATGAAAAAAAGTCAAAGTTATTACTGTAAGGTGATAAATTAATCAGAATGAACCCTTAAATGAAGACCATTTAGCTGAATGAGGAAAACTTAAATTTACCACTATTCTCATCAGGCTAGAGTTATTTTTTTTATATTGAGAACTTTTTTGTTGACAACTATTCTAGTTTTCAGACCTATTCAACAAATTTATACCAATAATCTTACAAAGGTGGATCAAAGCCAACAAAGGAAAGAATATTGGAGGTCAAATATTTTATCTTTTTTTCTCAGAATTCTGATAAAAATTTCAATGGCTAAAAGAAAAGGATTCTGAGGATTAAAAGACAAAATTCTAAGAAAAAAATGTTGTAATTCTGAGATTCAAAAGAAGACTTTTACATCAAAGGAAGAATTCTAAGGTTCAAGTCAGAATCATGAGAATAGAAATCAGAAGAGATTAAAGTAGTAATTTTTAGATAAAAGTCAGAAAATATAGATCAAACAGCATTGAAAAAAAACAAATGAAATTCTGAGATTGAAGTCTGAATTCCGGCTGTAATCTCAGAACTGTGCAAAAAAAGTTAAACGTGAAAAAAGTCTGAATTCTGAGGAAAAATGTTAGTAAAAATACAAATGTTCATATTTTAAAAAAATATTTAAAATGTTTAATTGAAATTAAAATATATACATTTTTTGGCCCTTATTCTCTTTCATTTTAATTTATAACATTATCCATTATCCACTTTATAACGATGGTAATCAAGGTATAAAAACTCCTTCAGTTGCTGGTAATGAGTGACAGTGACTAGGAGGCCATGAAGGAAACCCCTTTAGTAATGGTGTATTAGCTGTAGAATATGGTCACGGAAGAGAAGGTGTTAATCAGTGCTTTTTAACTGCTTATTCAGAGCCAACTTACTACTTATAAACATGCTAATAAACAGGCTTGTAACGGTGTAAGATAATCACACTGGGAACTGGAACCAAGAATATGCTAAATGGGAGTCAAAATGAGTTCTGATTGATTTTCTGTCATTTATGAATATTTTAGCTGTTTTTGCATTTACAGTTTGATTTAGTGCCACAAAACCAGCTACTTTAAAACTCTTAAAGTTGCAGATAAATGTTCAAAGTCAGAGAAATGCAAGACAGTAAAATGCTCAGTATACAGAGTGGCATGGAGGAGGAAAAAAGTGTGAGAAAAAGAGTGTATTAATATGGTCCTGAAAGTAAAACCCTGTCTTTGTGTGTGGGTTCATGTCAGTGTATTGGTGTTTACTGCAGCCTTTTAAAGTCAAAGATGGCCGCCTCTTTAACATGTTACAGACTATAAAGTGATGTAGATACTCTTACTGACTGCAGCTAGAGCTCTCAGGTACATAACCTGAGCTCTCTGATACACACAGAGCGAGTTTATCCAATTAGAGTGCTCGTTTGGCCTCCAGTGTTCTCCATCAGACATCATTAAAGAGCTCCATCAGGCTGTAATGGACTCAGTGCTGACCCTCAGCACAGATCACTTTACACAACAACTACCAAACAGCTGCTATACAGCTCCTTGTTTTCGTGTTTTCATTGACGAATCAGAAAAGTGCTCTTATTGACTGTTTCATTCCAAAGTTGTCATGCTTACATTTTTTTGTCTTTATTTGGTCAATTAAATAAAAAACTACACTTTCGAAGAACCTCAGTGGCTGCATTAAATTGCCACAATGAATAAACAACAGTGAGTTTTTCCTCTGACAGTAGCTAAGTGGAAACAGCTGCAGTTCCATTAAGCTCATTTATTATTAATGAGCACTGACTCTGCTGGAAGGGAGACATGCCCACACAGTGACATCACTTCCTGCGCTCATCTACTGCCTGGTCCATGAACGGGTCCCCAAGTAGCCTCTGTGGTGTTCTTAAGCAAACAGGTCACACCAATCCAGACAACAGGGAGTTCCAGCAACAGCCCAGGCCATTGAGTGCAGTCAGATACAAGTCAGTTTCAGTTACATGTCACCTGATTGAGTCAGTTTACCCTGGTAGAATTTAACACAAATAAACACAAAGTTAAATGGAGGTAGCCATGCCAAAACAAACGGACAACTCAGGTTTTGTTCCCTTTAATTATATTTGGCAGAGCGAGTTAATCTTGGGAGAAGACTTGTCAAGTCAGGTGGCCTCCAGTCATTTCAGATTTAGTCTTATCAGTCACCCCAAGTCCAACTAAGTAATAAACAGTAGAGACAAATCAAAGAATTGTCAAGGGGAGTCCAGTGGGACCATGTCCAAGAGACATGGCTAAGTTGAGTTAAATAGGCACTTGAAAAGTCTGGTCAAGTTAAACTAGATAGAGAAAAGTCAAATCAGATGGAGTCTTGTCAAGTCAGCTCAAGTCAAATCAAGTAACAGTGGAGATAAGTTAAGTCAAAGGAGCCACGTCAAGATGAGCTCAATTCATATGAGTCTGACAGGTGAGGCGCGATGAGTCAAGTATTGGATGTTTTAGAATTTCAGAGGCTCCTTTAAGGAAGTTTGAATAATCAGTAAATGTTCAGTGTTAAACGTTGTCTAACTGTAAATTATGTAATTGGAGCGGCAGTGACATTAACTCCAGGAAATCTATGTGGTGTAGTTCTTTATGATCTCTGCAGGATAAACCCTAAAGATCAATGACCCTTTGACCTTTCCTCTACCTGCGCCACCCTTAGGACAGACTGTTCCTGTTCAACTCCACCACAGTTCAGACTGAAACCACTTAAAATTATCAGGATGGATCAGGATGCTTGTAATGGGTCCTGCCGCCTATGGTCGGCGCTACAATGGCTGTATTTTTTAGAGCTTTCATGGTGCCAGAATTTGGATTTCATGTTGTCCTTGAATGCATCACAAAGTCATGCAAAGATACAGTTTTTGAAGAAAAATATTATGATGGATTTTGATGAAGACATGCTGCGGTGCAGACAAGAAAGAGTGGGGGGGGGGGGGGGGGGGCTAAAAGAGGAGGAGGAGGAGGAGAAGGTGGGGTGGTGGTGAGGGGGGCAGTGCGGATTCTTTCCCGTCATTCCCTGCAGCAGCAGCAGCAGCAGCTCCCTCCTCCTCCTCCTCCTCCTCCTCCTCTCTGTCTGTCTGTCGCTCCGTGGCGGATGCAGTTTGCAGACTCTTCGTCTTCTCAGCTGAAGTTTGGAGACCCTGTGAAACCTCCTCAGCAGGTAAGCTCCCTCTTCCCCTCGCTCCTTTGTCCCTGCGGATTTCTGCGGTGTCTGTTGTCGCGGTGGCTGTGATTGAAACTGCGGAGGGAAACACTGAAGCGCAAACTTCGCCTCATGTCAGGGTAGACTCGGTTTAGCGGTCGGACTCTTATGGCTCGGTTGGGAGCAGAAGGTCCACCCTGGGGCCCAGTGCTCTCTCCTGTACCAATCCGCCTTGTGCAGCGGTGCTGCGGCTCTCGTCAGCCCGCGTGTTCGCCGCTAGTCGCCGCCGCCCAGCCAGTAGCCATTAGTCCGGGCAGAGGATGGAGGATAATAACGGTGCGCCATGCATGGACGCAGAAACAGGCGTGGCCGCGGAGGGAGGAGGTGGTGTATGTGTATGGATGTGTGTGTGTTCAGGACAATAAACAACCGAGCTCAGATCCGCCCTCGGAACATTTGCGGTAGATTGAGCGGGATGTGTCCAGGCCTCCAGCCGCTGAGCCCGGCCGTGGGAGGCTCTGCAGGCCGGTGCGCAGTCCAGCAACCACCGGCCGAAAATGCTGGAAAACATGAAGAGGAGGGCTGGCGGTGGTCAGAGTGAAGAGCCGAACTTTGCAGGCCTCTGAACCGCCAAATCCCCTCAAGACCCCAAATTACGAGATTTGGCTTCAGGGGGCGTTTTCTGGAGGGAAAATATTCGGGTTCTGTGTGATTCCCGCTCGATAGGGCCATAATGTGGGTCTGTTTTGATCCCATAAATCCGCTATGTTGTCATGCAGGCCCGGATCCAGGCTGGGAGGGGGCCAGGGCAGGGTCTAATCCCCCAGAACAGAGTGAACAGACGGGGGCAGGGAGTAGACCCTGTCCCCTGTGATCTTGTACAGAAATGGGATCAAACTCAGTCAAAACCCTGACCAAGGGTTTTATCAAGTTTGAATAATCCAACATTCCTGTATGGTCTAAGTGGCCCCCACTCTGTAAGGGCTTAAAATTAGGTTACAGAACATCAACAGGTTCACCTGTTGATGGAATTGTTGTTTTTTCTTTTTGTAGTTCTTTTTTTTTGCCTTACACTAAAACATCATGTAATACAGGAGATTTCAGAGTTTGGCTGATATTTACATCAGAAGCAGTATTTGACTGTGTCATCTCTAGATATTCAAACAAAATTTACATGACACACTCACTTGTGTCTGGTTTCGATTTGATATGCTGTCTTTGAGGACAGAAAAGTTTTTATTTGAAAAGATAGTGCTGATAAAAGCTTTGTGAGGGCTGGTGCTGATATGATGTTAATTATTTCAAACTGCCATAAATTGGCTGATTTAATCAACTGGCTAATAATCACACTATCTCGTCTATATTTTGGAAACAGCCAAAGGCAAGACGAAGACCTTTTGATTGCACTCTAGACATGTACTCTGCTGTCTGTTTACGGCAGTTCAAAATACTTCCATTCAGATGCCATGTTGGCACCTGTAAGCTGCCATCATGGGATTCTCATCCATGTATCATATTTATGATATTAGCAGAAATGATCGCATCTTATATTATGGATAATCTGCCCATAGTCATACGCCAATAACACTGTGCATCCAGAAAGATTCTGACATGAAACAAAAGATGAGATACCCAAATATACATTTCAAAAAGACACAATATGAAACAAAATAATATGAATTAAACCTAAATGTCACACAAAAACATGATATATTAAAGGATTAAAGAAAGACTGATCAATCAGTAGATTAGTCAATTAATGGCATTCAAAATAATCAGTCTTTGCTCATAAAAATACATCGTTTGTGTCTGCAGACACTGCAGGCAGTCTGTGAACAAATAAAAACAGGTTTTCCTTTTTAAGTGTTATTAACATTTTATTCTGTTTTTCACTTATATACTAGTGTGCATTTTCGGATGGTCTTCATTCATTTTTCTGTTTAGCGTCTGCTGCATGATGACCATTATCTTAAATACCATCATGATTTGGTGATAAACCCAGCCCATTTTTTGGATGATCCCTGTGTCTCTCCATTTTCATCCCTCTGCTTCTCAGGTGGTGGCTGGCCTCGGATATGAGGGGAGTTTGACTTACATTTAAGTAGAGATGACTACTGCAGCAATGGGTTATTAGACTCTGTGTGAATGACAATCTCCTTTTCTCAAGTCAGTTTTTGTGGGTATTTGTTCTTTAGTATTGTTACTATAAAGCTATTTAAAATGTTCCCAGAGTGTTTCTTTCAGGTCCTCACGTAAGCAACTCCTAAAGGCAGTTCTTAAGAAGTCTGCTCTGTACAAAGACCCCTAGGACTGTTTACCAACAGTTCCTGCATGTTTACCTTTTCCTGTCAGTCTGATTACATTGGGAGGATGCTCTTTGACATATTTCAGCTGTTTTGTTCACATTTCTTTCTCTTACAGCCATATGAGCTGTTGATTTTTACCACCAAACTTCGGCAGAACATTTCTGGGATTAATATAAAATGAGGCACAGCAGTTGATTTGTGAAATAAAGCCTAAGTTTGGATCTGATGTGACTGTTCTCCTTGTCTGATGAAACTTCAGAGAGCAATCTCAGGTGTTCTTTGAAGGTACTCTAAAATGACCCTGAGACTACAAAGAACACTTTAGTGTCAACAGGATGTACTCTTAGTCTGCAGAGACTCTTTGGGAATAGTCTTTGAAATAATCAATCTAAGGGGACATTTCCAGAAAACTTTCAGGAATAATACAGGAAACAATTATCACAAAAACATTGACATTCACAAATTTCTGCTTTGCATTGATTCATGTTTCTCAAATGATATTTAAATTAGGGTAGCAGAAACCTTGAGCAGAACCAGACTCATGTAAAAAAGTCATCAGCTGAGACTGAGCTGGGTAAGAGAGGGGATCGAGGGAGATGCAGAAGGAGACTCATGCTGATAAAGTCACATTGGTTTTGTAACAGTGTTGAAAATGGAGAGACTGATGCTTGTAGTTGAATTAAGTGGAAAGTAGTGCTGCAACTAACAACTATTTTTTTGTCGACTAATCTTTCGACTAGTCGTTCGATTAATCACGATTAATCACTATCTTCTTTATTTATAAACACCTATTTCTGGGGTGTCGGCGTTTCAGGTGCTCATGCATCGCCGTGGTGCTGCCATGGTAGGAAAGCTGAGCTTTGCATAGCTTGCACTCAACGTGTTTTTTGGTTTGTTCTCCGTAAAATGTTCCCAAACTTTTGAAGTTTTGGGTCGGAGTTTTGGAGCGTCTTCTTCAGTTTGTTCTGCCATGTGTGCACTCTTCTTCTGTGTTTGCTCACGGGATGTAAACAGCGAGTGCTACTGCCCCCAGCACATCCTGTAGTGCACTGCAGTTATAGATGAGCATGAGGTGCCGGCATGTGATTCTTAACAACAATAACACGACGCGTTGACGCTTAATTTTCGTGTCAATGAATTTGTCGTGTCGACATAATCGATTACGTCGACTAATCGTTGCAGCCCTAGTGGAAAGCAGGCTGGTCCACAGCAACAAGACATCTGCAGCAGTGATCCAGAGGGACCTACATGATGATGGGGCCCAGGGACTCCCAAGAAAAGACTCGAGTATTTGTTACTCTAATGGGACATGATGATGAAAAATTTAAAATAGTTCATTGGAAGTAGCTGCAAACCAAAGAGGTTTTAGCTATAATTAAAATGAGCCTTAATAAAAACCTCAGTGAGAAAACAACAGATAAACAAAGTCATTTAAACAACTTGAAAGTATGTGTCTCTGTATGAAACAGAGTTTCCTCCTGCTGATAATCCTGCAGGTTTTATTTGCATCTGACAGTGTTAGTTTAAAAGTACAAGTGCTGTAAAAACTATTGTGTCAATATGTTTTCATGTGATCAGCTGTTCAGGTAATCCAGGTGTGGCTCAGTGTAGATGACACTATCATAAAGAGTCACCTTTCTGATCAGACCCTCCATACAAAGAGCATGTCTTGTAACATCAGAGGAAGCATTAACAGAGTTCCGAGCTGACCTGGACTCATCCTCCTCCTCATGCATAATGAAAGAAGAGAAGATGGACACTCAGAGTCATTAGAGAGGTCTGCTCTCTGTCTTTTCACAGTTTAGGTTTTCAGTCGGGATGGAAACTGGATTTATTCTCTGAAACACCCACAGAGCCTGGTTTCACTTTGACACAGTTAATTTACAGGCTGGAGTTAACAAAGGCCTATCTGAGAGGCTGTTCCTGTCCTGGGTAACCCTTGCACACTTTGCAAGTGTCATGTAAAGCTCCTTCATATCTAGGAGGTAGTATAATTCAAACAGCATCCAAATGTCGGCCTTTGGTTATGATGTTGCCGGATGAATTTGTTGCTGCTCCATTGACCTAAATTATTGTCTTTATCTTGCTAACGTAGCACCAGCAGTGGACACCAAACAGTAGCAGCAGTAGGTTTGCTGGGTATAAACCACACAAACAGGGCTAAACATTTGCAGATTTGTGTGTGCATATATGGATCAGTTCACACATTTGTGGATGTATGTGAACAGTTGTAAATCTTTGTTCTCATTTGTAAAATGTTAGCAGCAATAATGGCTCCATATTTAACGTGATCTGGATCCTTCATGACCTTCTGTGTTAGTGTAAATGGTAGTGAAGCCATTCAAGGTGAGCAAAGGAAGAGGAGGATGGACAAAAATGTTGAACTGTTCCTTTAAATGGTCTCATTGATTTGACGAATTTAAACTTATTACAGGCTATTTTTAAACCTGAGTCAGTCACCTGTGTGAGACTCAGACTCCTTTAGCGTGTGTTCAGGTGTGATTCAGCAGAATGTGTCTGTTCAGTGTTTCTGACCTCAGTCTGATGGAGCTGCTGAGATGAAGGGTGGGGTCGGCTAACCAGGAAATGACTCTGTGTGTGTGTGTGTGTGTGTGTGTGTGTGTGTGTGTGTTCATTAATCTAATCACTCCACCCTGCTCTCGCTCTGCTCTGTTAGCTCACTGAAGTGAGGTCATTCTTCTTCTGCTGCTGCTGTTTCTGGAACGGTAATGGTGGACTCTAAGCAGCCTGATTGGTCCGGCTGTAACCCTCTCTGGTCATCCGAGTGTTTGTTCATGAAGTCCTAAACCATACAGTCTTATCAGACTGGATGTCTGATAGCAGCTGCTGTGTGTCCATGAAACCTCTCAGCTCTGTTTGTCCTCCTGATGTGTTAAAGTGATCCTGGTTCCAGTTTCCATCCCTGAGTCTGTAAATATGCCTTAATCCTGATATAGAGCGGAATTTCAGTTTCACTCATAAATCACTGAAAAAGAGCTTCTGTTAAGTTCTTCAATAGGTGAGATGGATTCTAGAATGTTGGGTTATTGAATGCTGAGTTATGGAAACCTGTGTTCTTGAGTATTGGGATCTAGGGGGCTTTCAAATGAATGTTGTTTGGTCCAGAATTTTTGACTTTTCTGTTTGGTCCTAACCAAAATGATCAGTGTGAAACCTCCCAGGAACCTTGGTCCAGAGCAAACAGCCGGCCCTTGGTTTGACCAAAAGAGGTGGTCTCAGTCCAGACCAAACTGAACCATGGTTTGGTTCAGGCCCAGTGTCAAAGCATTTTTTTTAAAGGTCCGGACCTTCATACAAATAACAGGAAATGATACAAGTAGAAGTGTCTGTTATTATGTTGACTGGAGATTGTCCAAGAATGGGAAATTCTATAATATGGTAGATAAAGTTATACCTCACTATTAACAGCATATCTTTCCATGAGTTTTACAATACATACTTTCTTTCCTGAGTCGGTGTTGCAATGGCTTGCAGGATTGCACTTCTTCTTTTCTTCTCCTTTTCTGTCAATGACAGTAAAGTTGTCGTCTAATGATCAAATTCATGAGACCAACTGGGACCAGCCTCATGTACAGCCCTTCAAGTTGTCACTGTTGGGAGTAGAAAATCAAAAATAATACAGAGAGGGGAAAGTCGATTTCATTTATGTTTACAACAACACACCGGTGTTATTCAACCTGTTGACATCAGATGCCAGCAGGCCAAATGACCAATCAATGTAAAACACAAAGATAGTGCAATAATGACAGTGTGGAACCTAAACAGACCGAACCAAATGAATACAATGTAAAAAAAAAAAAATAAAAAAAAAAAACATGGACCTTGGTCCTGAGAATACTGGGTTCTTGAGTGGAATGCTGGATTTTATAGTGATTGGTCATGGAATGCTGGATCCTAGGGTTCTGGGTTCAGGGATGCTTGGTTCTAGAGTCTAGGTTCTGGGTTGCTGGGTTCTACAGTGCTTGGCTCTAGAATGCTGGGTTTAGAATTCAGGGTTTTAGAATGCTTTGAGGTATCTTGAAGAGACAGTGGCTGTATGAAGTGTTTCAGACAGAGGTGAAATGAGAATTAAGTATAAATTTGTTATTTAACCTTTGACTTTGAATTTGTTTTTTTAAATATTTAATAATAATAATAATATGATAACAACAACAACAACAACAACAACAATAATGAAATAATAATAATAATAATAATAATAATAATAGTTTTTAAAAAACACCCTCTCTTAATTATAGACTATTTGAATGACTATAAATGTCACTCCAGATAAAGTTGGACCATGCTTCAGTCAAAAGGTGAGAGAATGTCCCTATAAAGCCTCAGAATAACATGTTATATCAGATGAGTGTGTTATTACAGGTGTGTTTAATTTGAAAAAGAGTGTGTATGGAGAAAAATCTTTACTTGTAGATTCTTTGTAGTTAGTACTAGTAGTAGTAGTCATTTTAGCCATGACAACACCAAATATTGTATACAATATTGACATTTCAAACTAAATCACTAACTCAAGAATCATGTGCTGAATATTGACTGAAAATGCATAGGCAGAAGCAGACTGCTTATAGAAGCATATCCTGTATTGTCAATTTTTTAAGCTACCAACTTTCAGAAAAGCAAAGAAACCACGACAACAGATAATTAATCGCACTTATAAGCTTCAAAAATAGTTTTACAAACCATTTTTTTTAAAACCAAAAAAGAATGACATGTTTTTATATTTATGTTGGCATCATTCCAGAATTTAACTCCAGTAATGGAGACAAATCTCATTTTCATTCTCTTTTTTAGCTCTTTGTACAGTAAATTTGCAAGCACCTCCGAGATTATACGGACTGTCTTGAATTGAATAGAACTTCTGTATTGAGTTGGGGAGCATTTTTGATTTTGCTCTAAACATAATTTGCATTATTTTATAATGAAACAGATCATAAAATTTCACAACATGAGAATTTAGAAAAAGGGGCTCCGTGTGATCATAATAATCAGTCCTATTGATTATATGTATAGCTCATTTTGCAGTAAAACATGAAAAGTTTCTGCTGCTGGAGTTAGAACCAGCAGACATTCCTGACATGTTAACATGACTCCGACAAACAAATGGTTTGAGAGAGAGACTGTGTGTGTGTGTGTGTGTGTGTGTGTGTGTGTGTGTGTGTGTGTGTGTGTGTGTGTGTGTGTGTGTTCTGTGAGACAGCTGCTGGTTGGACAGGTGACGCGCACACACACACACACACCTGCTGCCTTTCCCATGTGTGTATATTTCCTCAGCTGTGACTATCAAGCTTTGAGGAATGTTTGAGGGTATTTTAGAGTCACTGCCATTTGTGACTTTAAATGGTTGACCCCCCCACGCCACACACACACACACACACACACACACACACACACACACACACACACACACACACACACACATTCCAGAAGTACACTCCCTCGCAGAACATCCCCCTTGCTGTGCTGGTGCTTAGAGCCAACAGACATGGAAATTAACAATCACTATACACTGTGCAACCCTGTTTTACAAAAGTTGGGAAGCTGTGCTTAATGTAAGTGAATCCATGTGACCAGTCTCTGGATTTTGGAAAGGAATATGTTGCCCTAAAATGCTTTTTACTGTGAGCTGTCAACAAGCGTAGTGGTCCCTTTACTCTTTAGAGCATCTGAGGATGCAGCATCCATGATTTCCAAGAAGAATGTCAACAGTTCAGGCTCTCGTTGTTTTGTGTCAAGATGCTCTAAATGATTTTAATGGTTGACAAGTCAGGACTGTAGGCAGGCTGGTTAAGCAGCAGGACTCTTCTACAACAGAGCCATGTCGTCAGGTAGTTCCACTCCTCTAAAATAGAGAACTCACAGTCCATGAGCTCCCGAAAAGCTATTGATTTGAATTTTCCTCATTATTTCTAGATGTTCCTCTAGCTCTCTCACTGTTACACAACTTTTTACATGTTTGGTTGTTCCTCTGACAACTTTTTAGAAACATGTTGCTATTAGAGATGCACCGATTGCAATATTCTTGGCCGATACCGATTTCCGGTTTTAAATGAGGTCTGACCTGCCAAAACCGGTTTTTCCGATACCGATTTTCTATCTAAGAAATAATTATAATCATATAATAGACACCATATTTGTTTGGCTTGAGTACCCTTTCCCAATTTTAATTTAAGTACCCCTCTCCCAGACAACATTTTGCTTAACTGCAATTAAAAGCACAACTAATGGTAGGCTATATGCTATCATAAACCCCCTTTTCAAGAATAAAACCTCACAAATAAGAAATAGAGTGAGAGTTTCAACAGTGCCTCCTGAGCAGATTTATTTTCAACACTGACCATAACAATCAGTCCAGTTTACAGGTCAATAACTAACTTACATTCAAACAACATTCAAAAACGTCCCAGCATTTGCCTGGTACAATGTAATTTATTGACTACCCCTCCAGTACCTCTCTCAAACGACTCTGGCAGCGCTGTGTCAGAAAAGTGCCGCCTACTTGGTAGTTTGTACCAATCAACGCCTAAGACATTTGGAACAACAAACTTAATACGCCACTTGGAAAAGAAGCACCCAGGCTTGTTTAGCAAATATAAGGAATACACTGCCGCTAAGAGGAGAGATGCAGCAGAGTCGCAGCGACCACAACAACCCTCCGCCGTCGCTCCTATGTTCGACATCAACACTGAAAAGTCCAAAGCCACCACCAGGAAAATAATGGTGTTCGTGGCACTGGAGGACCAGCCGTTTAGCGTAGTACAGGATAAAGGCTTCGTAAATCTGATGAAACACCCTACTTGGTAATTTGTACCGTGGACTCAGGTGTTTCGTCAGATTTACGAAGCCTTTATCCTGTACTACGCTAAACGGCTGGTCCTCCAGTGCCACGAACACCATTATTTTCCTGGTGGTGGCTTTGGACTTTTCAGTGTTGATGTCGAACATAGGAGCCACGGCGGAGGGTTGCTGTGGTCGCTGCGACTCTGCTGCATCCCTCCTCTTAGCGGCAGTGTATTCCTTATATTTGCTAAACAAGCCTGGGTGCTTCTTTTCCAAGTGGCGTATTAAGTTTGTTCTTCCAAATGTCTTAGGCGTTGATCCTCCACGGCTGACTTTTGACTTGCAAGCATTACAAACAGCGGGTTTTGGGTCGCTCTGGCACACAGTGTCAAATCACCGACATGTTTTCCTCCTGAGTCTTGCTAATTTTTAGCAGTTTTGCTCGGAGCTGATACGCACCGCGCATGCGGGTTAGTTTGCTCGGGGAAAACCGGCAAATTACGACAGTGACCGGCCGGTCACCGGTTGGGGCCGGTTGGATATAAAACCGGCTTTTTAAATCGGCGTCCGATTAATCGGTGCATCTCTAGTTGCTATATCAGATTTAAAGATAAGCAGATTACAAACAATGACATTTATCAATTTCAACTTTTGATATGTTGCCTTGACACTAAATCTAATCAAATAAAAAATTAAAATGACTTTCAATCAATCAACCATTTGTTTCCAGACTAAAGAAGTGAGGTTGTTCTTTGTACATGCAAAAATTACAGTCAAACATTCTTATCTTCACAGCCTAAAATTACCAACTGTGTGCGTGCATGCATGTTTTTAAGGCGTGCATGTTTTTAAGGGGTGTTCCAGTGGTTTTGCTCTTGCTTTTGTCATGTTTGAAGAATGTGGAGCAATTTGAACCCAAACAGCTAGAATCCACAAGGGAGAGGAAGGTGGTCTCTTCAGACTTCCGCCTCCACCCCCTACTTAAACCGTCAATCTGCATTCAGAAAAAATTATTTCTGTTTTTGTCCTCTAACAGCTCATTAATCAAGAAAAAACTGGGACCTGATTGGTTCTTTTCAACTTTTAGAAAAAGATGAATCAGCTGATTCAGGAGTTGATTGAACTTATGATGTTTTTTCTGCGTTTTATTTACGTGATTTGACATTTAAGTGACATACAATTTTGAGTTGTATATTGCTCGTCAAACCTTTTACCTCTGACCTCCTCTTGACAGTCAGAGTTATCTGAGATCTGTTTCCATTATCCAGCAGAATTTTCTAGGAAAATGGCTCCATTAGAGGCGTCAGAATCCCCCTGGACGTCCTCAGTGTGTCTGAGTGCAGTAATGACTCTGCCGCTGCTCGATAACTCTGATGATAGAGCTGTTTACTTCCTCCATTAGTTGGGGTCAGCTGACCTGATCAGAGCCAATCAGAACACAGTACCACCTCCTCTTTCAGCAGGGCTCCACACACACACACACACACACACACTATACCACATCAGACAGTATTCTATGAACTGTATTCATAAAGTTCATCTAACAGTTCTGAGTTTTTGACTTTTAACTTGATGTGTTGTCCAGGAAACGTAGTTGACTGAGGTCTGTGACTTTTAGGTAAAACAAACATTTTATCCCCAAAAATCTTTTGTTCTGTCTGTTTTTTGTGTGTGAAATGGTCATCAATTTTTCTGTTTTTATTATTATTTTTGTTGCTGTTGCCCATCTTGTTTGTTTATTGTTGTTAATGTTGTTGGTATGATCGTATGTTGTTTCTGATCTTGTTTCTGGGGCCTGTTCTACGAAGCAGGATTACTGCTTAGCGAGGTAACTTCAAGGGTAAGTTCGGGGTTTCCTGTTCTACGATGCGGGTTCACTTCTTAGCGAGGTGAGTCTCCATGGCAACATACGCTGAACGGCTAACCTGCTCCGGGGCAGGTTAGGTTCCAGATTGAACTCACGGAGTATAAACCCCGCCCACTGACCAATGAGCTCTCTCGAAAAATGGCTTGTCCATTCTTGGAGGATCCTATAGACCTCGGTGCTCGCATTGTCCGAGGTGCACTCCGGCGTGCGAGAGTTTTCAGGGACTGCACGGACCCACTTACTTCTCCGGATGACAACCTTTATTAAAGGCTCATATGACCGACATATCACAAAAAAAAATGTAAACACGATAGGAATGAACAAATGAATGAATTCATCTTGGAAATGAACGGGCATGGGCTGCGTGATCACAGACAACATCTCGGTACTATTTAGTAGCAGCGCACGCCCCTTATAATAACCCCCGTGAAAACTGTTGTTCAGGACTGCTTACTTGTGCTTCCTACCCACTGTAATAACCGTTGTTCCAGCCCACATGCAGCATTTTTGTTCTCATTCGTGAAACACTTAAATCGGGGACATTTTCAGGGACAGCTTTAGCCGGGGACAGATCATCCAATTCGGGGACTGTCCCCGGAAATCGGGTACGTCTGGTCACCTTAGTTAAAAGTGCAAGTTGAACAGTGCTATTTCAGGGTGATAAAGGCATCAAAGATTCATTTTCTGCCAGCATTCCTTCCGCGCTTTAGCAGAGGCGACGGTGTTGCTTTTGAGGTTTATGATAGATTTGAATTCTTCATACTTTCTCATGATCGTCTCCTACTCCTCGTTTGTAAAGTACGCGGTCCTTCGCTCTCCGGCTGGCTCTGACGCTCCAGACTGGTCCATGTTCACGATTGGTCAGATGTTGCAGGCTCTGCCTTACATGCATGCACGCGCTCATAGCAAAGCTGGATCCACTTACGAGGTTGTTAACCAGCGTCTTAAGACCGTTTAGCGAGACCACTGGCTACCGCGCTAAGTTGAGCGAGCTAGGTTGAACTTGCTTCGTAGAACAGGCCCCTGGTCTTGTAAGTTTTTGTTATTGTTGATCCATTCACAAATCTTTCTGGGTTAGATGTCATTGCTGTTCTTGTTGGTGAGTTTATGTTGTTGTGATTCCTGTTGCTGATCATGTGGATTAGTTGCTTCTGTTGTTGATCTTGTTAAAGATCAAGTTCGTAAGTTGTTTTTCTTAAGGACCTTGATAGTGAATTTATCGTGTGGTTGATCCTGTTGGTGGGCTGCTTTTGTTATTGTTGATCTTGTTGCTGATCTTGTAAATAGGTTCTTACTGTTTTAAGTCATGTTGGTTTGTTGTTGAGTTGTTGATCTTGTTGCAGATCTTGTTGGTTAGTTGTTGATCTTATTGTTGATCATATTAATAATTTTTTTCATGGTTAAAAGTTGTTCTTGATGATCCTGTTTTCGGTCTTGTTGGTAAGTTCAGTTGGTTGATTTTGATCCGCTGATGATCTTATTTTTTGGTTGTTGTTGTTGATCTTGTAGATCTGAGGCCTGTACTACAAAACTGGATTAACACACCCAGGATAATTCTGCCACAATTCAACTTCACCAGATCTCCGTAATCCCGATCAGCTGTACTACGAGGCAGGATAACTAGCTAACTAAATCCAGTTGTGGCCAGTCTAGATCTGTGCACACACACGTAAAGGGGGTGGGGGTCAGTGCCACCGGACCAATCTCCACAATGGAGAAGGCTGTGTGTCATATTTCACAGCTGAGGAACAGAGCATTGTTTTACGCAAATACTAGGAGTACCGCAACATTATAGTGGCAAGGAGCAAGACATATTTGTACATATTTCAACATGTAAATAGTGATTTCCTCACACTGCCTTGATGAGGAGCTTTTTTCTTTTTTCTCCATCATCTGACGGTCACATGTCATCTGTGGACACATTTGGGGTTAAGAGGAGTTTTCTAATCTGCTTCAATAAATTCTAAATGATGACTGTTATCCTGCATAAAACTTGAACTTGGAGCTTGGCAAATATTAGTGCATTGCTTAGACTTCATGCTACCTGAATATTGAGGCAGTCCGAGGAAAACCTGTAACGTTCATAGAGAACGTCATCAGGTAAATCAAACGGATTTGAACGATCATGAATATAGTGCTCTCGGCAAAGCGTTACTCTCATGATCCATGCACCAATGTCCACGGAATCCGGCAAAAGTGGGTAAGTCATTTTCCAAGAGATCCGATTGGTCAGTGGGCGGTCATTTATACCTGCTGAGATCTCATCCTGAAATATAACCTGCTCCGGAGCAGGTTTTGCGTTCTGTGTAAGTTACCGGAGCAACGGACCCGGATAGAAAGAAATCCACCTTGGTAGTACGGAAAACCCAGAAGTTATCCAGAAGTTATCTTGCTAAGATCAAATTCAGCTTCATAGTACAGGCCTTTCGCGGGCTAGTTTTTGTTGTGGATCTTGCAAGGAGGTTCTTTTTGCTGTTGTAAATCCTGTTATTCAGTTGTTGTAAAGTTAGTCTGATGTGTCTGATGTTGTTGTTGATCTTGTTGTTTTGTTGACGTTGTTGACCCATTTTCTTTTCACTTTGTCCCTCCAGGGATCGGCCTGAAGCCGTCCATGCGAATGAGTTTCCGCTGACATCGAGGTGTGTGTCAGAGGTGAGAGGTCATGATGACAACGGTGGCCGCCGAGTTCGACCACATGGAGCTGCAGCAGCATTACAGCAGCAATGACACAGTCAACAATCGCTGGGATGACGACTGGGATAATGAAAACAGCTCAGCCCGTCTCTTTGAACGCTCTCGCATCAAGGCGTTGGCAGGTGAGAGCCCTGCCTCCTTTTAGATACCACCTGACCTGACCTATGTGACAGTTAGCCAAGTCTGGAGACAGATAACCCAGACTTAGTTTAAGTTTAGGCTAACATACTCATCAAACTCCCCAGGAAACGTTTGCAGTTTTTCATTTGTATTTAACCTTTATTGAAGCAGACAGTAATCTACCGTCACCAAGATACTGTACATGGCATAAAGGTGACCCGATAATGAGGTCAAGTGTTCATAAACATTGCACTACGGAGACATTTCACTGACAGCAAGCTTTGAAAACAGTGATATCAGACACTCCTACACTATAAAAAACACACTGACTAAACGACAGTAACACTGCAGACTTCCCATGATGCATCACTCTCTGTTTCAACACTGCAATGATTGTTCTGAGCTCAAGATTAAGTTGTGGGGATCAGACTCAACACAAGAGGGCAGCAGAGTGTCATCTGAGCTCTGCTGAGGAAGCAAACATCAGCCTGAAGCCCTTCATTTTAACTATCACATGACCTGACACATACAGTATAACATTACTTTCTGTGGTGGAATGCTCTCTCTAGCTGTCAATAAAATGTCTGCAGAGAGCAGGATCTCCTCAAACTGCATTCCTATGACATTGTAATGCACCAAACCTGTAAGAACTGTGTCAAATCTTGATATAGACATATTTCATTTAAATCATTTAAAGTAAAAATTTAACTTAAACAACATATCAAATGTTAAAGAGAGAAAAATGTATTGTCTCATTACAAATATCTGCTCATTTTAAATTTGATACCAGCAAGATGATGGTAAAGATTTTTCAGAGGAACAACCAAGCAGGTAAAAAGTTCTTAAAAGAACAACCAAACAGGTAAAAAGTTATGTAATGCTAACAGCTGGAGGAACATCTCCAACGAATGAGGTTGATATCCAACAGGTTAGTAACATGACTAGGAATAAAAAGGACAATCAGAGAGGCTGAGTCTCTCAGAGGGAAAGATGGGAAGAGGTTCACCACTCTGCGAGAGACTGCATGAGCTAATAGCTCAACAGTTTTTGAATCATGTTCCTGAGTGTCAAATGTGAAAAACTGATTAGATTTCATTTTCTACAGTACATAATATCACACAAAGATTCAGACAATCTGGAATCTTTGTTCAAAAGGGACAAGGACCAAAACTGAAGATCCTTAGGCCTCAGGCAGCACTTTATTAAAAAATGACAGGACTCTGTAGAGGAAATCACTGCATGGCTCAAAACCCCCTCCAAGAAAACCTGTCAGAAAGGTTTGCTTCTGCAACACAACTGGACCTGAGCCCATTTGAGATGGACTGGAAAGCTGTCCTGTAGTCTGACATTACTTTAAATGGATAAACAATGGATTTTGGATTTTGGATTGAGACTGTGTGTGTGTGTGTGTGCGTGCGTGCGTACGTGCGTGCGTTCGTGTGTGCACAGGATGTTTGTTTCATACTTCCTGTCCTTCAGTCAGGAATGTGGAGGAACAATGAAGGGAAATCCCACACCCCCATTTCACACCCCCCTGATAACATCATTGACAAGCTTTAATGCTATTGGCTGACTGTTAAAGCTGTGCTTCTCTAAAAACACATTAAGACACTCTATACACTGTAAAAAAAAAAAAAAAACAACTCAATGCATTCATTTAATCACTAAATCAGGAAACTGAAAAAAATTATGTCATTCAGCTCAAGAGGACTAAAATCTGATTGCATATAACTGCAAAAAAATGATTTTCAAGTTTTTAATTCCAGTTAACTACTCAAACTCCAAGATCAGTTTGGATTTAAAAGTTTATGCAAAAGATTACAAATGAAAAGTCTGTCTATTTACAAAAGATGATTTCCCCTTTATTTTGTTTAAAAATAAAAACAAAAATGGCTCCTAACTTTTATCCATAACCACAAAATGTTTCTCTTTAAACATTAAAACTCTCAAAGTAAATTATCTTTGTTACTTTGTGAGATGTTCAAGTGCTTGCCTGAAGCTGGGAATTTTGAACTTAAGATTCACACGTCATATTTGCACAATGTAACAACCCCCCCCCCAACCCCACCCCACCCCCATTTGCAGTGTGTTTGTGTGAGTTTGTTTGTGTGTGAGTGTTCTGGAGGCAAACGGAGAACAATCAGTGCGAGCAGGAAAACTCGGCAGAAGAAGAATGATTGGAGTGTAGGGCAGGGCAGGATACACACACACACACACACACACACACACACACACACACACACACACACACACACACAACACACACTCAACACACACTCATCCTGCAAGCGTCACTTTGACCCCTGGACTTTCTTTCTCTCTCACCTCCTGGCACACGCGGTCGTCTCTGGGAGTTAATTTGTGGTTTTCAACTCGTCCGCAGTCAGAGAGTGCTGTCAGGATTTATTTGTTAGATCTGAACTTAATTTTGAAAAAGTTTGCTCTCCCAGTTTTTATCTTATTTTGGACTTTTAAAAATACTTTTGGCCGTGTAGCTCCTCTCTGGTCAGCGTGGCCTCTCCTGGTGTTTCCTGCTCCTGTTCCTGCTCATGGATTAAAAAGTGAAACTATGACTTGGATGTTTTCTGCTCAGCCCGCCATCTCTGAGCTCTGCGTTGGTTGATCTTCAGGCTTTTCTACCTGTCAGTCTTTGCCTTCCTCTGAGCTTTGGTTATCTCTGTGGGTGTTGTTGGGGTTAGGACAGGAATGGAGGAGGAGTGGTTGCCAATTGACCCATCTCAGCAGCAGCCAAACTACAACCTGCTGGAGGGTCGATTCAAACAGCTGCAAGGTAAGGAGAGAAGAAGAAGAGCTGACCTGAGGGGTCAGAGGTCACAGAGGGAGGACAAAGAGCTGACCAGATGATTGCAGGATTTATTCTGACTCTTAACTAGGTTTAAATAAGTGAGTGGGTCCATAGAGGGGAGTGTTTCATGGGTGGAGTTTGAGAAAATGAATGTGTCCTCATTCTGCGGCAACAGAACATACAGTCAGGAGTCAGAGATAACAAAATTAAAGTCAAAATATAAGTAATATTACAGTTACTGAAGTATAACTAAAGCTGCTCTATATTCATAATTTTTGAACAGGTGACTGGCTGACGGTACAATTTCTTTTAAAACAAGAGCAGCAACAAAAAAAACCTCAAATTTGTTACGCCTTGAGAGAAACAACAGCTTTACTCTGGAAACATCAAATCTTCACATAAAAAAAAAAAAAAAGATCTTACAATTAAAATTATTACTTGGAGTTATGTGACATAATACCTTTATCCTAAATTTATAGTGGTTTTAAAAATAAAGCAATGTTGTCCCAAAAACCATACTTTATTCCAACATATGATAACTTTATTTTTAAAGCAAAATGACTTCTGGAAACACAATGACTTTTTATCATGAAAACATGGTGACTTTATTTTGGAATCATTATGACTTTTTATCACTGAAACGTGATGACTTTATTCTGGATACATAAGGACTATTCTGGATATAACGACTTTTATTTATCATGGAAACATGATTACTTTATTTTGGATACACGATGACTTTGTTCTGGTTTCATTTTGACTTTTATACATGATGGCTTTATTCTGGAAACAAAATAACATATACATATGAGTCCAAGATAGAGCCATGTAAGAAAGCACCTCATTTTAAAGGCGTGGCGGCTTTTATTTAGCCATGGCGGTGCGCCACGTTCAGTTGCATGAAGGGGACACCCTGCAGTTTTAGATTCCAAGTAAAGTAAGACTGGACTTGAAATAGAATGCACTGATCACAATTTTCTGGCCGATCACCGACCTATTAAAAAGCTTGACCTGCCGATACTGATTTTTTTTTTTTTTTTAGTAACTGACAACATACACCTTTGATGCTTCACTTTTATTGTAATGAAAAACATTAACCAAGACTTGTGAAACAATACAAACTTTGTTTGTTATAACTGCACATAAAATAATAATCTACAGGACAAGCTAACAACACAACCCTAACCACCAATAAACTGTCCTGAGTTTTAGGTTTCTTTGTAGTGAGTTCAATATGCTTGGTTGATCATGCTCCGGATGACTGTTTTGTGTGCTGCTAGCGCTGAGGCACGCGTGTGTGTGCACACGTGACCTGGTGGGCGGGTCTGTCATTTTGGCAAAGCAAAAAGCTACAACGGCTGACTTTTGCTGAGGTAGATAAGATCGGTGGATAAAATTGGTTTCACATGCAAGGATCAGCTGATCACTGATCCCCCAAAATTAAGGATACTGCTGGCCGATTTATCTGTGCATGTTTAGAAATTTGTACAGGTCAGAACTTTTTGTTCACATTTTTAGTTGTGATCTAGTGCAGTGGGCAGAGCCTAAAATAATGATGTCAACGGTATCTCTAGGGATGCCATTGGCCCGTCTGTGTTTGCCCCATAAACAGGAGTAATGATCCCCGAGTGGACAGCCCGGTTTGTTTCTGATCTGCAACAATGCTCCCCCCACTCTCTTCTGCCATTTTCTGCTTGGTCTGTCGTCCAAAGGCAAAAATCCCAATCCAAATATAAATTATAAAGAAAAAAGGCGTTTCTGTTGGCCAGCCTTGATCAGAGTGACACAATGTTAAGAGTGTTTAGTTTCTTAACACAAGAATTTAGGTAGAAGCACTGTGATGTTCAGGGGGAAGCACCATAACTCAGAGGTCTTAGAAAAGGGCGAAACTTTATGATCCTTTCAGTGAAGTTTGTCAAGCTGGATCCATCCACTAATACTTCCTGTTTCCTTACTAAAAAGAGCTGGAGAGAAGCATGTTTTTGATTTAGGACGATGGCACTTCTGGTCAGAAAGTAGTAAAAGCAATGACGCATTTTACTATGTCATTTTATTGTGGTGGGGAAGTCTGGAATTGGAGAAGGGAAAACTTAACTATTTCAACACCACCAGATATTTGGTGTTCAGTGAGGCTGAAGGAGATGATGAGCTGGGTTGTTTTTCAGGAAGATGATGAGTTATGATCGCTGACGGACGTATGGGCTGAGACTTTTACTGCTTCATGTTTCTGAGGATGTCACAAACATGTAATATTGTCATGGAAACCAGAACGGAATCACTCTGTGTGTTTAAGTCACCCTGCAGGAATGCGACCCCGCCTGTTTTTGATTGGTTGATACAAAGTGAAGACATCATGCTGCTGCTTTTAAAGTGGACTTCCTGTGACTGATGATGAATGGGTTTTTCTTTCAGTCAGCCTGGACGCCTGATGACACGTGACCACAGGCTGACCAATCAGAAGAGAGCAGGAGTTGATGCAGAGCAACAGAGGAGACAGTCTCAGGTTTAGTTTTGAGGTTCAGCAGGTGTGAGAAAGAGCTTTTATTTTATAGGACTCAAGGTGAGCTTCCAGGACTTAGTTCTGGAGGATGTTGTGGTTACTGACCTTTGACCATGGTGCCTTGAAGATAAATTCTGCAGAATTTATAGCTTAACATGGTGACAGTGAAGGCATCATGAGCTGCTAATGAATGAATCAACTAGGAGAAGAAAAAAACTCACTCAGCTCATTCAGCTTCACCTCTTTCTGAAGGTCATTTCAGGGGAAAAGGAGCAGGGAATTTAAACGCCTCTATCCCATCTCACTTCTGACCTTTGAGACTGACAAGCAAACATCCTGGGATTGAGGGGTTTTAGTTTCTGTACTCTTCTGTTTGAAAGTGGCGAGACTGGTCTCTGTTTTGACTCAAAAGAAAGGGAGAGTTTGATCCTGGTATTAAAATACAGGTTCAGTTTTAGCCTTCTCACCAGCTATATTCAGCAGCTTCTGACCTGCTGTATGCTATATGTGCAAGATTTATCAAGTAAAAACACAAAGATATCTGTACTGAGGAACAAACTCAATCTGTGGGACCTGTGAAGTGTAGATTAAAGGCATATCTGAGAACTCAGATTTTGCTTTTAAAAAACAGCATGAATTTTTTTTATCTGCATTTAGAACAAGTCTTAGAGTAGCTGCTACCTAGGTATTAGCTAAGGGGATCCAAATAAATAAACAAATACTCATCAAAAGTTTGTTGACTAGTGTAAAATACAAGCTGTAACTTAGATTTACTGTAGCTTTGTCTGAAGTAGGTGCAGAGCAGTATATCACAGCATCATCTGCATAACAATGAAAGGTTACATCAGCCATGTTTTGATTTAAATCATTAATGCAAAGGGTAAAAAGCAGTGGTCTGGACAGCAACACTTGGGGAACTCCTTTATGCCACTGCAAGAGAGCTAGAGGTGCAGCCTAATACCTGTACACACTTGAGTCCTGTCTGTCAGGTGTCAAACTAATTGACTGCTGAGAAGGACCTACTCTGACCAGTCTTTTAGGCTAGATCAGTTGATGACAGATACAGCCTCTGATTGAGCCACAGACCAAAACAAAGATGTCAGCTCTGTCCAGCATAGCTAACAACAGAGCTGACATTGATTCACTCAAGTTACTCTATAAATCCTCCCAGATTACCTTTGTTTTTTTAAAGATGTTGGATTGGACTGTGTTCCAAATGCTCAGTTTTTCTATGTGGGATAGAAAAACTGCTGCTGGTACCACAGAAACACTCAGTTTAGAGCAATTGTTCCTGATTGATCAGCGATTTGGACATAAAAAGAAGTTACCAAAAGTTACATGAAGTGCTTTTCATGTTGATTATGTTGATCAGCTCTTCCTCCTTTCCTTTCAGATTCATCGATATGACATAAAAAAATGATAGTTTGATTGAAGTGATAGTTTCCGGTGATATGTCTTTAAATGAATGGCTTTCATGCTGATAGCTTGTTTTCAAGAGAGTTGTGACCTTAAATATGATTTTCTCCCCTTCTTACATAATAGATGTTCCAGTGTATCCCGTGCTAAATGAGGTTAAAACAAACAAAGCAATGAAGTTCCTTTCCATACCATTGAAAGGATTCATGCAGCCCTGATCATGGTGGACACTAGTAGACCTCTGGGTTGTGAACTCCAGTGCTATTATTAAATATATAATAAACTCCCTGTGTTTCTCTTTCTGTGTGTGTGTTTAGATGAGCGCGAAGCGGTGCAGAAGAAGACCTTCACTAAGTGGGTTAACTCTCACCTGTCCAGAGTGTCCTGCAGGATCACAGACCTGTACATGGATCTGAGAGATGGACGCATGCTAATCAAGCTGCTTGAGGTCCTATCAGGAGAGAGACTGGTACTACAACATACAGAATACACACACACACACACACACAGACAAACAACCCAATTAACCCTAACCCTTTCAGGTGTAGAGCGGAGAGCAGGGGGAAAAGCAGGAGGAGGCAGGCGTGTGCATCTGTGTGTGTCTGAAAAGCCAGGGGACAGGATAAGCAGAGAGGCTGTGGTGATCCCAAGCTCATGACATCATTCTGAATCATAATAAAATATAAGTTTAAGTCTTGACCTATGAAAGAAATTTATATCAAAGCTTGCAATAGCTGATTGTAAGGTACGCAGCCTGGGTGATTTAAAAAAAAAAAAACAATATCAATTTTAAATCAAAATGATTGTAATTATGCATATTGTCGTAATTGGGCAGCCCTACTTCAAACTGGCAACCCTCACACTTCCTGAGGGACTGCATTTAACTGCAGGACTTCCCCAAAATGAATGTGAGAATAATCAAGGAGAAAGATGAAAAAAATGAAAAAAACACGGCACCACCAGCTTGGCTTAAGTACTTATATATCGTTAGCGAATGCTAAGCGTAGCAGGTGTTTACATAAAGAATGAAAGGGGGTCAGTTATCTCTTGAGATAGTAGTGCAGCACACAGAGACTGGTCAGAGTATCAGAGGACGAGGACTGACTCTGTCCACTTCTCTGAGTCTGTGTGTGTTGTGTGTGTGTGTGTGTGTGTGTGTGTGTGTGTGTGTGTGTGTGTGTGTGTGTGTGTGTGTGTGTGTGTGTGTGTGTGTAAAGAGAGAGGAGAGAGAGCGAGCTGCTCCAGGTGTGTCCCTACTTCCTGTTTTCCTCTCCAAACATAGAATCAGATTGAACTGGTGGACTCTCTGACCTGATACCCACACACACAATAACACACACACCAGATAAGGGATGTGTGTGTGTGCTGTGGCTAGAGACCAAGGACTTTCTGCTGATCTCTCTCTTCCTGTGCTGCATTCAGGGGCAGAAGGCAGTTGTTTTTTCTTACATCCTGTTAAAACCACAGCGTGTTTTCACTCTCTCTTTTAGTTTCTGGGTCTTTTATTGTGAAATTTTTCCATCAGACCCTTTGTATTTCCTCCTGATTCTACAGAGTCTGATTGTCTTGCAGCAGAGGCCCTTAGAATTTAAGACACCCCTACCCGAATTAGAACCAACTACAACCATGTTTTTTTTCTTTAGCGGGTCACCCATTAATAAAATGGATTGTTGTGAAATTGTATTTTTTCTATGAATGAATAACAGGACTTTATGCTGCACCTGCCACACTTAGCAATGTGTGAGTGTGATTGACTATGGTACTCCCAAAACACAACAATGGATATTCAGGGAGGGTTAAGCCATGCCAATTCAGAAGGAATTTGACTTCAAAACCTTTTTATTTGGTAAATATCAAAAAGTAAAGTGTTGTGCCACAATGAAAATAATGTTTAATGACTCCAGAGAAGGTGTACGTCTAAAGAAGTCTAATTTGCAATAAGCTGTAATAGTTGTCTCCACACAACTACTGTTTTTTGTTTAAATGCAGGAACAGCTTATTTGACATAAATGTATGCTTATTTTGGTAAATCAGGAAAGGTAAAGGAGTCCTCACCACAAAAGTACAATTTCTGCCTAAACTGAAAGTATGTTTAAAGGACTGTATTTCAGTATTTATATAGGTAAATTACATTCTGACTGTTTGGTGATGTAATAATAATAATAATGCATCAGATTTCATGTAGCACTTTATCAGAGACCCTCAAAGCGCTTTACATTGGATACATCATTCATTCGCTCACACAGTCACACTTTGGTGGTGGTAAACTACCTTAGTAGTCACAGCTGCCCTGGGGCAGACTGACGGAAACGGATGTAAGCTAGACACCTAGTTCATACCTTAGCAAATTTGATGAAGAAAAGAGTGAGCATTGTCAAGTCATAGGCTTTTTTGGATGTTTGAAGAACTGTAGCATCATGGCCATCCTCTGACTACCTCTCTCTTGTTTCTTCTTCTGTTTTTATTCCTGCGTCCAGCCGAAGCCCACCAAAGGCCGGATGCGTATCCACTGTCTTGAGAACGTAGACAAAGCTCTACAGTTCCTGAAGGAGCAGAGGGTTCACCTGGAGAACATGGGATCACATGACATTGTGGATGGGAACCACAGGCTGACTCTGGGCCTTATCTGGACCATCATCCTCCGCTTCCAGGTAACAAACAAACAAACACACACACACACACACACACACACACACACACACACACACACACACAATACAATACAATACAATACAATACAACTGTGGTGTGATTTTGTCTCCAGATTCAGGACATCAGTGTAGAGACTGAAGACAACAAAGAGAAGAGATCAGCTAAAGACGCTCTGCTGCTGTGGTGTCAGATGAAGACAGCAGGGTGAGACTCCTCAAACACTCCTATAGAGACCCAGACTGCTGCAAGGTGTTTTTTTGCAGACTAAAATACTGGAGATGAAGGCTACTAAGGTCGCCCTCTAATGGACATGGGAGAGAGCAAACTATCTCATGTAGTCTAGTTTAACTTAATCTTAATGATATCCGAGATTAAACCAGGTGTTTATGTCCTCAGGTATCCCAACGTGAACATCCACAACTTTACGACCAGCTGGAGAGACGGGATGGCCTTCAACGCCCTCATACACAAACACAGGTAACACCTCCATCTACAGATACCTGAGGACAACTACATCCTAATCCCAGGTTTATCTAATTTGGTGATCATTTTAACACCACATCCTTTTCAGATTATAAATATTGATGGTTTGTTGTTTCATAATCCCAGATTTTCTTATTGCTGCTCTTTATTAATACCGGCACTGTAAGGATTTATAAAGGTAGTAAACAATTAAGAGATATCACATATCTGATATGCTATCATAAATGTCAATTTTTATCATGGCACCATTCAACTTTAATCACCGTCTGTTTGTTGATGTCTGTGTAAAGAAAGATTTGAATTCGATTTTCAGACCTGACCTGATTGACTTTGACAAACTGAAGAAGTCCAATGCTCACTACAACCTGCAGAACGCTTTCAACCTGGCGGAGCAACACCTAGGCCTTACAAAACTGTTGGATCCTGAGGGTGAGAGCTGGATCAGTTTAACCTGAACTTCAGGTTGATTTAACCTAAACCTCATGCTAACTAAACTTCAACTTCAGATTTAAATGATCTGATCTGAATGCTGATTAATCCTGACATCAACATCAGAGAACTTTAGATTAACTTTAACCTTACCTTGATTCTGAGAAACAGGCATCAGGATCAATTATAGCTGAATCTAGAGAACCAAACCTGATCTTAACATCAACTAAACCTGGCATCAAGATTGATTAAAACTGATTTTAGAGCCAAGTCTGGCATCCTGATCACCAAAACCTAATTTTAACATGAATTTTTCCTGACAAGATCAACTAACCCTGACCTAAACCTTGACTTGACCTGTACTCAAGCTGAGTAAACCTGACTTAAACAATGACTTAACTTGCATTTCAGATCAACTTAACTTGAACTGAGGATGATCAGACCTAACAGTGACACCAACTAAACCTGACAGTGGGATCAACCAAACCTAGTCCTAAAATTGACTTGACCTGACCTCAAGATTAATTAAACCTTAACTCAAGATCAAGTTAACCCAGCCCAAAGGTAAACTAAACCTTATTTCAGCACTCACTGAACATCAGACACCCCCCCCCCCCAATACACATTAGGCTGCTCAATCTGGGTTTACTATGAGACAAGCTCAACTAAAAGCTCACTCAAAATCAAGAGATCAAAGAAACCTGACCTGGTGATCAACCAGATTTCACTTGAAGATAAATTGAACATCACCTTCATTGGAGGATTCATTGTGTCTTTCAGATTTAAAAACCCGTTATCTAAGAATCACTAAACCTGACACCAATATCAATGAAATGTGATATAAATATTTTCTTAACCAAGCCTTGAGATCACGTGAGCCCGATTTGATCAACCTAAACTAGCCTAAAGACCAGTTCAACCCAAACCTCAGATTATTTCACCCCAACTCAACATACTGACCTAGAGGTCAACAAACCTGGCTTTTCTTCTCAAGATTGACTGATGGGCACCTAAAGATAATCTTAATAAACCCAACACATTGAAACAGGATTGAAGAGGGAAAATAGACTGACTTAATATCTTAATTCATCAAGTAAACCTTATACAGTGCACCCGGAAAGTATTCATATCACTTCATTTTTTCCACATTTTGTTATGTTACAGCCTTATTCCAAAATGTATTAAATTCCTTTTTTCCCTCAAAAATTATACACAAAATACCCCATAATGACAAAGCGAAAAACTTTTTTTAGAACATTTTGAAAATTTATTAAAAATAAGACACCCAAATGTTGCATATACCTAAGTATTCACACCCTTTGCTATAAATCTCAAAATTGAGCTCAGGTGCATCCTGTTTCCACTGATCAGCCTTGAAATGTTCCTCCAACTTGATTGCAGTCCACCTGTGGCAAATTCAGCTGATTGGACTGAATGGAAATGATGATTTGGATGAAATTGGATGATTTGGAAAGCCACACCTGTCTATATAAGATCCCACAGCTGACAGAGCATGTCAGAGCACAAACCAAGCTATGAAGTCGAAAGAATTGTCTGTAGACCTCCGAAACAGGGTTGTATCGGCGCACAGATCTGGGGAAGGTTACAGAAAAATATTTGCTGCATTGAAGATCCCAAAAAGCACAGTGGTCTCCATCATTAAGAAATGGAAGACGTTTGGAACCACCAGGACTCTTCCTAGAGCTGGCCACCCAGCTAAAATGAGGTCGTGAGGAAGAAGGGCCTTGGTCAGGGAGGTGACCAAGAACCTGATGGTCACTCTGACAGAGCTCCAGCGTTCCTCTGAGGAGATGGGAGAACCCTACAGAAGGACCACCATCTCTGCAGCACTCCACTAGTCAGGCATTTATGGTAGAGTGGCCAGACAGAAGCCACTCCTCAGTAAAAAGCACATGACAGCCCGCTTGGACTTTGCTAAAAGGCACCTGAAGGACTCACAGACCAGGAGAAACAAAATGATCTGGTCTGATGAAACGGAGATCGAACTCTTTGGCCTGAATGCCAATCGTCATGTCTGGTGGAAACCAGGCACCGCTCACCACCTCGCCAATACCATCCATACAGTGAAGCATGGTGGTGGCAGCATCATGCTGTGGGTATGTTTTTCAGCGGCAGGAACTGGGAGACTTGTCAGGATCGAGGGAAAAATGAATGCATCTTCCAGCATGACAATGACCCTAAGCACACGGCCAAGAAGACAAAGGAGTGGCTTCAGGACAAGTCTCTGAATGTCCTTGAGTGGCCCAGCCAGAGCCCAGACTTGAACCCGATTGAACATCTTTGGAAAAACCTGAAAGTAGCTGTGCACCGATGCTGCCCATCCAACCTCACTGAGCTTGAGAGGATGTGCAAGGAAGAATGGGAAAAGCTCCCCAAATCCAGGTGTGCAAAGCTTTTTGCATCATACACAAGAAGACTAGAGGCTGTAATCGCTGCCAAAGGTGCTTCGACCAAGTATTGGGTAAAGGGTGTGAATACTGATGTATATGCAACATTTGAGTGTTCTCATTTTTAATAAATTTGCAAAATGTTCTAAAAAAGTTTTTCGCTTTGTCATCATGGGGTACTTTGTGTAGAATTTTTTAGGGAAAAAAAGAATTTAATCCATTTGGAATAAGGCTGTAACATAACAAAATGTGAAAAAAGTGAAGTGGTATGAATACTTTCCGGATGCACTGTATATACATGAAGTTAAGTGGACATTTATACCAAGGTTACCTGACATTTAGATGATAAACCTGTAAGTGAAATCAAGTTTTACCTGATGTAAATATTTAGTAAAGACAGGCCTGACCTCAGGACTAGATAAAACTGAACTCAGAATAAAATAAACCTGAAATTTATCAAGGATCAGGTTAACCAACATGAGGATCTGGTTAACTTGTCACTTAGATTGAGTGAAAATGAAGTTGAGGTAAAATAAACCTGAACAACAACAAAAAACTCAAGCTCATGTTAACCTGATGTTAAGAAAAAAAGTGACATTAAGATCCAGTTAACCTGGTGAAAAGAAAGAAGTACTTATCCTGACATTAGGATGAACCAAACCAGACATCAAACCTGCTTAGCTGACTCTTCATTATAATTTGTATTCACTCTTGTGAATGATTTGACCAAGAATCTTGAAATGAAACATGTTAATATTTTTGTCTAAGCTGTTAAAACTGTCTTTAAAACAAGAAATTAAAACATTAAACCAATCTTTGCTGAAAACTGTATTAAATGGAAGCTGGTCAAGAGAAATGTGAAACCTTAAAGATGAGTTCAGATGTGCTGTAATTATCTTTTTAACTTGATTCCTTGTGTTTCAGATATCAGCGTGGACCATCCTGATGAGAAGTCAGTTATCACCTACGTAGTGACCTATTATCACTACTTCTCCAAGATGAAGGCTCTGAAGGTGGAGGGGAAAAGAATCGGAAAGGTCAGAAAATTTCAAAAACTTCATCTTAAGTTAAAAAGCAGATGTTTAAAGTGACTGTTCAGCTGTAATTAAGTCCAAATAAGCATTAATATGCATCAGTATGAGAGATATCTTAAACTCAACTCAACTCAACTCAAACTTTATTTATAGAGCACTTTAAAAACAACCGAAGCTGACCAAAGTGCTGTACAGGTCAATAAGACACAGCGAAATACATAAAAGCTACACATACGACTGCAGTCCAAACAGAACTCCAGCAGCTCTTTATCATGAAGACGTCATCCAACGTCTCTGTTTTTGTGTCCAGGTGTTGGACAATGCCATTGAGACAGAGAAAATGATTGAGAAGTACGAGTCTCTGGCCTCAGACCTGCTGGAGTGGATCGAACAGACCATCATTATCCTCAACAACAGGAAGTTCGCCAACTCTCTACTGGGAGTGCAGCAACAGCTCCAGGCCTTCAACACCTACAGGACCGTGGAGAAACCTCCAAAGTGAGGACCTGAAGCATCAGCAGCAGCATGTTTCAGCCATTGTGTTTGTTTTGGAGTTTTGCACATGCTCTTGACGTTGTGTTGTTTCTGCATTTGAAGCACATTTCTCTCGATCAAACGCATTCAGACCTGATTATTGGCCCTTGTTGGCCACTATACAGGGGCGAGGGTAGAGCAAAAAAAAGGAGGCAGAATATTTTCCCAGAAAGTGTATCTGCCCTGCAGGCTCCCTTACTGGGCAGACATCAATAGCATGTCAGCCTCTCTGTGCAGGAGGTCTATGTCATTGATCACCTGAACCTCCTGATGATAAATACCAGAGACACACCAAACTGCCTCCACTGATCATTTCAAAGCAAAAACCATCTAATACTCTATACATAGGTTAATACCAATTTTTTGTGTCTTACTTTGACAAATCTTAGACAGAGCCTGTTAAAGCCATTGGTACAGGGATTCTCCTTGTCTTGGACCAGATGCACCCCAGCAGAGCAGGAAGCCTGGATGTTCTGGTTTATGTCAGAGACAATTTTTATGACCTACTGAAGCTATTTTCAATAATTTTGGTTTTTGGGAGCTTTTGGAGCTCACAGACTAATGCAAAACTTCATCTTTCCTAGTGTTTATTCCACACCTCCTCGTCTCATATCTTCCTTTAGACTTCCTCTTCTCCTCCTGAATCTGTTGTAAATCTGTCCCCTTTCTTCAGGTTCACAGAGAAAGGAAACTTGGAGGTTCTCCTCTTCACCATCCAGAGTAAAATGAGAGCCAACAATCAGAAGGTGTACATGCCCAGAGAGGGAAAACTCATCTCAGATATCAACAAGGTGAGAGCTGCTGTCAGACATCACCTAGCAAGATAGTTTTCTTACTCTGTCGTGGTCTACCTCAGCTCACCTTCAGCTCACCTGTGCTCTCTAAACTGGCTTATAATGGTGTCATATAACCAACAGTCTTAATGGACTAAATATTCTGTTTGTTAGGGTTGATAAGTTCTCCAATAAACAAATCTCTTGTTAGGTATTTTATGTCTTTCTAATGTGGTGTTGGTCTGTAGGCCTGGGAAAGACTGGAAAAGGCAGAGCATGAGAGGGAGCTGGCTCTAAGGACAGAACTGATTCGTCAGGAGAAACTGGAACAGCTGGCCAGACGCTTCGATCGTAAGGCAGCAATGAGAGAGACGTGGCTGAGTGAGAACCAGAGACTGGTGTCACAGGTAGAAAAGAAGCTTGCAGCCTCTCTTTATGTACTCATTGTTCCTGTTTTATTGTGACTACATCATAATCACATGACTGTTCTGTCATCCTCTGCCTTCCAGGATAACTTTGGATTTGACCTGCAGGCTGTTGAAGCAGCCACCAAGAAACATGAGGCAATAGAGACAGACATTGCAGCATATGAGGAGCGTGTCCAGGCAGTGGTCGCCGTGGCAAAGGAGCTTGATGTTGAACATTATCACGACATCAAACGCATCACAGCCAGAAAGGACAATGTGATCCGGCTTTGGGAATATCTGCTAGAACTGCTGAAGGCCCGTAGGCAAAGGCTGGAGATGAATCTGGGCCTGCAGAGGGTCTTCCAGGAGATGCTGTACATCATGGACTGGATGGATGAGATGAAGGTACCCATGAGATTGCTGTTGGGTTTAATTCCTGAACAGATGAGGGTCCAGAAAGTGTTGTGGTCCATGCTAACTGTTGATATTTTATATTGCAGATGTTGCTGCTGTCTCAGGATTATGGGAAACATCTGTTAGGGGTGGAGGACTTGCTGCAGAAACATGCCCTGGTGGAGGCTGATATTGCTATCCAGGCAGACAGAGTGAAGGCCGTCTCCACCAATGCCAACAAGTACTCTGTCAACGATGATGGTGAGCAGCATGGTTTTCCTGTTTGAGTTTCTGAATGTGTTCTGCAGTCAGGACTTCAAGATCCTATTTGGCCAGAAGCCAGACCACCTATCAGATCATGACTGAGTTTACCTGTTAATGTTTTGTTAAGCAAACCAAAACTGTTCATTTCTGATAAAACTGTTCTCCTGTCTAGGCTATAAGCCCTGTGACCCACAAGTCATTCAGGACCGGGTCTCCCACCTGGACTTCTGCTACCAGGAGCTGACCCAGCTGGCAGCTGAGCGCCGCGCCCGCCTTGAGGAGTCCCGTCGTCTCTGGAAGTTCTTCTGGGAGATGGCTGAAGAAGAGGGCTGGATCCGTGAAAAAGAACAGATCCTGTCCTCTGTTGAGCACGGCAAGGACCTGACAGGAGCGTTGCGCCTACTCAGTCAGCAGCGCGCCCTAGAGGATGAGATGAGTGGCCGTGCAGGACACCTCCAGCACTCTATCGCCGAGGGCCAGGCCATGGTGAAGGCTGGACACTTTGCTGCTGCAAAGATCCAGGATCGCATCAGTGACCTGGAGGCCCAGTGGACGGCACTGGAGCAGCTGGCAGCTGTGAGGAAGAAGAGGCTGGAGGAAGCCCTGGCTCTACACCAGTTCCAGGCCGACGCGGATGATGTGGATGCCTGGACACTTGACGCCCTGAGGATCGTCTCTAGTGGTGAGACAGGACATGACGAGTTCTCCACCCAGGCTCTGGTCAGGAAGCACAAAGACGCAGCAGCAGAGGTGGAAAGTTACCGACCAGTCATCGACTCCCTGCATGAGCAGGCCGCCTCCTTGCCCAAAGAGGAGGTGGAGTCTGAGGAGGTGCGTGGTCGGCTGGCTGGTATTGAGGAGCGCTACAAGGAGGTGTCAGAGCTGACAAAACTGAGGAAGCAGGCACTGCAGGATGCTCTGGCACTCTACAAGATGTTCAGCGAGGCCAATGCCTGTGAGGTGTGGATCGACGAGAAGGAGCAGTGGCTGAACAGCATGGAGATCCCTGAGAAACTGGAAGACCTGGAAGTCATCCAGCACAGGTAAGACGACTCCATGCTGTACACCATTGGGAGACTGTCTGTCTCTGTCCATCAGCACTATGCTAATGTGGAGGTTGTCCAATTAGGTTTGAGAGTCTGGAGCCGGAGATGAACAGCCAGGCGTCACGTGTTGCTGTGGTGAACCAGATCGCACGGCAGCTGATGCACAATGGTCATCCCAGTGAGAAGGACATCAAGAGCCAGCACAATGGTCATCCCAGTGAGAAGGACATCAAGAGCCAGCAGGACAAGCTAAACAACAGGTAAGCAGATGCTAAAAACCTACCTGAAGACAGCATGAATCGTGAAAGTTCTTCCTCTGTACTTTGATGATCCTCTTTTCTGCATCTAGGTGGAGCCAGTTCCGTGACCTGGTAGATCAGAAGAAGGAGTCTCTAAACTCAGCTCTGGGTGTGCAGAACTACCACCTAGACTGCAATGAGACCAAATCCTGGATCAAAGAGAAGACCAAAGTCATCGAGTCTACCCAGGAGCTCGGTAATGACCTCACTGGAGTCCTAGCCCTGCAGCGCAAACTGACCGGTATGGAACGTGACCTGGCTGCCATTGAAGACAAACTGGGTGATCTACGGGGTGAGGCTGAGCGGCTGGCAGAGGAGCATCCAGACCAGGCCAAGGCTATCACAGGCCGGCTGGCTGAAATCAGCGCGGTCTGGGAGGAGATGAAGAACACTCTAAAAAACCGTGAAGAATCCCTTGGTGAGGCAAGGAAGCTACAGCAGTTCCTGCGTGAATTGGATGACTTCCAGTCTTGGCTGTCCCGCACACAGACTGCCATTGCTTCTGAGGACATGCCCAACACATTGGCTGAGGCTGAGAAGCTCATGGCCCAGCATGAAGGCATCAAGAACGAGATCCAGAACTATGAGGAGGACTACCAGAAGATGCGGGACATGGGGGAGATGGTGACACAGGGCCAGACAGATGCTCAGTACATGTTCTTGCGTCAGCGGCTGCAGGCACTTGACACTGGCTGGAACGAGTTGCACAAGATGTGGGAGAACCGGCAGAACCTCCTGTCTCAGTCCCATGCTTACCAGCTGTTCCTTAGAGACACTAAGCAGGCGGAGGCATTCCTCAACAACCAGGTATGCATGAGACCTTCACCACTGTGCAAGAGAACCTGGAGTTTCACCTGTAACTCCAGGTTCCTTACCCCATGTCCTTGAACCAGATCTGGAAGACACCAATACTCTAACTCCCAATTTTCACCGCATCCAGAACAGCTCCGATCTGGAACGGCGTTGATTTTTGCCGTCCGCCAATTCCTACCGGATCCATTGGTGAGGCAAATTTGTGTGGCAGATTAAGGACAGCGGTTATCACAAGACCACACAAGAACCTGCAGATTCATGTGCAATCGCACGATAGCAAATAGTCTCTATAAAGACAGCCACATAACTATGTAAGCAGTAGATCGTGTCCTTCCAGAAGAGGAAATCCACCATTAGACTTCTAAAATCAGCATTATCACCTTATCACCTTATCCATGGTGTCATCATGGTGAAATGCTGTCTATAAACCTTTCACTTGTATATCTCTGCCTGTTTGCTGGTGTGAATTACGATCTTCCTGAAACACAGAGTGTTTTATTTTGAAAAGAAGCCGGATGTTTTATTTTGTGTCCGTGCCCGACTTCCTTTCCAGAACAGGTTCATCTGTGCTGAATTTATCAGGCACGCTCTTGATAGAAATAGAGCTGTTGTGATCAGCTGCAGAGTCCGGCGGTCCACAGCGGAACGGAAAGAAGCCGGTGGAAATTGACACATTAACTTGAATGGTTACAATCAGCTGCAATCGGTGGATACGGCCTTTTCATAGCCGTTCCGGATGCAGTGGAAATTGGGGGTTCCCTGACAGATCTGTTACTCCCCCTGCCTTGGCTTTTCACATAAAACAGAGGCAAGGTGTGCTCTCCGCAGTCTTTGGCTCTCTACAAACACAAGAGAGAAGACACGGATCCCTCCAAAAAGGCTATACCACCAAATTTAACTTGAACTGTTGTGGTTCTAACTAAACTTTGATTCAGTCAACTCAGGATCATAACAATAGTCCTGATCACTGCCAAACCTTGTTTCTTCACCCTGTAGGAGTATGTCTTAGCTCACACTGAGATGCCAACCACTCTGGAGGGTGCCGAGGCTGCCATCAAGAAGCAGGAGGACTTCATGACCACCATGGATGCCAACGAAGACAAGATTAATGGAGTGGTGGAGGCTGGCAGGCGTCTAGCCACTGATGGGAACATCAATGCTGAAAAAATCCTAGAGAGGGTCACCTCCATCGACGACAGGTGAGACACACAATCAGCTACTGTAACCACAGCAAGGAAGGCAGGGTCACGAATCATTTGTTTAAGATGTTAACTAATTGGCTTCAGAGTCCATAAGCAGGGACCCCTTCAGCAAATCAGTGGGCAGTATTGTGTCAGTGTTGTGGTTTTTTTTGGTATTTCAGGCACAAGAAGAATAGGGAGGCTGCAGTGGAGCTGTTGATGAGACTGAAGGACAACAGAGACCTGCAGAAGTTCCTGCAGGACTGTCAGGAGGTTTGTCTATCCGTCCACATAAACACACCTAAACACCTTTACTACATCAATTTGGCATGTTTTTTGGTATGTTTTTCTATGGTCGGTGCATGAAATCATACAGAAATAACTCTCTCTCTCTTTCTTTCTGGGTGTGTCTGTGTTTGCACATGCAGCTGTCTCTGTGGATCAATGAGAAGATGCTTACAGCTCAGGACATGTCATACGATGAGGCGAGGAACCTGCACAGCAAGTGGCTGAAGCACCAGGCCTTCATGGCTGAGCTGCAGTCCAACAAAGAATGGCTGGACAAGATCCAGAAGGTACAGCAAAACCCTGAACTGGGTCTAAACTTAATCCATGTCTTGGGGAAAAAAAGTGTTTAATTGGAAGTAACTTTTTTGGCTTTTAATGACACAAGTCAAAGGTGAACTCAGAATGTCAGCTCAGCATATATTTATTTTGTGTCTGTGGCCCAAGGTCATTTAAGTCTTGTGAGCTTATTCTGCAAAATCTGATGCTATAGATATTGTATTTTGTGTTTTTAAGTTTCAGCTTCGATATTGAATCACAGATGATTCAATAATCAGCAGTTAGAAAACCTCCTTGAAAACACATAACAGTTTGTGACAAAACAGCTCTGACATATCCGTCAGAGCACAGAGTTTGAGAAAAGTTAAAAATCCTGTTCCTGTTCCTACAGGACGGCATGCTGCTGGTATCTGAGAAGCCTGAGACTGAGGCTGTGGTAAAGGAGAAGCTGTCAGCGCTGCACACCATGTGGGCAGAGCTAGAGTCAACCACACAGACCAAAGCTCAGTGTCTGTTTGACGCCAACAAGGCAGAGCTGTTCACGCAGAGCTGTGCCGACCTCGACAAGTGGCTTGGAGGTCTTGAGGGTCAGATCCAGTCCGATGACTATGGCAAAGACCTGACCTCTGTCAACATTCTGCTGAAGAAACAGCAGGTACAGATGGACCATCTGCAAACAGTGGGAGGAGTCAGCTGTCAGACTGACATTATTTAGTGTTATAACCACTGCTATTGTGTGCAGATGCTGGAGAACCAGGTAGAGGTGCGTCAGAGGGAGGTGGTGGAGCTGCAGACCCAGGTGAAGGCTCTGGGTCAGGAGGTGAAGGATACAGACGAGGTAGATGGGCGGAGGCAGGTGGTGGAGAAGAAGTTCCAGGAGCTGCTGGAGCCACTGCGACGCCGCAGGAACTTCCTGGTGGCATCTAGGGAGGTTCACCAATTTAACCGTGACGTGGAGGATGAAATTGTACGTAATATGGGCTCCCAAACATCCTAAAAAAGTCTTGAACTAGATTTAGAAAATGACATGTCATAGGTTTTTAAAAAGTTGGGACACGTTTTAATCTTCTAACAAATCCGCATCATCCAGACCAGATGGTGTTTGTTTGTTTTACTGTTTTTCTATTTGGTATTTGCTTGCCTTTGTGACGAATACAGCAGATACAGCGTCTTATTAAGTGCATATACCCAAACCTATGGCACAAAACAGAAAGGGAGAAGAAAATGAGATCATGCAAGTCCAAGAAAATTTGTGATCAGTATGAAAACATAAGGATTAAAAGACCAGCAGGGCAAACACTGAGAGGCTTCCTGCACAATCCGCCACCCCTCAGCAGATGTATTCCCTCATCAAACATTTTCCTCATAAATTTATGGTCTTGATTTCATAATGTTCGGTTTATGGTCCTTTTACAGTCACACAGAGCAGAAAGCAAGAGAGGAATTAGACACAGGAGACAGGAGACCTGGGATTGTACATTTTGAAGCTGGTTTCAGAGTTTTTCTGCGTTTCCATCCCACAGCTATGGGTTCAGGAGAGGATGCCTGTGGCCACTTCTACCGACCATGGGCACAACCTGCAGACTGTCCAGCTGCTCATCAAGAAGAACCAGGTGAGAGAACCACAGCAGTGTTTAGGTAACAGGAGGTGTCAGGTGTCACATCCTGAGTCATGACAGTGAAATAACTAAGGATCACCTAATTCATGTTACCTGATCTCTGCAGTGTCTCTTTAGCTCATTTCAGCCCCCAGAAACAATCAGTAATCACTTTAACCATGTGACTTGTTGTGACTCCGCCCCCTCAGACACTGCAGAAGGAGATCCAAGGTCATCAGCCTCGCATCGATGACATTCAGGAGCGCAGTGCGGGCCTCCTGGGGGATGAGTCCTTAAGTACAGTGGTGATCAGGCAGCGTCTGGCCAACTTACAGGAGCTGTGGAGTCAGCTAAAGGAAGAGACGGAGCGCCGCCACAGCCGCCTGGAGGAGGCGCACAAAGCTCAACAGTACTACTTCGATGCCGCTGAGGCTGAGGCATGGATGAGCGAGCAGGAGCTGTACATGATGTCAGAGGAAAAGGCCAAGGTACCCACCTGATGCTGTACTCAGAAAACAAACCCAAGGTGCATTCTGACCAAAGAAGTACTTTAGTTTGAGCAGCTTTTCGAAAAAGAACTTTGGGTTTCTTGTGTCTCACTGTTACCTAAGCTTAGGCTTGAAGTCCAGTGGGGATTAGGCAAATCAGGTCCATGACAGGAAGAGCAAGTCTATGACAGTTCTTTGGTACATGAAGTTAAGGTTGCTAAAAAAATATCCCTGGGAAACATATTCTTATCTGAGCCTGTTTAAAGGGATTTTCCGGTGTAAATTTCAGTTATGGTCAAACACACCGTAACACTGAGTTAAACACCCCCTCGAAAGATGAATGTTGCCGACCGCTTGCTTCTCTAGTTATACCAACTTTAGTAACAACCGCAGGATAGCAATACACAGTCATCAACAAACCTTAACCATAAAGCCACTCTATAACCACAAATAATGCTCAGAACAGCAACTGACTTCATCAACAGTACATATAGGGTCCCACTCATAGCACTAGCCACCACACATCTTTTTAACTTAGCCTGATTTCTTTAGCAAAGAGACTAAACACAACTCACCTACTCTCTTCCAGCAGCTGCTTGTTTGTAGAGAGACCTCAGGCCAGTCCATTGCGAACTACAGTGGGGTGACGCAGCTCAAGGATGAACATTTATGATGCTTACTTTTATCATTTCCTTGAAGTAATAATCACCATAATAATCATTTTGCACTGCAGACGTGGTAGTTCTTCTCCCTTAGCGTCTCAGTCTGATTGCATCTCCATGAGGAAATTATAATTTTTTTCCATTTGGATATTAATCACAGATTTTGAACACTCATATCAACTGTTATAGTTGCTGTCAGTACTGTGGGCTGAAAATGCCTTTAAATTCCTCTCAATGTTGTATCAGGACGAGCAGAGTGCAGTCACTATGCAGAAGAAGCATCAGATCGTGGAGCAGTCAGTGGAGGACTACGCTGAGACTGTCCATCAGCTGTCCAAGACCAGCAGAGGTCTCGTGGCTGATGGGCACCCCGAGAGGTATGCACATTACTGGCACACTGACACACAAACTGAGACACACAAAAACACACTAGAGATCTTTCATTCAAAGCTAATGAATGTCTGAAACCAAGATTTTAATACTTCAACTTCCCCAGTAATTTCTGTTTGTGTTTCAGTGAACGAATCAGCATGCGGCAGTCTCAGGTGGATAAGCTTTATGCAGGACTGAAGGACCTTTCAGAGGAGAGGCGGGGCAAACTGGATGAGAGGCTCCGCCTCTTCCAGCTGAACAGAGAAGTAGACGACCTGGAGCAATGGATCGCAGAGAGGGAGGTGGTGGCCGGGTCGCATGAGCTAGGGCAGGACTACGAGCATGTCACTGTAAGTGCTATTACTGAAACTACAGTAGATACTACTATACAAAGTACTTTACTGTACATGGTGATAGATTTGCCTTTCCCTTTCCTTACATTCTCTGGGTACCTCAGCCCAACAACCCTGAGAATGAGGATTAAGCCTCTGTATTGTTTCTGTGGTCCACCTACCATAAAAACATTAATTCTACAGCGTAAATTGACTTTGTATTTTTTTTTTTTGTATTTTGTTTATTTAGCACAGATTAAAAACAGTGCAAGGAGGGAACGAAGCCGATGGGCTTATACAGAGTTCCACTCCCGTCAGGTCAGAGAAAACATGAGGTGCGGACAACTAAGTACACAGACTGGAACACAGACAAATCAGCAAACAGTGATAAAGAAAATAAAGTATTTATAAAAAGGAAAGAGATATGATCATAACAGATAATGATGTATTTAAGACATGATCAGATGAGATTTTAATGATATTTTAAAGGAGTTAAAGGATGATATTGATTTTGGAGATGCATCAAGATAATTCCACAGTTTCGGACCTCTAAAAGTGATGTTAGACTGATGACTAGAAGTTCTACATAAAGGTAACTGAAGATGGCCATTTTGTCGTGTTGAGTACGAATGAAGGTCAGATGAAAAGGTAAAAAAGTTTCGGAAAGTTTCAGGAAGGGCTTGTTTGTTGTTGATGAATTTGTGGACATATAAACAAGAGTGAAGGACATTGAGTTTGTCAATTGGTAAGATGGAGTATTTAGAAAAGAGAGGAGCAGAAGGTTCGTGTTTGCTGGATCGTGATATCATTCTTATGAATCTTTTCTGGATTATTAATATTTTCTTGAGGTAAGTTGGATACGTTGCACACCATACAATGTTACAATAGTTCATGTACGGGAATAGAAAGCTGTAGTACAAAGACAAATGAGCAGAGGGATTGATCAGGGGACAGACCTTACTAATTATACCGAGGCTCTTCATTGACCTTTTGCATACTTGGCTGACATGAATGTTCCACTTTAGACCCTCATCGACGACAACACCCAAAAAAGTGGTGTGGGGTACTTGAGGGATTCCAGTACCATTAATTGATATTTTGGCTTTTTCTTTTGGATAAGATTTGTTTTTGTTGCTGAAGATCATGAAATTACATTTTTTTATATTAAGAGTTAGCTTATTAGTCAGGAACCAGTTAGCAACAGAGAACAATTCATCATTCACACGGGCAATGAGAGTCTCAAAGTCAGCATGGACATCTATGAAACAGGTGTCATCAGCAAATAACAAGGGGAGAAGGTTATTACAGGACATAGGTAAGTCATTGATATAAATTAAGAATAACAGAGGACCGAAGATTGATCCCTGAGGGACCCCAAAGAGAATACTGGATTTAGTGGATGAAGCACCATTTAGATGAACAAACTGTTCTCTATTATCTAGATAACTGATCAGCCAGTTGAGGGCAATATTCTGGATTCCATATCTGTTAAGCTTTGAGATGAGGATTTTGTGATCGACAGTGTCGAAAGCTTTGCTTAAATCAAGAAAGACACCAAGGGCAAATTTTTTCCCATCTAGAGCAGAGGAAACAGTATTAACAAGTTGCAGCAATGCATGCTCAGTTGAGTGTTTTTTGCGGAACCCGTATTGGTGATTATACAAAACATTATTAACCGTCAAGTGGTCGGAGATTCTCGCATAGACTAGTTTTTCCAAGATTTTGGAAAAACAGGGTAAAACCGATATTGGGCGATAATTGCCAAAATCTCTTGTATTGCCTGATTTAAATATTGGAGTAACTTTGGCAATTTTGAGATCTCGAGGGACAATACCAGACAGAAGGGATAAAGAGAGAATGTGGGTTAAAGGGTGAATGATGTAATCTATAGATTCTTTGACAAGACTGCTTTTAATACCATCGTGACCCTGAGCAGAGTCCTTTAAATTCCTAACAATGTCATGGACCTCTTCTAAACTGGGAGGATCAAAACTAGAGAGTGTTGAAAATGTGCCTTTCATGAAACTTGTGGGATTTACATCTGAGTCTTTCATGCTAGAAGCCAAAGAAGTACTGACGTTTATAAAGAAATCATTAAAACTCTGCTATGTCACTCTGGTCATGTAGAGGCCCATCCTTTCCCATCATTTCAACAGCTACAGTAGCAGTAGTTTTTTTTCGATTAAGTAATTGGTTGATGAGGTTCCAGGTTGACTTAATGTTATTGGCAGCTTGGGTAAACTTATCAGCATAATATGTTTTTTTAACCTTCCTTAAGGATGCAGTAAATTTATTTTTATATTTCTTATATTTTACAATATTTTCAGGAGTAGGATTGTTAATAGCTTTCCGATATAGTTTGTTTTTTTTACGAGAGTACTTTTTTAGTTCACCCGTCATCCAGGGTTTTCCTTTGGATGAGTTACTCTTCATAGCGGTGACTAGCGGAAAGCTAGCTTCGAGAATTGATTCAAATGTAGTTAAAAATAGCTGGTAAGCTTCATTAACATCTGATGAGTTGAGGACCTCATTCCAGGACACTGTATGGATGAAAGATTTAAAGGATTCCATGTTCTTTTTATTGTAGATGCGAGATTTGCTTTGCAGGTAGTCAGAGTTTTTGTGTTTATAATTTCCTTTAGTATGTCACTTCGCTCCTGTGGTGATGTAACAACAGGACTTATTTGCATAGGCAGGCATGCAAAACCACTCCCACTAGCACTGCCTAAGCGATTCCTGTCCCTTCTGTTTTTGTAGTTTTACTTTGAAGCTGCAGAGTAAAGTTACACACAAAAAGCGAGAAAACAGGAATAACACTCAAATTCAACAGTCCCCAGAGAGGTTTTTGGTAAGTGCTCCAGGAGAACATGGTCTGCATCAGTTCGCACCTGTAAGACAACATTCAGGCAGTCAATCGGTACAGTGGCTAGTTATCAGAACAGCCCAGCCCATTCAGATCACTATGAGGTTGGAAATCAAGAAGCTGCTGATCTTTTATAGAGGCTAAATTTGCAATGGCTTAATGGCTGCATTAAGAAAAATCCTCAAAAGACAACTAAGGCATGTTGTGAATAGCTGATATCCATGCTAACTTGATGTTTTGACACTATCAGGGCTGCTGCTGTAGCTACCCTTACTGCAGTTAAAATTTTTTGATAGTTACCTGACCTTTGACCTGTTCTCTTAGATGTTGCAGGAGCGCTTTCGGGAGTTTGCGAGGGACACCGGGAACATTGGTCAGGAGCGTGTAGATGCCGTCAACCGTCTGGCCGACGAGCTGATCAACACTGGTCACGGTGACGCTGCTACAGTGGCAGAGTGGAAGGACGGGCTGAATGAAGCATGGGCTGACTTGCTGGAGCTCATCGACACCCGGACACAGATCCTTGCCGCCTCCTTTGAGCTTCACAAATTTTACCATGACGCCAAGGAGATCCTGGGACGCATCTTGGACAAACAGAAGAAGCTGCCTGAAGAGGTGGGACGGGATCAGAACACAGTGGAGACGCTACAGAGGATGCACACCACCTTTGAGCACGACATTCAGGCCCTTGGTACACAGGTCGGTCACTTCAATCCTGGTATACAGTGACATGTTGAGTCAATGTTGGATTTATGGGGGGGGGGATTGAAGACATGTTTGATTAATGTGGACATGTCTGTTTTTGTTAGTATGGGGGGATGGGGGGGATGGTTGGTTTAGTGACACCACAAGGACTCATTGAAATAATTGTTTGTATTATTATCCTCTGTGACCTTTGACCTCTGCGCTGCAGGTGAGGCAGCTGCAGGAGGATGCTGTACGCCTACAGTCAGCATACGCTGGTGACAAAGCTGATGACATCCAGCGGAGAGAGAGTGAAGTTCTCGAAGCCTGGAGGGTCCTGCTGGAGGCCTGTGACGGGCGCCGGCTCCGCCTCCTGGACACTGGAGACAAGTTCCGGTTCTTCAGCATGGTGAGAGACCTGATGCTGTGGATGGAGGATGTAATCCGACTTATCGAGGCCCAGGAAAATCCCAGGTACCTCAACCCAAGCCCCACTCTAAACCTCGAGACAGCTGCTGCTGGCAGGACTGGCTCATGAAGTCCAATTGATCTGTTTCATATTGTGTTCAAGGATCTGTAGAACTTAAATTAATGTGTGTTTCATGTGTTCAGGGATGTGTCATCTGTGGAGCTACTGATGAACAACCATCAGGGCATCAAGGCAGAGATCGATGCCCGAAACGACAGCTTCACTGCTTGCATCGAGCTGGGGAAGGCCCTTCTCGCCAGAAAACACTACGCTTCAGAGGAGGTGAGCAAGAATCTTAACAGGCAAAATATTAAAATCTTTAGAAACGGCACCTCATTGTGAAGCTTACTGCTAAGTAACATGCAAAGACCCAGAGTCCTAATATTTAGAGGTACAATAAAGCCTAGGAAGCCTTAAACTGACTACACCAGCAACAACCACTGGTTAAACCTCTAAGATAAGATAAAACAAGACAGGATAAGACAAGAAAAACTTTATTGAGACTTTATTAGACTACTATTAGACTCTTAAAATATGTAAAAATGGGGCCCAGGTTTAGAGCCAGGTATTTTCCTTTTTAAAGGCTTGCGCGGAAATCTCTGGTTTGAATGTGTAAGTTCAATCTGATTTCATGTTTCATATTTCTGGGAATTGTCTGTGTGTGTTCAGATTAAGGAGAAGTTGCTGCAGCTGACTGATAAGAGGAAAGAGATGATTGACAAGTGGGAGGACCGGTGGGAGTGGCTAAGACTCAGTAAGTCTCACACACACACACATCATGCTATACTGTATTGTATGATTTGTTTTGTGATTGTGTGATGTTTTTTGCCTGGACCCCTGGAAGAATAGTATCCACTGTAGTGTAGACTAATGGGGATCCTTAATAAACTAAACTAAACTAAACTAAACACATACACACAGTCTGTTACTGTTCTGTATAAAAAGTCACAGCAGTTTGATCAAAGCGGAAGTGATGAGTTGGTGGCAATGTCAAGTCCTCTGGCTCTCTCTGCTCTAGGTTTCCCTGTACAGAGTTACAAAAGGTACAGAAATATGACACTGTTAAAAAATAAGGCAAAAAAGTAAATATCAGGTGGACTAAATGTGAGCCTGTTTGTACCAATTTGGTGACTCAACAAGTATTTTAAGCCCCTCAAAAACCTACGTCCTGTTTAGAGGTAGACGTGTTGCCACTTAATGAAGACTTATAAAATTAAATGGAAATCCAAAATATGCATCATGTGACTTTATTTTGTGCCTAACACATCTTTCTCAAACACAAAAATGTGATGACAGTGTGTGAACACATGGTGGTAGTGGTTGTCCAGCAGCAAAATTAGCTTTAAATTATCTGTTACTTTAAAAAGTAAAAGCACAGGGGCATGCAAATGGCAGAGCAGGTTAGCACGCCCCCTCTCTTTCTGTCACCCTACATTTCACCCTGTTCTGTCAATAAAGGCTAAAAGCGCCCAAAAAAATACTTGAAAAGAAAGAAAAAGTAAAAGCACAAATATAATCTGAGATTAAAAAAATCCTGCAGTTAAAAGAGCTCTGAAAGCTCACATGGTTCATTAAACATGATTTATTCTGCTCTGCTGCTGCTTTGCTTAAGAATAAGAAGAACTTTATTGATCCCTGAAGGGAAATTCAACCCCGTCAATCGAACACTGTCTCTAGACTAACTTGTCTCCGATTGGCACTGCTCCCCTGTCTCCCCTATCCAGTCCTAGAGGTGCACCAGTTCTCGAGGGACGCCGGTGTGGCAGAGGCATGGCTGCTGGGTCAGGAGCCGTACCTGTCCAGCAGGGAGATGGGTCAGAGTGTGGATGAGGTGGAGAAGCTCATTAAACGCCACGAAGCCTTTGAGAAGTCTGCTGCCACCTGGGAGGAGCGCTTCTCTGCTTTAGAGAGGCTGACTACGGTGAGCTAGGAGGGACAGAAAAGTTTTTGTCTGGGCTATTTGGAAGACTGTGGAGTAGAGGAGGGCATTTTGGAGATGGTGATGATAAAGCCTCTCTTTCTGTCTCCAGTTGGAGCTGCTGGAGGTGAGAAGGCAGCAGGAGGAAGAGGAGAGGATGAGGAAGCCACCAACTCCAGAACCGCCTGTTGTCCAGCAGGAGGAGCCTCAACAACAGAGGTCAGAAGTCATCCTTCACTTTAACACCGTCAGTTATCCTCAGTGTCCCTAACAGTGTTTTTTCTCTCTGCAGCGGTGTGATCACTCAGAACGGACTTCCCTCAGACCAGGACTCTCCTCGGGTCAGTATTCTCAACACATCTGGTGTTAATCAACAGACATAAAATCAGAGTCCAGCATTGAAAGCAGTCTCCTGTTATTTCTACTCAAACTGAATATTTAAATCTGCAGCTCAACATGCACAAGGCTCATGCTCTTATATGGGCATTAAAGGGGTATGCCCCCATTCTAGGTAAGAACAGTGAGCAGGGAACCTCAAATGTCTGTGGACATGCCATTCATCAGTTTAAGAACACAGTTGTCGACTATCCAGCAGTTTAAAACTTGGTTCATGAATTTGTCATCACTCAGTGTTTAAACTTCTGTGCTCACCCCTCTCAGGATGGCGTGGATGGTGGCGAGCTTGTGAATGGCGTTGCTGAACGTAGCTCAAAGGAGCCAAGTCCTGGCGCGTCCCCGACCTCCGGCAGGAAGAGCAAAACCAGCCAGTCGTCCACGCTGCCCTCCAAGAATCAGGACTTGTCCTCCCAGCTGGAGGGGCTCCTCTACCGCAAACATGAGTGGGAAGGGCATAACAAGAAGGCCTCTAACAGGTAACAAAGATCCTTTGCTGCAGTAGACCTCTCACTCTGCAGGTTTTACTCTGTCTTTCTATGAGGATGTTTTATTCTTTTTCAGACTGATCCTTTTATCATTCTTAACCAGTTGATTTGTTTACTACTCAAGTAAACACCAGGTATAGAACTTAAATAGAATTATCTCTGCCTGTGTTTGGTTCATGTGTTTTATTTATTAGCTGCTCCTTACAGGGGTATGAATAAAGTTATTTGGTTTGACTTGAATGTGACTGTACGGCACTTTAATTGCTAGGTCATGGCACAATGTGTACTGCGTTATCAACAACCAAGAGATGGGTTTCTACAAAGACAGCAAGGCAGCCAATCAAGGTGTTCCATACCACAACGAGGTCCCCATCAGCCTGAAGGAGGCAACATGTGACGTGGCCTCAGAGTACAAGAAGAAGAAGCATGTCTTTAAACTCAGGTGAGCCTCAGGTTTACTGTAGTGAACTGAGGTGTGGTTTAAGAGGAGATACAGAGATTACTAACAAACATAAGTATACTTGACCGTCTTTGGTTTTCTCCTCTTTTTCAGACTCACTGATGGAAACGAGTATCTGTTCCAAGCCAAAGATGAAGTAAGTCTGACACTGTCTGTAGTTTAGACAAAACATCTCTGTCTGGGAAATTTAAGGGTTCTCTGCAGTATGGAAAAATAATTTTATAAGATTGTACTAGGGTTGGGCGGTATCCAAATTTTGATACTGTCATACCATCTCCACATTTTACCACGGTAACCGTCACTAATTAAAAACCATGACATAAGGCTCAGACAGCGTCACCAAACTCTAGGCTTGTGCCTACACTGTTCAGAAACTGAATACCTAATGCTAATTATGAAAAAATAACATCATAATGTGCACCATATTAACAATTTTTATTTGAACCAGCTTAAAAAGTGCACAACTGTCAAACAATTAAATTAATATAATCATCCAGAACAATTTTTGCGCAGAATGCATTTTTTCCACAGTGTGGAAGGAGACCATTTCCTTCGTCAAGTATTTTGTCACTGCATCGGTGCAGGTTTTCCCATGGATACAATCCCTTTTGTACTTCGTTATTTTCCCAAAGGCCCCCGTTTTTGTTGGCTGTGTATTAGTGGTGGTGGACTTAGTTGTTGTTGGACCTGCATCAGTATCAGCGGGAGGCGTTGAAACTACTACACTGAGTGAACTCACAGCAGTGAGCAGATGGTTGATTAGGAGATGCGTCCTTATGTTAAAAGTGTTTCCATCCCTCGCGGTCACCGTTTATTGACTAATATTTACTAATATTTATTACTATATTTAAAAAAAAAAATAATAAAAAATTTTTGCTTGATCTGTCTTACTTCACTCTCTTACTCAACTCTCCTTTTCTCCCTCACCCCTGTTAAAGTTGCGATTTAGGTGGTATCATTCAAGATTACCGTAATATATACCATACATAATATATTGACAGAAAGCAACAATCAGCCGTCTCTCAGCGTTGGAATTTTTCAGATTGAGCAAACTTTCAAAGAGTTACGGTATTGAGAAGCTGTGTAGTGCTCTGCCACTACTTCCTGTGTTTTGCAACGACTGCTTACCTCATATGGATACTACTACCATAGTAAATCCTATATAGGGGCATGCCCACAACTCTCAGCTTTCCAACACTGTTGAAATTTTTCTGATCAGACAAACTTTGACGGAGTTACGGTAATAACACTCCTGGCATACAAAACATAGCACCAGCGCTATGATGGTATTGAAACTAATACCGTTGCTTCTGAAAGACACCACCGGTATACCTTAACACCATATTACCACCCAACCCTAGATTGCACTAAGGCTGTGATGTCAAAATTTGGAAAAGATACTAGAATGACTGATCTGTTGGGTTTACTCTTTTGGCACCTTTCTGTCTGAGTGCCAAAGGTGCAGATTTAATGGTATAGAATATACCACATGTATACAGAATATATACATTATATTACATTGTTTAGTACATCAATGTCATTATCAATCACTTGCACTCTGTCACAGAAGAAATGTAGCCTGGGTCTGTGGTCTGGTTTTTGGAGATTGTCTCAGATGTGTCTTTGAGACTTAGGTTAAGACATGAATGTTTGTTCTGATGGGCAGTAATGGAGACAGTTCCACAAATAAATCAACAGTTCGGCCTCTTCTGTTTAATATTGCCAATGGATAAAGCTGGAGGTATTGGTGACTCTCTAGTGATGTTATCTGTGTGCACTGAAGGTCAAAACTAGAATGTTAGTTTAAAAGATTGATATGATCCTGTGTCCTGGGACCAGATAAGGACCCTTTACTGTGGAATGTGTGAGTGTCCCACAGGGTTGTCTTTTCTACATAGATGTGTCGGTCATGACAGCAGTCTGAAGGGTCTAATCTGTGAACATGCGTGCCAAAATTGAGCTTTAAGGAAAGGACTTCCTCTAAACAATAGCCAAAAAAGTCAACTGCTGGGTTTATAAAAGTGCACTTGATGCTCTTAAAAACTGATGCAAGTGATTCAGAATAGTTAAGGTTCAAATTAAAGCTGAAAGCAGCACTAAGCAGGCCCTCATATCTTCACACATCAGGGTGTGATCATAGACTGTATATAGAATGGATGCCGTCTGCCTCCTTGCTGGATGAAGCCACTCCAAGAACAGCTCCCTCTGGTGACAGGCTGCAATATACAGGGCTGTCTCAGAAAATTAGAATATTGTGATAAAGTTCTTTATTTTCTGTAATGCAATTAAAAAAACAAAAATGTCATACATTCTGGATTCATTACACATCAACTGAAATATTGCAAGCCTTTTATTATTTTAATATTGCTGATTATGGCATACAGCTTAAGAAAACTCAAAAACCCAACTCAAAAAATTAGAATATTTCCTCAGACCAAGTAAAAAAAAAGATTTAGAACAGCAAAACAAAATCAAACATTTAAAAATGTCAATTAATGCACTCAGTACTTGGTTGGGAATCCTTTTGCGCGGATTACTGCATCAATGTGGCGTGGCATGGAGGCAATCAGACTGTGGCATTGCTGAGGTGTTATGGATGCCCAGGATGCTTCAATAGCGGCCTTTAGCTTATTTGCATTGTTGGTCGTCTGGTGTCTTTCAGCTTCTTCTTCACAATACTCCACAAATTCTCTATGGGGTTCAGGTCAGGGAAGTTGGCAGGCCAATCAAGGACAGTAATGCCATGGTCAGTACACCAGTTACTGGTGGTTTTGGCACTGTGGGCAGGTGCCAGATCATGCTGGAAAGTGAAATCATCATCTCCATAGAGCTTTTCAGCAGACGGAAGCATATAGTACTCTAAAATCTCTTGGTACACAGCTGCATTAACTCTGGACTTCATGAAACACAGTGGATCAACACCAGCAGCTGACATGGCTCCCCAAACCATTGCTGACTGTGGGAACTTCACACTGGATTTCAAGCAACTTGGATTTTGCTCCTCCCCAGCCTTCCTCCAGACTCTGGCAACTTGACTTCCAAATGAAATACAAAACTTGCTTTCGTCTGAAAAGAGGACTTTGGACCACTCTGCAACTGTCCAGTGCTTCTTTTCCATAGCCCAAGTCAGACGCTTCTTCCATTGTCTTGAGTTCAGGAGTGGCTTGACCATGGGAATACGGCTATTGTAGCCCATTTCCTGGACACGTCTGTGAACAGTGGCTTTTGATACCTGGACTCCAGCTTCAGTCCACTGTCTTTGAAGCTCCCCCAAATTCTGGAAGCTGCTCTTCTTCACAATGCTGTTAAGGCTGCGGTCCTCTCTCTTGGTTGTGCAGCGTTTCCTGCCACATTTCCCCCTTCCAACAGACTTTTTGTGAATATGCTTTGAAACTGCATTCTGTGAACAGCCTGCTCTTTTAGAAATTTCTTTTTGTGTCTTACCCTCCTGATGGAGGGTGTCAATGATGGTCTTCTGGACAGCAGTCAGGTCAGCAGTCTTCCCCATACTTGTGATTTAGTTTACTGAACCAAGCTGAGTGTTTTTAAAGGCTCAGGGAAACCCTTGCAGGTGTTTCAAGTTAATTAGACAATTTAAGTGATTAGTTAAATAGCCTACTAGTATACTTTTTCATGATATTCTAATATTTTGAGATAGGATATTTGAGTTTTCTTAAGCTGTATGCCATAATCTGCAATATTAAAAGAATAGAAGGCTTGCAATATTTCTGTTGATGTGTCATGAATCTAGAATGTATGACATTTTCATGTTTTTAGTTGCATTGCAGAAAATAAAAGGACTTTATCACATTATTCTAATTTTCTGAGATAGCCCTGTACTATCCCGCCTCCGCCAGCAAAGCTTATGGGGCTGTTGACAAACTTTATAAATTTATTATACAGAACATAAATTTTTCTCCCCTCTGCTTGTGATTTTGACATGTAGTTATTGTAAGACTGGTTTGTGCTCAAGTCCTCTTTTTTCTGTACAGCTCCATTTTGAAAAGTTATTAGGGGGTTCATGTTTTCTATGATTGACACTTGATACAGCCTATGGGCGTATGAAGTTTACCTAGCTCACCCAGGGATACGCTGTTTGACCCAAGCATCATCACAGCAACTCTCGGCGACTCTCTCGCCAAATGCGTACAATGCTACTGTGCAAGTGGTGGAGTGCGTACAATGCTACTGCACGATGTTGGTTTCAGGAGGTGGAGAAAAAACACAGAATTACTGAGAGCTTTTTGGCTTCAAATCCGTATACCAGCAGAAGGCGGAACCAAGTTATCCATAGTATATACAGTCTACGGGTGTGATACATATCGGGGCTGGTGAATGTTGCTGTGGAGCAGTCACAGAGTTTGTTGCTGCTGTGAGGTTTTCATCAGAAAAGCAACCCAAATGGTGCTAAAGTTTTATGTTTTGAACTCAGCATCAAGTGTGAGCACACCAGGCCAAAGCTCATAAACACTTGTTAAGCCATGATTAAGTATTTGTGGGTCTGCCATGTCTCAAACTGTTAATACTGCTTGAATAGGAGAGGATTTAGGCGAGGAGGGAAACCAGCAGAGCAACATGTGAGGACACAAGAGCAGCCGTCATGGACAAACTGACAAACTAGACCCCGATGCTAATTGTTAAAATGGACATGTTAAATTTGAACTGTGACTGTGTGTTCTTGCCCCTTGCAGGAGGAGATGAGCACCTGGATCCAGGCTATCCTGAACGCCAGCACAGACTGCTCCAATGTTCAGGGCAGCCACCCCGGCACGCCAGTGTCCGGGCGTGCTCAGACACTGCCGGCCACTGTCACTCTGACCACAGAGTCAAGTCCAGGAAAGAGAGAGAAGGACAAAGAAAAGGAGAAGGAGAAACGCTTCAGTCTGTTCAAGAAGAAACAGTAGACAGAGAAAGAAAAGACAAGCGTTGTGCTTTGGTGAAACGGACTCCGACTCTGAAATGACACATTTAGCTTCTTTACCAACCTTTGGTTTCTCATCTACTGCCCCCTGCTGGAAAACAAGAGAACTGGAACCTGTTTCAGAGCCAGAGTCCAAGTGTGATCTGACTTTAGCTTCACTGAGGTCTGTAATAGAGAGTCAGAGCTGCTGTGACACCTCAGCTCCTCTCTGACCCTCATGATGATAGACTCAGTTTGTACAGCTCTGATTGTATTCATCAACAATCCCCTGTCATTTCCTGTTCCTAAAAAAGTCAAAGTTCAAGTATTCTAAGCCCTGATGTCTGCTCGAGGACGTCTGCAGAGAATTTACAGACACAAAGGTCTGAGAAAAAACAAAAACTGCCAAACTCTCAATCTGAGACGTCTTTAGCTCAGGTAAACACACTGTGCTCTGAATCATCCGTCCATCAGAGAGGTCACTCGTAACTGTGCGTTATAGACTCTGAACCATATGAAGGATCTAATTTCAAAATCACAGAAAAATCTTTGACATCATGCATGATGTCGCTCTGAACAGCAAATGAGGGAGGTTGGTAATGTTTCACCAAAGCACAGCGTTGGCTTCTGTTAGTGTTTGATGCAGTTTTTCTATATTTGGTTTGTGTTCTCGATGTGGTCGGGGTCAGCGGACAGGCAGGACAAACTCGTGCCACAGAGTGAGGGCAGCAGTTTAGCCCAGACGTCCTGAGGAAATGTCAAACATGCTCCTGTTGACTTCTGTGATTGGCTGTTTCCTCACAATGTCTCGGCACTCTCACTCTGTCTCTGTGACGTCAGCAGGGACCACACTCTTGTTTTTTCATTTTTTTCTTTTTTTTTTTTGTCTTTATTTTTATTTTTCTACTGTTTTGAACCAGGTCTGAATTATTTCCTCAATTTTGTGAGGGTGTCGTAAAAGACAACCTACATTCTTCCTCTGCCAGTGAGAAATTGGACCAACAGTGCTTTTTGTTCCTTATTTTTCTTATTTTCTGTTTCGTACTTTGCCACTCCAAACCTTTTTGTTCACGGTTTCAAATCAGCCAATCAGCTTAGAGGAGGTACCTGATGTAGAGATGTTCACTTGCATGCTTGGTCAGGCTCAGAGCTAGGCCTGAAACACTCACCTGAACTCAAAGTCTTCTCTTTTGTATCTTTTTTTGTCCTGATGGTTGTTTCAGTACAGGTAAGAAGATGAGTATGTATGATACACTCTTTACAGCCAGTCCATGTTGAAGGTGGGTGAACTGTGCGTCAGGTGAGGGCAGACAGGTAGTGGTTGCTTGCTCGTGGTTGGCTCTGGGCATGGCGCTGCGCTGTGTTGAGATTTCCTGCTCTTTGATACTCGTGTTGCTCTGCGTCACTGTATATCTATTGTACCGAACATGTATGGAAGTTAACGCCATCTTACTGCACAATCAGATCTCCATCTATAGGAATGAAACAGGAGCTGTCTGAGGCCCCCTATTTAAACTGAAATTAGACCATAAAGGCTTTCTCATGTATGAAACTGCACCTGTAGACTCTAAGCTCTCTCTCTCTCTCTCTCTCTCTCTCTCCCCCTCTCTCTCTCTCTCTCTCTCTCTCTCTGTCAAATATGTGCGATGTCATTAAAGCTTTTAAACTTTACTTTGCAGTGTCATCTTTTTCCAAGTCATTCTGTCAGATTTACCATCTTTTATTCAGTTCTATGCAAATACCTCAACGACAAAGCCTTTATCCTGTATTCTTTATGTCCAGCTGGGGGCAACTATTAGAAGTAAATTAAGGGCCAGAAAGCAAAGGAGGAGCTAAGGGAGACCTATTAATATGATGGAATATTTAAAAATCTTTTTTTAATATGTATAAATGTGGACTTATTTATTTATTTACATATTTAATTTGATCTCATGTAATATAAACATTTAATCTACATGTGAAGTGTCTAATCTTAATTTAAAACCCAAATGTTAATGTTTTAATGAAATCTTGATACTCTTCATATTAGGTCTAAACATTAAAATTTACATCTTAAATGTTGAATCTATATCCAAATGTAAATGTTCACTCCAGATCTAAAACCAAAAATAAAAGTATAACACCAAAATGTAAAATCTTTACGTTAAATGTAAGACAGTAGAAGTTTTCAGGGATTTTGTGAAATTAAACATTAAAATATTGTATATAACACTGAATTTTTTACCTATTTAAAAAAATTGAAATCTCAATCTTCTGAGAAAATATAAAATGTTAATCCAAAGGATGAGTCTGAACATAAAATCTATTAAAGTTGAAATCTAAATAGTTTACTTTACATTTAATTTAAAATCAGTATTTGATTGTAAACGTTGACCTCAAACAAAAACCCTAATGTAAATTCAAGGGAGGGGCCACTTGGTTAAAATAACAAGAGCAGTAGGGGATTTCTATTCTTTTTTGTATTGACACCATAATATGGTGCAAGGTGCCCAGAGACATAGATTTCACAAAGTTGAGGAAAATCTCACTGAAATATAGCTACAACTCCTTAGTCTGCAGAGCAAGCTTGAAACTTATAATACTACACCACAGAACAGATATCATGGAATTAGAACTGTAGGAGAATCTTTCCATACACTTAGTTTAAGAAATATAAAGAAATATAGAGTAATTATCTTTTATTAAGGGGATACAAATAAGCTGGGTTGGCCTACTTATGCAGCCCAATAACTGGGAGTTTGTAAGCTAGGCTGTTTTACAGGGACCAAAACGATCTGTCTGCTAGAACATTTAAAGCTAATCTCTGGGAGAGTTAAGACTAAACTAAACAAAGTGTTGAGTTTCAGAACAGTACAACACGTCATCATGGGTAGCCTCCTGGAGGAGAGATATGATGCACCCATGATGACGGAAGACTCAGGCACACACACACACTAGAGGTACAAGCAGTACACAATGACTGTATTCAGAAACACACCTGGAAGTATAAAAAGGAGTAGAAGAAAAGCTTAGGCAGGCTTCCCTCAGGTTTGATCAAGACTCTGTTTGTCATCTGTACTGATTTCTACATCTGTCTCCTGTGCATTGTTTGCTGAGTTTATGCTAAATTTTCCACTACAGTACCAGCTTTGACCTGTGTGTCTGTAATAAGTGCAGGTAAGGTATTTCACTAAGTTACAGTTGCCCATGTCCCAGGCAGAAAGGTGTATCCTTTTTTTTTTTTTTAATTACTGTACCCAGAGGAAATTTGAATGAAATTTAGCTGTCAAATAAGATTAAATCTGGAAAATGGAAAAAGAATGGCCAAAGAAGAAAAAAAAAAAGTGTTCTGATTTATATCAAACTTTAGGTCGCCCAAATTCTGTTGAAATTTTTGGATTGGCTCAGGCTTGTAATGAAGATGCCTCCTGGAAGCCTTGCTGGTGATGTGTTCACAGCACATCCCACCTGTGGGTGACTGCGGGTAAGATCTGGGACATGCTGGAGAGACTATGTCTCCCAGCTAGCTTGGTAATGCCTCAGGGTCCCCCGGGAAGAGCTGGATGAAGTGGCTGGAGAAAGCAAAATCTGGGCTTCCTTGCTTAGGTGGCTGGAGATGCATGAATGGATGGATGGATGGAAACCTTTGAAAATATAACAAGAGTGGGTTTTCACACTTTTGCATTGGTCAGACAATAAAACACTCATACACTGTACACGGTATACTGTACACACATGTTTATATTTTGCTATTTCTGTATGACTGCTGTCATTACAAACTTTAACCTTTGATTTAAACTACTACTATCACTTACTAGTAGTAACAACAACACTGAGGCAATTTGTCACAATTTCATCCTTTATTTTACTTTGGTAGTCTTAAAATGAGATCACAGAATATATCAGGTTCTGTGAAAACTCCACCATTCCAAACCGGACTGTATGCTGCTTCCCCAACAATAAGCCATGGATCACCAGTGACCTGAAAGCCCTCCTTAATAAGAAGAGGGCTTTTAAGTCTGGAGACAGAGAGAAGCTGAGGACAGTGCAGCATGAACTCAGGGAGAATCTGAGAGGGTGTAAAGACACCTACAGGAGGAAGCTGGACTCCAGCAAAACAACATGAGGGATGTGTGGACTGGGATGAAGCACATCACAGGATGTAAAGGGAGACAAAGGCAACCATCGGGCAGCCTGGAGAGAGCCAACAAGCTGAACACTTTCTTCAACAGGTTCAGCTCGCAGTCTCCCTCACACATCCATCAACCCCTACCCCCTCTCCCCCCTGTGGTGAGCAATCCTGTGCAGCACAGAAGTCGACTCCATCAGACCTCAATTACTACCAACCAGTTGCCCTCACATCCCATCTGATGAAGGTGCTGGAGAGGTTGGTCTCGGCCCACCTGAGGCAACAGGTGAAGGAGCTCTTAGACCCTCTACAGTTTGCCTACCAGCCCCATTTGAGAGTTGACAGTGCTGTCATCTACCTGCTTCAACAAGCTCATCTGCATCTGGATGATGGTGGCAGCACTGTGAGAATCACCTTCTTTGATTTCTCCAGTGCTTTTAACACCATCCAGCCACTGCTGTTGGGTGAGAAGCTGCGGGTGATGGGTGTCGACACCTCCATTGTCTCCTGGATCACCGACTACCTGACGGACAGGCCACAGTTTGTCCATCTGGGCAGTGTTCTGTCTAGCGTGGTGGTCAGTGTTGCAGGAGCTCCACAGGGGACTGTGCTGTCCCCCTTCCTTTTCACCTTATACACCACTGACTTTCAGTGCCACCTGCAGAAATTTTCTGATGACTCGGCTGTTGTTGGGTGTATAAGCAGGGGGAAAGGATGGGGAGTACAGAGCAGTGGTGGATAACTTTGTGGAGTGGGCTGGACGCAATCACCTGAGGCTGAATGTCACCAAGACCAGAGAGGTGGTCATCGACTTCAGGAAGAAGAGGACGGCTTCACAGCCGCTGTGCATCCTGGGAGAAGATGTGGAGGAGGTGGAGGTCTACAAGTACCTGGATGTCAATATCAACAACAGACTGGACTGGAAATCCGTGTACAAGAAGGGGATGAGCAGACTCTACTTCCTGAGGAAGCTGAGATCCTTCAACGTGTGCAGCAAGATGTTGGATATGTTCTTCCAGTCTGTGGTGGCCAGCATACTTTTCTTTGCCGTGGTTTGTTGGGGGAGCAGCATCAGAGCCAGTGACACCAACAGACTCAACAAACTAATCAGGAAGGCTGGCTCCGTGATTGGCTGCAAACAGGACACAGTGGAGGCTGTTGTGGAGAGGAGGACACTGACCAAACTGTTATCCATCATGGATAACCCTGACCACCCTTTCCACCTCACTCTGGACAGACAGCGGAGCTCCTTCTCCAACAGACTGTTGCAGCTCCGCTGTCGAAGGGACAGATTAAGGAAATCTTTCCTGCCACAAGCTATTGCACTATTTAATAACTCACATCTGTCAGACAGGGACTCACACCTGTCTGCTGTATAGTCCATTTTTAAAAAACTCCTACCATGTCACATTACTGCGCACCTTAAATTTTCTGTATATCTATCACCCCATCTGTAATATTTGACTTTTTGTTATTTCAAAATTCAATTTTTTGAGAAGGGGCCCTGCAGATACCAACTATCCATGAAGGCGTTTTACCTTCCTCCTCAGGTCTTGGAGATGTCATTGTGTTGATTTTGATAGACACTTGTTGAAAACCAGTCAGGTAATTTATCAATTTTCTAGCTTTTTTTCCATCAGAGATAATGAGGAGAGATCAGCTGATCTTCAGAACTGAAGCCAAGCAGCAGTACCTGCTAAAGGACTGTGATCAAGAGCCAAGAGCCTCCGCTCAGGTTCACGCTTAAGAAAAAGCTTCATAACCCATGCTTGGGAGACATGAAGCTCTACCTTAAACAAGGTAGTGTTTTGGAAAACGGGAGCTATGAACACATCATTATTTTTCAAATAAAAAAAAAGTGCTTACTTAAGGGCTGATATTTTCAAACTTTGCCCAGTTTGGCAGGTATCAATGTTTGTACTGAGTGATCATCAGGATCCTGACTGTTGTTTTGTTGCTTTAAAAAAATGTGGCTCTGTGATCAGTGAAATTTCACATCTGCATGCAAAATAATCATCCACAGTGGAATCTAAGCAGGCTGTTTGTGAGACCATGGAGGAGTACAGAGAAAACCTGCACCACCTGCTAACATGAACTAACCTTTGAGAAGCTGTAGCCTTATACTGACTATGAGTGTTATGTGCTTCAGCTGGAACTACTTCTTTCATAGACCACTTTTTATCTGCAGTTGTATTCTCGTATTAACATTTTGATACTGATATTTTTACAGCTCATCAATAAAACACTCCACCTGTGCACACACAAGCGGCCAAAGTCACTCCTCTGAGATACACACTGTTTTTCTCTCAGTTCAAATCTTTTGTTGTTGACCTGAAGTAAGTCTCTATATTTTTTTAGCAACAGCTCTTCAGATGACCTTTCTAGTTCACTGCCTAGCGCCACTCTTCCTGTTTTTATGAATAATCCTTCACAATGGTCAAACAAAAGGAGAAAACTTAAGTAAGACTTGAAAATGCTGTTTCAGGTTGTAGGGTACTTTTGAGAATGGGTCCATTTATAGGAATTCATGGACTTGGGACACAAGACTGGAAAGGATACAGGTGTCTGCCCGCTTATTAATGTGTTCACCGTCACCATGTTGAATCCAAAGGTCTATGATCTACGGTGGCCTGGAGGTGCAAAACACAACCGCAAAAGAGAAAACATGACAGCAAATCATAACGCAAACGCAAAAGAGAAAACGCAACAAATCACAAAACACAACTGCAAATCACATGTGAAAACGCAAAAAAGAGAAAACACGACAGCAAATCACATATGCAAACACAAAAAAGAGAAAACACGACAGCAAATCACATATGCAAACATAAAAAAGAGAATACACGACAGCAAATCACATATACAAACACAAAAAAGAAAACACGACAGCAAATCACATATGCAAACACAAAAAAGAGAAAACACGCTGTGCATTTGCTTTGGACTTTTTGTAGTTTTATTTTTTCTGCAAAAAAAAAAAGCTTTAAAAGTGTTCAAACATGTTTACACATTTGTAGAATGAGTCAGGAAATTAAATAAAACAGGTACGTTAACAGAAATTCTTGTTTCCATAGGGGTAAATGTCATTGCAATGAAAAGATATACTGTTCTTGTATTGTATTTTTTAATTTAGGCATCTAAGTGCTTCACCGAGGACAGTAAAATCAAACAGAATATAATTAGAGTTTGAAGATAATTCAACTTATTTTTTCCTTGTTGTTGATTTTTGCAGACATTCCCCCTGCATCGAGCCATGGTCTGATTAGATATTTACCGAAAAAGAGCAAATTTGCAAGTATATTTCCAATTTAGCAAGAGTATTTTCAACACGAGCCTGATTTCTAAGCCTGCATTTTGATATGACAAAAGCTTTGCTGTCTAAGCCATTTGAAGGAGTAAAATCTTGAAATTAAGAAACATACCATCTTTCAGCCTGCAATTTGCCATAATTTTGGTGTTTTATTGTCATATATATATATATATATATATATATATATATATATATATATATATATATATATATATATATATATATATATATATATATATATATATATATATATTTTTATTTATTTATTTTTGGTGTAAATTCAGAACAGTAAACCCTTTCAAATTTAAAGTGCAGATCAACAACTAAAAATTTTGTCTTTGAGAAATACACACTACATTTGGACCTCTGACCTTTAAACCAGGTCCACAGCCTGACAGTTCAGACTGCTGTAAATTCCGGCAGTCTCCAGCTTGAACAAAACATCACAGTTTAAATCATTCTGTCCTGATGTGTCCACAGACACAATTTGAAACATCTCATATGGAGGAATCAGCACCTCATCCTCATCTGAGTCGAACTCAGAGTAGGACTTGAGATAGGCACCAAAACATGTGTGGATCTCAAAGCAAGTCCTCCGTCCAAACTGACTCAGGTTCTTGCTGAGGGAGCTGGACGCAAAGGAGCCAAAGCGGACTGTTTGTCCAGCTTCACCACTGAAGAGCAGTCTGCTTCTCCTGTAGCAGGTGATGCAGCCTCTCAGGTTGAGTTTGAGGAGCCTGATGGCGTCTGAAAGCAGGAAGTGGAGGGCATGGAAATTAAACGAGGTTTTGTAGGAAACTTTCCCTCTGCGAACTGCCCGGTTTAAGTCGTCGTAAGACCCAGCTGTGTAGGCACAGAGGGCCCTGAAGTGATCCCAGGACAGCAGGTCATAAGGGTCTTTATTCTCCATGGCTTTTAGGGCACAAAGTTTGGTGTATGTGGAATGAAGACCTTCCTTGGTGCTGCTCTGGAGATAGTGACGCTTCACTTTGATCAGCATCTTGTGGGCGCAGCCATAGTACATGTCATCCACAGATTCAGTGGACATGCTCAGAGGGATCCTGATGAGCTGGGACAGACCTGATGGGACCTTCACCGAGACACTAGAGGCCATCTGGGAAGCATAAGCAGGTTTCTGTGTGGCAACCTGGACAGAGGGCCCTAGAACCCCTCCAGAATAGTTACTTTCTAAGGATGATGTCATTGTAGCCTCTTGTGGAGAAGACATCTCAGCACCAGAGCTTTTCAGTTGGGATTTTTTGATGTCCTGGTCTGGCAACTATAAACACAGGAATTTATTGCAATAACAGTAAATAAGTGAATTTTACCAAGAATAAGCTAGACACATCTGTTACCTGCCAAATGTTATAGTTCAAGAATCCTGGAGTAATATTTGCCATGGCCCATGTTCATGGTCATTCTTTCTGTTTATCATTCACAGTCTCCCTGCTTAAGCCTCATTTTTAATTTTTGAATGATTAAGAGCATCACAAGGTATGAAAAAATTGCCACACGCATAGTGTTATTTCAAATAACAGTGTACCTTATGTGAAAATCAGTTTTCTGTTTTCTTACCGTCTTTGCAGTCAGAATTTTTATCCTGCTACAGAGGCAGCAGAGGACAGTAAACACCAACATACTGTTTTTCAGCATGACTTACGTTACCTAGGGAGAAAAAGTTCTGTAAATCTGTTTATCTGACAGAATGAAGCTCACAGAATACTAAGAAATCAAATAACCTTACCAGGTAGTGGTGGTGCTGCTCTCTCAGAATCATTCAGGTCTGTAATGATCTATATGAAACCTGTCATCTTCTTATTTAAGCACTGGAGTGGGGTTGTCCAGGGTCAGGGTGGGGTCAAACTATACAAAAAACCCCAACAACACAGCTTTCCATCGAAATTTCCACATGTAGTTTCCACAGACCCTCTCAGGTTATTTTAATTTTGCAAGCAGTACAAATATGTCCATTTCCTCTGACCCCAAAAGAGGAAAAGTTGCTGAGAGAAAAAAAGGTAGATTTTCACAAATTTCATAAAAAACTACCTTCTCTTTTTTCAGCTGGTGTAAACCCACACAGACAGTTTCAGTTTTACCTGCCCAGGTTTTACATATAGATACAGTTAAAAAAAAAAAAATCTGTCACTACAGACTTCATTTTTCCCCATTATTTAATTAAAAAAAGAAACTTTCGGATATTCAGGATTATAATAGTTGCTTATGGCTCATAAAAAATAAAAGGCCACTATCTCAAGTTATCAGAATATTGTAAAAAAAGTCAATTTTTTGTCAGTAATTTCAGTCCCTAAAGAGCTGTAATCAGCTGATCGAATCTGAACACCTACAAAGGCTTTTATGCTCTCACTCAGGTTCAGTGTGGAAGGAAAAGGTGACCAAACCACAAGGATGACAACAGCCATGAGAGGGTTAGGAAACAAAGCAGTTTCGAGAACTTAGGAGAGCTTCACAAGACGTGGACTGAAGCCGGAGTCAGAGCCGGACATGGGCCACAAGTCTTGTGTTCCTACTGTCAAGCCACTCCTGAAGCAGAGACTATGTCATAAGTGTCTCATCTGGGCTAAGAAGGAAAAGAGCAGTCTATTGTCAGTGGTCCAAAGTCCTGTTTTTAGATGAACTATTAATAACTACAGATAATTTGGGGGTGGGGGGGGGCGCTCCATGTTTAAGCATAAACTAAAATTTCTCTTGCCTTTTAATAATAAATTGAGAAGTGAGGTCTGCATTTCAGTCAACAGGATTTCAAAACTTTAAACTAATTTCACATGTCAGAATGACCACTGTGCTGCAAGATGTGTTAAACAAAGTCTTTTTTTGGGAAGTCTCTGACCTCTGACTCAACTTTCTCAAAGTACAGCCCTGCTGTACTGGAAGAAATACAGCTGAAGGCACTCTTATTTGACAAAGCCAGTCTCCTACGAGATTCTTTTGAAACAAGGGATTTTTGTTATGGTTTCTATTGCTTTACCTTGCTCCTATGCAATAGTCCGTTTTAGTTTGACTCAAGAGTTCACCCCCATCTTAAAATGGTTGCAGATCGTCAGCTGGAGCTTGTCGACTTTCACAAGCTCATGGGACACCATTAAAAAGAGAGCTTTCTCCAGAGTTCAGAGCCCTTTTCCAAGATAATCACTTGGCTCATGAATGCTGTCAATGCATCTATATAAGATTTTATAAAATACACAGTTTAGTCTTTTTCCTGGAACTGGTTTGTACAACTGCCCATTCCAAATATGAATGCATCAAAAGACTAGAAACGTTTGTAGAGTAATACATTTTATTTCTTTCAACATTAAACCCAAATACATGTTTAAAATTCAAATGTTCGTGGGACATCAGCGGTCCTGAATTCAAAAGCGTCCTCTGTGGAGTCGACCTTTACTTCCTCAACCTCATTCTGAGAAGAGGAAAGGAAACAAATTAAACTACAAATTCATGGCAACTGTTGAGAAATTGGTAGATGAAGTTCTCAGCGTCACAATTTAATTCAAGTATGTGTCTAAAAACAGCAGTATTAGCAAAAGGTATTGAAAGTAGGCAGATTACAAATCAAGTAGTAAACCCATCTAAACTTGTTACTTACACCGCAGAAGTACTTCTCTATGAGGTTATGTGCTGCTCGGTATATCATCTCATTGTCATGGTTCTGCAGCATCTCAATTCGATCCAGCCCTCCTAGCTCCTCAACCAGCAGGCTTAGCTTGTCCATCTCACCGAGCTTCTCTGCTGCCTGAAAGTCATGTGCAATAACTAAAACTTTCTGATCTTCTGCATTTAATCTGGAGCTTGAGCTGAAATGAATATTGGAAGAAGTTAAGGGGGTTAATGCCCCACCCCCCCCACCCCATCACTCACCATGAAGACGTTGTTGACAGCATCCAGTATGACCAGGATGACTTTAGAGTCTTTGACCTGTAGCAGGTTGATTATTGCCTCAAGGGCTCCGCTCTGCACCAGACTGACCACCTGTTCCACAGTGCCCCCACTGGTGAAGTTTGTTACTGCCCACACTGCCTCTCTCTGTGTTTTGAAGTCCCCCTGACGGTTTTGCAGACCATTGTTTAAGCAGTTTATTGGCACAGAGTGAAACAGGAATCTCATATAAAGTGGGCTATTGATCCTCAAATGAAAACTCAATATACATCCCATTTCAGCCAGCAGACTCTGAAACTGACAGCTACAAGTTATCTTATCCCTTTTGTCACCAAGATGTTGACATGTTTGACTTGAAGGCTGGTGTGGGGCATTACAAATTTTGTTCTGTCAACATCAACACTAAAATTATGCCCCCCACCCCACAATTCAAGTTAGTGAAAATACTAAGCACTCATTCTTAATGATCTACTCACATTCCTGAGCTGTTCTACCAGAGGAGGGAGAAGGCCACAGGTGATGAGCTGCTGGATTTGCTTACAGGGTCCTGCAGCAATGTTTGACAGTGCCCATGCCGCCTCTTTTTGCACACTGGCTTTTGGATGCCTCATCACCTGAGGGAGGATGTTCAAAACACCTGCATCGATGGCCGCCTGAGTCTGCTGGTCTGAGCCACTCACAATGTTTCCGATAGACCTGAGAGCAGGGGTCTGCAAGTTGGAGATATAAGTAACTTATGCTTTACATTAGCAATTTAAAAAGCCAACTTAAACTATGAGATTGAAACCACAGGAGTTCAATAAACCCAGGAGCACCTTACCATGACACTAAGCTCCCGATGGCCCATGAGCTCCACCAGCCGAGGGACAATGCCAGTTTTTACCACCACATCAATACGCTCATTCTCACCGTCTGATAGGTAGGAAATTGCCCAGCATGCATCAGACAGAATGTCTTTATCACTCAGATGAAGCAGTTGGATCAGAGACGGAAGCATCTAAAGAAAGGAAACATTGAAAGCACATTGGTTTTCCTCTTTGTATCACAGCATAATTTGAAATCAATGCTATGAGTTCACAGCGGAGATTACCTGCAGTACTGCAGATAAGGGTGGACAGGGGTTTTTATTTCGACATAGGTTGGATAGTGTCCATGTTAGGTTACGCAGGTAGCCAACCTGGATGGGAAAAAAAACAAATCAAAAATAGTCTAAACACTACAAAAATCAGGGTCTGACAAAATCAAAAACAAACAAGCTAGTTTGAGTGATTTTTTGGACCTCTCAAATTTACAACCGATGCTGTTCGTCCCTTTATGCTAAACACACACAGTTCATCAGGCCTTGTGTTTGTAAAAGCTGCCCATTCACCAGCCTAAGATGGGGCGTATTCCTCATACAGCAAAGGAATTTGAAAGTCTACAAAATGGTTATTTGTTAAGTGGTCTGTGTGGGGTTCACCATGGTCACATTAAGTTCCCACTTAAAAAGCAGTGAGGGGTTTGTATCAAAGCTCGGAACAAAGTTTGCCGACTCAGGTTTTCGACCTTCCATTTTGTTAAGCATTTAACATATGGTTAATTGTTGAGGCACCTGATCGCCTTGCTCCTCCAAGCTGACCAACAAGTCATTTTGTGGAACATTACCAACCTGTTCAAGTTGGTGCTGGAGTAAATGGTGCTCTTGTCAACTTTCTGTCAAATGTCTAACAAATGCCTCTTTATCCTAGATTCATTCTTGGATAAAGAGGCATTCTGTCCACAGCTGCTATAACAACAACAACAACAACAACAACAACAACAACAGCTCCCCTGAATACTTGGTCAGACAAAAAATAGTTATAGCATAGTTTTTCAGTGCCACCAGTAAGGTCTGGGACCATTACATTAGATCTGGCTGTCATTAAAATCAACACATAAGCTAATTTAAACTAATTAAAACTAATAAAACAGTTAAATTGAGGTAATTGTCCAGGACTCACACAAAGATGCCACACTTGGTGAAATTAAATTGCAGATATAGGGGAATGGTTCCAAATGGTCTTGTGTAGTTTGACTTACTGGTGTGTCAGGGGAGATGCGGGCTAGTAAGGCTGGGATAACATTACACTCAATCAGAATGTCTCGAGAAGCTGAACCATCACCTGTGAAGTGGATACATTTGGTGAAGTTAGCTAGCAAGTCAAAGAGATTAAGCATATACATATACAAATCCTCATAAAAAAGGCAGGTTATTAATGCAATCATTGAGCACTCAATCAAAATGTAAATTGGTACCACCACAGTCACTTCACTGCTTCACCATAGAAGAGTTTCTGGTCAGTAAACTATGCAACCACAAAACATTGAGTATTTTGAGTTGTCCTCAATGATTTTATGGTGAAGTATTAAGACATGAAAGCTTATAATATAAGTTCATGAATAATACAATATAATTATAATTTATAAAACTATAAATTTACCTGCAATGTTTCCGAGAGCCCAGACAGCCTGTTCACTGATGTGCAACATCGGCGAGGCCAGCAAGGAGATAAAAGCCGGCACAGCCCCACTTTCCACCACCTGATAAGACAGAAATACACCATTGTGTTAAATTTCAGGCAATGAAGATCTTAACATGTGTAAGACTTAGTCAGTCCAGTCTTATCCCAAGAGCCTGATAAATATGACCTCAGATCAGTCATTAAAAAGGCTAATCATGGAGCTAAATCCCACCAATACTTCAGTTTTGTGAGCACACCTGTTGAGTGTGCCAAGATGTTCCAGAGGCGATATTTGTTAGAGCCCAGGCTGCTTCAAACTGCAGTGTGGGCTCATCGTTCATACCTAGGAAGGACACAAAGCGGGAGAGCAGACCTGCATCTATAATCTCCTTCAGGGGAGGGTTACTCTCCTGGGATAGAAGCTTCCTGAAGAGTAAGAAATCGATTATGTATCAATACGTGCAGTATGTTACCATTTTACCCCAAGGTTTACATTCAGCTTGTGAAATACACTAACTTTTTCTTTTAAGATCCATTAAGTTAGATATATATATATATATATATATATATATATATTTTTTTTTTTTAAACATACAGTCAACTGATCATTTTTCACTATTTGGAAAAAGAGCTTTTGGATCTTTACACACACACACACACACACACACACACACACACACACACACAAACTCTCTTGGTCTCACCTGGCTGCCTGGCAGCCTCTGGTTTGGGCCTCCTTGTTATGATCGTTTACATCTTTAATTATGTCCTCGATGGAGTAAACTGACACCTGCAAAAACAGACACGCCGTCAAAAGCCATACTCTACGGGAGACCATTATTCGATGATGGCGGATCTGAACGGACCGCGTCTGTGGAGTAGTCCGGAGAAAGGGCGTCCTCGTCTGGGAGGGATGACAGAGTCACGTTTCGTCTCTTCATGAAACTTTCGTTTTTGTGAGCTTTACGCAGCTCCACGCACTCTGAGATTCTCTTTTCCCTCAATTTCTATTAGAACACAAGATAACACGTTGACCAGACACGGTGTGCTTTTAAAAGACATGTCACTGAGGATTGTACACAACACTCACAGCTGGATCTTTGCCTTTGTTTTTAAACTTGCCGAGCCGCTCGTCGGTGACATTTTTGGTTGGCATGGTGGTGTCTTACAGATGGTGCACGTGGCCTCGCTGCGTTACTGACACGAAATGTGTCGAAATCAACTTTGAGACGGTTTTTAAGGTGGGAGACTGCCACAGGTGGATACAATTTGCTGATTGAGCTAACGCCCCTATTGATTTTTTCCCCCCACAACTTTATTGAACATTGTAATAATAACAAACAACTATTCAGTGAGTATCTCCAGTTTCGTACTCAATATTAGTACAGCAAAGCGATTGCATACATGATATTGTATGATATTGTAATTAAGCAAAAGAAAAAACAATCAAATAAAAAAGAAAAATAAATTATATGACAGACCTCTTTTCCAATGAAGTAAAATTATCATTATTGTGACAAATGATTAGCTGAACATTTCTGGATGTACGTTCACTATGGATATGCATTTTTTATTTGTAATTAACTCAATAGACTTAAAATAATAATCAGCTTCAATCAAAAATAATTAAAATGATGGTGAAAAGTCCCCCCCAAAAAATAAATAAATAAATAAAAATAAAAATAAATAAATAACTAAATAAATAAATAAAATAAATAAAAAAGGTTTAATAAATTACATAGATTTTTTTTTATTTTAAATTCGAAATAAGTAATAATATTCTTCCCTTCAATGTTGATTGTATGTTTTGTTTTACATAGTACATAGTTCTCAAGTACTTTCCAAAATGTACTGCTATATGAACAACCATACTATAACAAATGAGTTACATTTTTAGGTTAAATTTTACAAAAAGTACATTTATTATCAATGTCAAAGAATCTTGAAGTATACATCTTAGATGGGTATATGTTATGTAGTATTTTTAAAAGGAATTCTCTCATTTTATTTGTGACACAAAGGGAACAAGCCATGCCTTGTGCCAATTAATATGCATGAAAATAGCATTCCAGAAGAATTTCCCTCTAGGTGTTATTTCCTTGGCATTGTAGAAACATTTTCTGATGTGTTGATTAGTACATTTATTACTCAGAATGTCAATACCGTTTATGTAAAGAATATTAGAAGATGTGTGTTGTACATTCTGTTCTTCATAGCCTTTCATTAATTCTATCATACTGCTGGGAATATAGTTAATTACTGAGCTATATTCTTTACATTTAAAGGGACTGTTTTCTGTATAAGAAAGTCTGCATAACACAGTAGTTGACCATTAGGGCTAAATAAGTCTTTTAAATAAAAATAAAAAAAATTTCTATCCAACTTTGTAAATACAGTGATTTATTCCTTTTAATAATGCATTAATTGTTATTGTTAAAGCTATTTGAATAACATAGCTTCCAGGCCAACAGGGCTTGTTGATGAAAATTTGAAATCTTAATTGGTAATTCTGAGATACTGTCATTACAAGACAATAAGAACTCGAGACCGCCAACACTCTTGAACACATTATAGGGAATAAAATTCCATAATAAATATGGAGTTTTTAAGCATTCCTTTTGCTATTTAACTTTAAATGTATAATTTAAATCCATAAAATCTAGTAAATCAAAACCACCTTTGGCATTAGGACCAGAAAGCAAAGTTTTTTTTTTCCAAACGATGGTGCTTATTCTTCCACATAAACCAAACAAACATATCATTAAATGCTTTACATGTAGAATCAGAGACATTAAGGGAGAGTGCTGGATACACAAATCAAGAAACATCTTCAGCTTTTGTCAAAAGGACCCTCCCTAAGATTGATAAAGCTCTTTGAAGCCATAAGTTCAATATAGTTTTAGATCTTTTTCATTATGGGGGAGAAGTTATGTTGTTGATATTCTGTAACAACAAAAACACTGAGGTATCGAATACAATTTTCAACAGGTATATCATATATGGTTTTAACTTTTGTTTCAGATAGACATAAAATTTCACATTTAGATTATTTAGTTTTAGTCCAGAAGCATCTGAGAATTTGTTTACTAATGCTACATCATTTTCAATCTGGTGTTTGTCCTTTAAGAATAATGCTGTATCATCAGCTAGTTGGGTCAAATAAAGTTCTCTACCAAAGATAGAAAATCCTTTAATTACTGGGTTATTTAAAATATGTGATGAGAGTAATCCAGTGATGATCAAAAATAAAAAAGGCAATATCGGACAGCCTTGACGGACAGATCCCAGGACTGGAAATATTTTGTTAGTGTTTGGATATAGTATGACACAACTGTCTATATTTTTATAAAACATTTCAATAGTTGATACAAAGTTTTGATCAAAACCAAAAGTTTGGAGTGCTATAAATAAAAAGTGATGTTCTAATGTATTGAAAACTTTATAAAAATCAAGAAAGAGTCATTATCAATGTTGTCAGAGTAGTCTAATAAATCAAGAACAAGCCTTATGTTGGAACTGGTATGATGGTTGGACATAAATCCAGTTTGGGTTTCGGAATGCCCCCATTGATTTAGTCACTCACTGCACATTTCAATGATGTAATATGAATAAAATCTTAGGGTGGCAGCAGCCCAATTTTATTGGATGGGAAAGTTATAAAACTTCTATAGGAGGAGAACAACTGTGGTATCTGGAGTACAGCACCAACATGCAATACCTTGGGATACTTCCCTGGGATAGCCTGAGATAACTGGAGAATGGAATTTTGGTGTCATAAATGGGGGAGTATTACATAAGGGGGAAATGGGATAAATATGTCAAACAAACAAAACCTTATGTCTTTTTGCAAGATACTGCTTGATTTTTTTTTTATTCCTAGGACAGCATTTGGGGAGACCAGCTAAAGAAAGGCTGTTCTCCAGAGATCTAGGCAGCTTTAACAGACCCACACATTCCAACAAGGACAATCAGGCATGGACAATGAAAACAGAAACCTGACAGGATTTGAACAAGAACATTGCATTCGATACCCAAATATGGAAAAACCCATTGAAAGAACACTACACAAGCAACCAAGGACATTCAGGAGCAACAATTATTATTAATTTTTCTAATACTGGAGTTTTGTTACTGTGTAATCTGTGATATGAGATGGACATCATTGGCAGTCCTCTCCCAGCAACTGCAGTGCTGTCTTGATACTGGTGTTGTATTTGTAATAAATTCCGATTATACAAGCAAGCCAGTGTCAAGAAGCCTCCTGCTGCATCTACACATTGCAGACAAACGAGATACAACACAACAAGGTAAGTTACCACATTTTCCTAGAAAAGGTCTGCAAAAATCTATTTATTTAGCAAAAGTCTGTGAATTTGGTTGAAAACAAGAAGTGAATTGCCTGTGTGATCAATTCAACATCTGAGACCTAATATCTACTAACAACTACCCAACATGTATAATCCTTCTTGATTTCAACACTGCACGCTTGTTTGGATTATGATCGTGAAGTAGATAAACCCAATGTTCACTTTTCAAAAAGTTAGGCTGGTAGGCCTACAGTATTTTTAGGTTGGAGACCTAGATAGTAGATATCCTGAAGGCTAAAATCCCGATACCCACAGTAGCTTTGATAGGCACAAGTGGGATGAGGAGGGTCCAGGGGTATTTCCTTAGGAAAATTTGAACATTGAACATCTAATGCCCCGTGTTATGGTAAACATATGATGGAAATTTAATTATGTAAAGGGAACATGGGAGTTAAAGGTAGAGGTTACTTTACTTTAGAGGAATATCCACTCAAACAGGAGTACTTAATGTTAATGAGCCAGCCACCATGAGAGTTGTCCTCTAGATGGCAACATAACGCAACACTTACCTGTGCAGCATGCAAGTATATGTGACAGGGTACTAAACACAGGTTTCAGTGATCCTGAGAACTTCCTGTTTCTTTATGTGAGCCAATCTGTTAATATGAATGTTCTGTACGTGCTTATTTCAGCTTGTGTTGTATCATTGGGTACAAAAATGGTACTAATAAAAATAAACAGATTGTATAAATGTATCAACGACAGAAAAATAGTGTAAAAAATAAGCATATGACTGATAAAGTCAGGTGTTCCCCTATCATAACCAGGAAACTCTAAACAATGGCAGCTTAAGTGGAGATTTCCCTCTGAGAAAGTTATAATTGCTTCCTCCTGATAACCTATATAAACACACACACACACGCGCACACACACACACACGCACGCACGCACGCACGCACGCACGCACACACACACACACACACACACAGAGGGTAACATAATTGTGGGTGCTGAGATTCATGTAAAAACACATTTGTTTTGGCTTCAGTCTCAGTGTCACTCTGGGTCACACCCCCCATCATGTTTGTTCCCTCAAAAGCTTTCCTCAAACTTTTTTTTCTCACACTTTGCTCTTACACACTCTCACATGCACAATGATAAGGACCATGTCCCCACTGTTGGCTTTAAAACCTTTTGTGTCTACTTTTTCTGGTCCAGTTTGATTTTTCAAAACATGGACCTTATGCTCTGATCTTTCACAGAGATTCCTTGATATGTCTGTGTTACACTAACATTAGGTCATGATATAATATTAATTTGATACAATATCAAAAGAATTATCGCACAGTACAATGAACTTTTTCTCAATCAATTAGTCCTTGAGTTTGTTGACTGAAAACAAAGTAGTATTTTTTGTTTTTGTGTTCCTGCTGGAAGCAAGAAGACCATATTTGCATTAAACCACACTTGATTTTGCTTTATTTCCTCTGTACATTTGTGACCTTTTTTTGTTAAAAGTTGTATTTTATTTTTTGAGATGGGGAACATGGAGTAGAGAGGTGGGGCGATTGCAGCAAGGAGTTTTAGCTTGAAGTTGAAGCAGCAAATGCCGTGATGAGGGTTAAAATCTCTATGAGGTTCTGGCATAAACTACTCGGCCATGTGTACTAAACATATTTGACCTCTTGTGGCCAACTTTGAAGTATGGAGGCTACTTTTGCTACTACATCATTTTCAAAGTTTTAGACATTATCTATTCTATTTTAGCTTTAACACTGACATTACCTTGCTTTACAAAGTTTTATCTTTGTATGCCAGTTTCGGTTTTGTAGACTTCTCCAATGTCTGTTTTTAATACCTCCTGGCTTTCTCTGCTGTTTTCACTCCTTTCTCAGTTTTCCTAACCTAAACAAACCAATGTCTGAAAATATCACAG